ACCATAACAATCCCAGGATAAAATATAGTCAGTAAAATCTTGGACCTTTTTTGTAACATTATTTTTCTGATAGAGTCCTAAGGCAAGGAAAACAAAAAATAAATAAACAAATTGGACTACATCAAAGTAAAACGTTTCTGCACAGCAAAGGAAGCCATCGGCAAATGAAAACAACCCACTGAATGGTAGAACATATTCATCACTGATACATCTAATAAGGGGTTAATATCCAAAATTTATAAATAACTTATGACACTCAAGGGCAAATAACACACTCCAATTACAAAATGGGCAAAAGACCTGAACAGACACCTCTCCAAGGCCATACAAGCGGCCAATCGACAAGAAAACATGCTCCGCAACACTGATCATCAGAGAGATGTAAATTAAAATCACGATCAGTATCATCTTACACCTGTCAGAATGGCTACTATCAATAAATCCACAAAAAAGTGTTAGTGAGGATGCAGAGAAAAGGAACCGTTGGTGGGAATGCAGCCACTGTGGAACAGTGTAGAGTTACATCAAAAAATAAAAAGTGAAACTCCCTTCTGACCCAGTGATTCCAGAAATACTAATTTAAAAGACATATGTTCACTGCAGTATTATTTACAAAGCCAAGATTTGGAACCCCCAAGTGTCCATCAGTGGGTAGCTGTGTCTATTTTGAAAGGAACTGTGGAGGTCTGGATCAGAGGAGGAAAGTGATCTTAACAAGGTCTTACCAGATAACGTCTGGCTACAGCGTGAAGAACAGAGACAGTAGGACTGAAGCTACCACTACATCCAGGTGAGGACTGAATTGATCAGAATGATGCAGTAGGAAAAGTGATTGAACTCTGGATCCATGTTTAAAAAAGAGGCAACTATGTTTCCTAATGTGGAGGAAGAGAGGTTGAAACACAAAATTGAGGGATAACCTGATTTTTGGTCTTAGGTATAGTAATGAAGCTCCATTATATAAGGTTGGGAAGAATGTAGGAGTACCATTCACAAGAAGCTTTGTTTTGGCCATGTTAGAAGTCTGAGGTGTTTCAGAAACCACTCAGTAGAAGTACAAGGTGGGCAACTGGACACAAATTTCTGGAAATCTGGGAGCATTCAGGATGGAGGCATCTGAAAATGTGAAGGGTTCTTTATGAACCCAGGTGAGTACCTGTGGTCACATGGAGGGGTAACTGGCAGGTGATGGTGGTAAAGTGATTAGAAGGTCAGGTAGAGGAGCTTGGGGGCCCACTTTCTTGCTTAAATATTCAACAATACAATAAATTAAGCTGTGATTTATAGTTTTAACCAATTTTCTAGGTGTATACACTCTTCACTGCAGCCAATTTAAAACTGCCGGTATGGCTCAGCAGTCTGAGCACTGTCCCAAGGACTGAGAGGTTCCGGTTCATTTCTAGTCAGGGCACTTGCAGTCAGGGTTGCAGGCTCGATCTCCAGTAGGGGACGTGCAGGAGGAAGCCAATTGATATGTCTCTCACATCGATATTTCTATCTCTCCTTTCCTCTCTCTAAAAAAAATGTTAAGCTCCTGGCCGGTTTGGCTCAGCAGTTAGAGCATCGGCCTGTGGTCCAGAGAGACCCAGGTTCGGTTCCCGCTAGGGGCATGTACCTCGGTTGCAGTCCCCGGCCCTGGTTCAGTCGTGCAGGTGGCAGCCACTCAATGTGTCCCTTTCACGTCGATGTTTCTCTCTTCCTTTCTCTCCCTCCCACCCTATCTGAACAAAAAATGGAAAAATGTTCAGGTGAGGATAAAAAAAAAAATTAAAAACATATTTAAATAAACAAATAAGTAACCTGCCATATATAATTTATAAAATTCAGCACTAACATATTTATCATATTTTAAAAGTATCTTTCTGTATTAAGGTTATAAGAGTCCTTACATTTTAGAAATACATTAGGGAAAAGTTACAAATTGACACATATGGGATTTTAAGCAAACGCATCCATTAATGTGTCAGACAGATAGAAGAACCACCATGAAAGATAATGATGGAAGACTAAGTCAGAATTTATGAAGTTCAGTAACAATTTTTCTGTTTACAAATCTATTTGAAAATAGCTATTACAAAGGCAGACTATGTCTTTTTTTTTTTTCTTTTTTCTTTTTATCGTCACCCGAGGACAATTTTTTTTAATATTTTGTTCAGATAGAGTGGGAGGGGGAGAGAGAAACATCGATGTGAAAGGGACACATCGAGTGGTTGCCACCCACACAACCCAACCAGGGCCGGGGACAAACTGCAACCGAGGTACGCGCCCTTAGCGGGAACCGAACCCGGGTCTCTCAGGACCGCAGGCCGACGCTCTAACCGCTGAGCCAAACCGGCCAGGGCCAGACTATGTCCTTGTATCAGAAACTTTATGTGCCGAGAAAGAAGCACCAAAAAGGGCAGGAAGAACTGGATTCAGGGATGCAAGCACATATGGAAACTCCCAAAATATATGTGTCTTTTTATCCTCACCCAAGGATATTTTTCTATTTACCTCAGACAGAGTGAGAGGGAGTGAGATAGAGAGAAACATGGATATGAGAGCGCCTCACGGACTGCTGCCCAAAATATGATTTTAAAAAAACGTATGTTTTGCCCAGTAGGTGTCTCTCAGTGGATTGAATGTCATCCTATAGACTGAGAGGTCCTGGTTCGATTCCAGATCAGGTCACATGCCCAGGTTGCAGGCTCAGTCCCCAACAGGGGGTGTGCAGGAGGCAGTCAATGGATGTTTCTATCTCTCTCTCTAAAAAAGAGACAATAAAAATATATTTAAAAAATTAAAATTAAAAAGTTTATCTTTTTAGTCAATTGCACTTAAATCAGACTTTTTCTCGTCTGTATCAAACTTTTAAATTTTTATTTTATTTTTTGTTTACTTTAGAGAAAGAGAAATTGATTATGCATGCATACATTGATTGATTCTTGTAAGTGCCTGACCATGGATGGAATTCACAACCTTCGTGTATCTGGATGACGCTATACCATACTGAGCAACCCAGCAAGGGCTAATTCAAACATTTTAAAACACACTATTTAAGCCCTGGCCAGTTTGTCTCAGTGGTTAGAGCGTTGGCCCATGGACCAGAGAGTCCAGGATTCAGTTCCTGTTAAGGGCACGTACCCCGGTTGCAGTTTGTCCCAGGCCCTGGTTGGGGCGTGTGGGTGGCAACCGGTCGATGTGTCTCTCTCACGTCTATGTTTCTCTATCTCTTCCTCACTCTCTCCCACTCTATCTGAAGATAAATGCAAAAATGTCCTCAGGTGAGGATAAAAAAAAGAAACTATTTAAAACTTGCGATTTCTCAGTCATTTTACTATTTTATTATCAATGTTCTTGAGGTTATTGGTTGCTAATGAATAAGTATATTAGAAATAGAATATAATGGTGTGCTACTGGAATATCTTACCATCTCCACGTTCAGTAACATCATTTTGGTGGTTTGAACATGACCATGATGAGAGTATTTACACCAGGGAAATAGACAAAGTGTACAAACCTAGACTGGGTTTAAATTTATTAATGACTGCTTAGACTTAAAAATTCATAGAGAATGGTAACATTGCAGATTAAATTTATAAGTGTATGGTACAAGTAGGCTTTAAATTGTACATAGATCAGCCCTGGCCGGTTTTGCTCAGCGGTTAGAGCGTCGGCCTGCGGTCCAGAGAGACCTGGGTTCGGTTCCTGCTAAGGGCAAGTGCCTCGGTCGCAGTTTGTCCCCGGCCCTGGTTGGGTCGTGCAGGTGGCAACCATATGACGTGTCCCTTTCACGTCGATGTTTCTCTCTCTCTTTCTTCCTCTCTCTCCCTCCCACTCTATCTGAACAAAAGAAAACAACAACAAAAAAAAGTCCTTGGGTGAGGATAAAAAAATAAAATAAATAAATTGTACATAGATCAAAAAATTAGATCCAATAATGAAAAATAACTTTTGCGTAGGGCCAAGAAGTCACTCAGATGACTAAGGAATGACTGAAACTCCAAGTCTTTGAAGCTGCACTCTCATCCCATTAATTAAAATAATAAATTCATAAAAAGAAAATAGGCAGAAGATTCTGAGCAGATATTTTCCAAAGGAGAAAAAGACAATGTAAATAAATGCACAAATGCTCACAATCATAAATTCTTAGGGAAATGTAATTAAAACAAAAACAAGTTACCACTACACAGATTTCCAGGGATTTTATATATATATATATAAATAATATATTTTTAATCCTAACCCAAGGATAATTTTCCATTTACCTTTCAACATAGTGTGAGGGACGGAGAGAGAGAGAGAGAGAGAGAGAGAAATATTGACGTGAGAGAGACACATCAAGTGGATGCCTCCTGCACAACCCCAACCAGGGCTGAGGACTGAACCAAAACCAAGGTATGTGTCCTTGACTGTAATTGAACCTGAGACACTTTGGTCTGTGGGATGATGATCTAACCACACTGGCCAGGGCTCCATGGATAATTTTTAAAAAAAAATTTTTCTTTATTGATTTTAGAGAGAAAGGAAGCGAGAAATGGAAACATCAATGAGAGAGAACATCAACTGGCTGCCTCCTGCATGCCCCCCAATGGGTATCTGGCCCACAACCTGGGCATATGCAATGACCAGGAATTGACCTGGCAACCTCTTGTTGCATGGGTTGACTCAACCACTGAGCCACACCGGCTAGACTACAGAAATAATATTTTAAAAAATTCACCATAGAGCCTGACTGGTATGGCTCAGTCACTGAGCCACACCGGCTAGACTACAGAAATAATATTTTAAAAAATTCACCATAGAGCCTGACTGGTATGGCTCAGTGGTTGAGTGTCAACCCATGCACCAAGACATCATGGGTTCAATTCTGATCAGGGCACATACACAGGTTGTGGGCCAAATCCCCAGTGGGGGGCATGTAGGAGGTGGCCAATCAATATTCTCTCTTATTGATGTTTCTATTCTCTCTCCCTCTAGAATAAAAAATAAAAAAATAAATAAAAAAAAAATCACCATATAAAGATTGGCAAAGTTGCAGAAGAACTGGAATTTTCATATACCATGGTTGGGTGGGAAGGTAAAGGGGACCACCATTTTAGATAATAGTTCCCCATTTCTTAAAATGTAAAACATTTACCTACACTGTAACAATTTGAGAAATACAATATATAGCAATATAAAGAACTGAATGCATGTATTCATAGCAGCTTTATTGTAATACCCTAAACCGGAAATAACCCCAACCATAGCCAGATCAATGGTTAAACAAAGTGGTTATTTATAGTACAGAATACTACTAAGCAGTAAAAAGCATTAACTATTCACATGAACATTATTGTTGAATCTCAAAGTAACAGTGCAGCATGAAGGAAACCATTATTTTTTCAAGAGTATACACCTTATGATGCTTATAAAATTATAGAAAATATGAACTAATCTATACTAAGTAAAGATAAATCAACAATTGCAGGGAGGGCTGCGACAGGCAGGGGGAGATTATAAAAGGGCAGGAAGTAAATACAGGGTAGAACAAAAGTAGGTTTACAGATCTTCATATGGAAAATATAACACTTAATAAATAATAATACAAGAATAAACTCTATGTTTCGCGTACTTACTACTTTAAACCTACATTTACCCCACCTGGAATATGAGTGACAGATAAGTCCATTTCATATATGATAGTTTCATAGCTTTATCCGTACGTCAAAGCTCACCAAATAGTACACATTAGATTAAGAACACTATGTTGCATGTCAATTATACAAATACCTGAATAAAGCTTTAAAACCTGTTTCCAAATAAAGACCTAGATATCACTCTTTACTAAGAATAAAAGGTTGGCAAGCCTATATGGACTCCACCATCTCTCTTCTCATGTCCAGGAAGGAGCAGTCTTGCTTCAATGGCAGCAAATATTGGCAAGCAGTGAAGACTACAGCCATCTGAGTCAACAGGAATGCTGACTGAGTCACAAAAGACACATCCTGGGACCGACTACAGGACCATCCTTCTCTCTAGCTTTGTTTTCTTGTCTGTAGAGCAATGGCCTTAAGGTGAACACCCCAAAGAGGCCAGGGGAATCCACAAAACCATTAAGATTATTTTCTCTGCCAATGACCTCAGCCACAGGAAACAGTTATGGAGGTCCTGAGATTGTCTGTAACCACAGAGCACACAAGCCATAGTCACTGGAACACTTGTGGATGAACGTTCAGAAGAGGAACCTTCCATATAATCTACTGCAGTCTCTTCCACTCATTATTAGTACAGTGTTTCTGTCCCAAGTGTGGTTCCACATAACCTTCAGTCTTACAACAAATGACACCAACCTATGAAATTTCGTACATCATGGCACATGGTTCCCTTGCATGACCTCAACATTGTGAAATTATGTAAAAAAGGGAAAAAAATTCATGTTGCTCCCAGAAGTACAAGAAATGCCTCTTCTTCAGAGTGACCTCCGATCTCCGCCGTAATCATCACACCAGGAAGTCATGTAGTCTTTCTTTCAAGGGCTTGGGCAGCAATGCAAAATAAGCCAACACTGGATAAAGAGCGATATTCTGACATCATGCTGTCCCTTCCAAATCACAGAAAATTTGGGCTCCCCAAAAATCTGTTCACCTCTGTATGCTGACAGATAATAATTCTTATTTCAAATGATCTCACGCAGTGAATACAACCACCAAAATAAAAGGCAGAAAAGCAAAAAGACCTCCACCGAAAGATCATAAACCAGAGCAGTGTACAACAAAGTTTCCAGGTTGGTGAATGAGAACCAGGAAAAATTCATCACATCATAATGTGAGAAAAACAATGTCCATAAGAAAGGTAGTCCTTAGCTCAGGATGGGTCCTCTGGACTAACACTGGGTCATGTCCATTCTCTAGTCAGAGGCAAAGAAATGAGGATCCTGCCAAGCACTCAAAATATTCATAATTTCCTCAAGCAAAAGGCAGAACACAGAGGTCAGCATCCCTGAGCATGCAGGGGTTGTGACTGACGCACACTGTACATGTCAGCCAGGTAGTAGAGGTAAAAGGGTCTCATCCACAAAAACTGGTAGGAAAATCAATCTGATAATAGCCCTGGGCAGGTTAGAAAGTGCAATGTAGGTCTTTAAAGCCTCGCTTGTACCTGAAACTAATGAGAAACCTAGCATATTGTATGGTCCGTTAAAACAGGTTTAAATTCAGGTAAATGGGTCTCAAAGAGTCTCCTGCAATGTTGTTATACTGAGTGAGGAAATAAACCATTCCCTGCACATTTAAGGCTTTTCTCCAGTATGAAGTCTCCGGTGTCTAAGGAGGTTTGATGTACGAGTAAAAGATTTCCCACATTCATTACACTCATAAGGTCTTTCTCCAGTGTGAACTCTTTTGTGTTGAATGAGGGCAGAGCTGTGGCTGAAGGACTTCTCGCAATAACTACACTCATAGGGCCTTTCTCCAGTGTGAACTCTCCAGTGTCTAAGGAGGTTAGATGTGCGAGTAAAAGATTTCCCACATTCATTACACTCATAAGGTCTTTCTCCAGTGTGAACTCTTTTGTGTTGAATGAGGGCAGAGCTGTGGCTGAAGGACTTCCCACAATCACTACACTCATAGGGCCTTTCTCCAGTGTGAACTCTCCAATGTCTAAGAAGATTAGATGCGCGGGTAAAAGATTTCCCACATTCATTACACTCATAAGGTCTTTCTTCTGTGTGAACACTTTTGTGCTGAATGAGGGAAGAACTTCGTCTGAAGGACTTCCCACAATCACTACACACATACGGCTTTTCACCAGTATGAATTCTCTGGTGTTTAATGAGGTTAAAGTTGTAGATAAAGCATTTCCCGCAAACATTGCATGCATAACGCTTTTCACCAGTGTGAACTCTCTGATGTTGAATGAGGATATATTTGTACCTAAAGCATCTCCCACAATCAGTACACTCATACGGCTTTTCTCCAGTGTGAACTTTCTGGTGATAAATGAGGGCAGAGCTTTGTCTGAAGGATTTTCCACAATCAGTACACTGATACGGTTTTTCTCCAGTGTGAACTCTCTGGTGTTGAATAAGGGCAGAGCTGTTGCTGAAGGACTTTCCACAATCACTACACTCATATGGCTTTTCTCCAGTGTGAACTCTTCTGTGTCGAATGAGGGCAGAGCTGTGGCTGAACGACTTTCCACAATCACTGCATTCATAAGGATTTTCACCGGTATGAATTTTCTGGTGTCTAATAAGATTAAATTTGCAGCTAAAACATTTCTTACAAAAACTGCATTCATAAGGGTTTTCTTCAGTATGAACTCTTTGGTGTTGAATGAGGATATATTTGCAGCTGAAGCATTTCCCACAAACACTGCACTCATAGGGCTTTTCTCCAGTGTGAACACTCTGGTGTCGAATGAGGAAAAACTGGCGGTTGAAGCATTTCCCACAAACACCACACACATAGGGCTGCTTTTCTCCCGTGTGAACTCTCTTAGGAAGAACGAGGTTAAAGGCTTGTATAGAGGCCTTCCCACATTTGCTACACTCAAAAAGCCCTTCTCCAGTGTAGACACTCTGATGTTGAACAAGGTTCTGGTTGTGAAGAGCAGCGGTTTCACATTCATTCCACTCGTGAAGACTTTTTCCACTATAAACTGCCAGCGCACTCTCATTGCCACTGTGTGGCTCCACAGTGTTCAGAGGGGACTGGTGCTGGAGAAGCCCTGACATGGCTGAAAAGTCCTCATCAATCTCCCTACCGGTGAAAGGTGGCCCTGGTACATAGAAGTTCTCCCCAGGCACAAACGAGGTCCTGTCCATATCTCCTGTCCAGGGAATCTCTGCACTGGCATCCCTCTGTTGCTGGTGAAGGTTTGCACTGAAACCAAAGTCTGTCATACATGTGTCACTGAAGAATGGTTTCTGCTCAAGGTATGCTGGTTGTAACTCACTCAAGTGGAAAATAGTTTTCAAGACTAAAATACACTGCTCACAGGGATGAGTCTTCGGGATTTCTGGAACTGTCTCAGAAGCCCTGACCTGTGACTCTCCTTCTACAGATACACTCTGCTCAGAAGGGGCTTCCTCATCTTCTGTTTTATGCCAACAACCTGAAAGCAGAGAAATGCTGAGGACATGGATGTTGACTTTAGTGGGAGGGACAAGTCCCATTACAAATGTGTGTCAGACATAATATGCTGGTTTCATGGGATTGTCTGAAATAAGAGACCTGGAGGCAGGTTGAATAAGGTGCTGACGTGCAGTACTGGGCCTCTGAAGATCACACAATACGGGAGGACCTTGCCAGGAAAAAGACAAAAAGATTGCACGCACCACATAGAACAGAAGCAGGATCTCCAACTCAGTCTTCTGCTAACACCACTTAGCAGCACTTTGCTGGTGACATGGGCAAGCTGTGGAGAAGGTTGGTTATGTCTTTTCCCCAGTAAAATTCAATAAATGAGTAGCTGGTTTTCAAGGAATACTTAAGGATGTTTGAGCACCTCATAACACATGCACAGGTCAATGCTAGAATATACGGCAGAGGGAGCCGTGCAGAGAAACAGGTGATGCACAGAGGCCACAAAGGGGAACGTAGGCAGGAGCCAGGAAGTCACAGATAAAATGACAAGTCAGCAAAGTGTCAAGTATGGGGAACAAAAAAGGCAGAAATGTGTTGTGGGTAGTGGAACCTTCATGAAAACACTACTGGACACAGGGCAGGATTCTGGCATGATCTGGACACAGCCTTACATCATGCAATTTCCCAGTTGCCACTCACCAGGGCCAGGCCTCCTCTGAGACCATCTTGTCATGTCTACGCTGTGAAAAAAAAACAAACCAGGATTCTCCCTGCACCTTCTATTGTACAACTACTCAGACCCTGAATGATCTGGGTCTTAATGAAAGACAACAGAGGTGAGCAGCCAGCACTGCCCAGAGCAGCTCGGCACACGGTGGTATTCAGGGGAGACAGCATTACAAACACTGGAAAAGAGATCTTACAACTACAGTCCATGGTTCATGTAAGTAATGACCATAGCCTGGCACAGGCAGTCACAAAATCCTTTAGCTAGAGGAAGGGGGCAAAAATGGAAGTCATGGATCTGGACACAGCCACCCTGCAAGGGAGAGGGTCAAGAGGTGAAATATATTAAGCTGTCTGCAAGACTCCTGACTCCCAAACACTTTCTGGACTTTTTGAGGAAACAGGTTTAAGGATGCTCAGAGTGTCCATGGCTCAGGGCACTCCACACAGCTCAGCACTGTCAGCAACAACACACATGACAAGAAAGTGGGGGAAATTAGCAGAGCCCATGGTCTGGCTGTGTGACAGATAAAGCTATTTCGGGAGAAAAAGGGAAGACAGAATCACCTCAGGACACAAGGAGAAATGTTAAAGTCTTACCCACGGATGCTGCAAGCGCAAAGATTTCCAGCATCACATCGCAGTACAGAAGTCTCTGATCCTCATCCAGTAGACCCCATTCCTCCTGGGAGAAGGCAATGGCCACATCCTCAAAGTTCAGATCCTGTCATAATGGGGACAGTCAGTCCATGATCAGTTTTTCTACTGGGATTTTAAGTTCATCATACTCCCATCTTCCACATCCATTTCCTCCCTCTGCTTCCCACCTCCAAGAAGATTCCAGGCCTTGATGCCATTGGATTACTGCTTTTCTTATATTCCCATAGATATTTCGTCTTCCCGAAACAATGGGCAGATGAGCAGACAGATGATACCTGAAGTCTGGGCCTGGCATGTAGGCCACGCTGCCTCTTGTAACAGAGTGGCTATCACACACATATGGTAAGAAGAGAAGTTGGCCATAGAGAGGCTATGAGTGATTAGACACATCTTGTCAGGAAATATCCCTGTGGTTCCCCACATTGTCCCTCCAAGACATAAAACACATGGCATCACCCTTCACCCTTAGGACCCAAATCCCAGGGCTCTGAGGCCATCTATTTACACTACCCACTGCAGATAATTTTTTTTTCTTTGACTTTAGAAAGAGTGGAAGGAAGAGAGAGGGAGAGATAGAAACATCAACGAGAGAGAATGACTGGCTGCCTCCTGCATGCCCTCCACTGGGGATTTGGCCCACAACCTGGGCATGTGCCCTGACCAGGAATCGAACAGGCAACCTCTTGCTGCATGGATCGACGTTCAACCAATAAGCCACGCCACTGGGCTCTGCAGATAATTTTTGAACCACATGTCTCTCACATAGCTACATTCACAGAATCAAAACTTCAAAAGTAATGCAAACATGCCGTGACAAGGACAATTTGTTCCTTGATCAGCATCTTTTCCAGGATTTTAGTTTCACAACCTTCCCAATCTACCCCTTGCTTACCCATGCCAGTGGAGATTTTTTTTTAAGTATTTTTTAATTGACTTTTTTTTCGAGAGAGAGAGAAACATTGATGAGAAAGAAACATCGATGGGCTGCCTCCCACATGCCCCCTTCCAGGGATCAAGCCCACAACCTGGGCATGTGCTCTGACCAGGAATCAAACCGGGACCTCTCAGTACATGGGATGGCGCTCAATCCACTAAGCCACGCTGGCTGGGTGCCAATGGAGATTTTCAAGACACAGGGGTCTGAGGTCCTACATCTCATTGAGGCCTTTTTTTTTTTTGCATTTATCTTCCAATAGAGTGGGAGGGAGAGAAGGAGGAAGAGAAAAACATCGATGTGACAGAGACACATTGAGTGGTGGCCACCCACACAACCCCAACCAGGGGCTGGGGACAAACTGCAACTGAGGTACATGCCCTTAGCGGGAATCAAACCTGGGCCTCTCTGGTTCACGGGCCGACGCTCTAACCACTGAGCCAAACCGACCAGGGCTCTCATTGAGGTCTTATTGATCATTGTATCAGCCCTCAACAACAGGCAAGTGAGCACATAAACGGCACCTACACTCTGGACCTGGCATGTAGGACCACAACAACCCATCTTTTCAGGCAATTCCCTGGGAGATCCTCAGCATATATGGTACAGACAATGCCTGGTAAATTCAAAGAGGATCAAGTACTACCCAGAGTCTGATGGTCCACACTCACAAAGGCAGGCTTGAGTCCTGGTATAAAGGCCTCCGACCCTGACTGTCCCTTGTTTCGACCTCACCTACCGAGAACCACGTCAGATCTCAGATATCTCAGCCCTTCTCCACTGGCACGGGACCTGATGTCCCTTCACCAGTAACAACTGTCCTTTCCACCTCACCCTCACTCAAGGCCCAGTCCCAGGATCAGGGAGTACCCTATGTCCAGTGAATGTCTCAACTCTCGTTAATTCCTTTTTGGCCTCCAATTCATCTCACATCATTCATTCCTTGAAAACCTTGGACATTTGACAAACAAGAGTCTCCCCTTTCCCCATGTGACCACTTCTGTCTTTAACCTGTGTGTTGTGACACCCATCTCTCCACACCATGGGTCCTAATAGGAAACCCAGTCCTCAGGCTTACCCTCCTCTTCGGGGCTACTACTACCATTAACATCCTGACCGCGATTCCCCATAGCAAAGTGATCTACAGCTCCTCCCTGGTCCATATACTCTCCACTACATTTTGGAGATGTCTGTATCCTGAACTCTTCCTCAGAGCTCCAGAAGCCCCTAAACAGCTCGCTAAAACATCTCAAGCCCTTAACAGGCCAAAAATAAAACCCCTGATATCCTCAAGCAAAATTACTCTTACTACTATGGATTTCTCCACCTCAGTTGATGGTGATTCTATTCTTCCAAATGCTGGAATCAAATCTGCATATATTCCTTGACTCTCTCTCAACCTTCAAATTAGAAAATCCAGGCAGTGCCCTGGCCAGGTTACTCAGTTAGTAGTAGCACTGTCCCGATAAAACAAGGCAGTGGGTTCAATACCCTGTCCAGGCACATACAAGAAACAACCAGTAAATGCACAAATTAACAGAAAATCAACATCTGTCTCTTTATCTCCCTTCTTCTCTCTCCAAAATCAATAAATCACACTAAGAAAAGCACACACACAACAAAATCCAAGAGGCCACACCTAAAACACCAATCCAGAATCCAACTGCTTTTTCCACCTCCCCGGACACCATCCCGGTCCAGTTACCATCACACTCACTCACACTGTCGCAGTAGCCCCCTCCCTGGTCTTTCTGCCACATCAAGCACACCCATACTGTTCTCCATGCTGCAGTCACAGTGATTCTAAAGACATCCGGGTTAGATCACCTGCCTCCACTACTGCACATCTCCCACAGCTCCCATCACCTGCAGAGCAAACACCCAACTTGTCACCAAGCTGCTCTAGTACTCATTCTTGTAGCATTGTTCTCAGTCCCTGAACCAGCCCAGCCGCCCTTCTACATCTTTGCACATTCTGGCACCTATGCCCGAAAAGGCCTCCCACATCTCATTTCGCTTCAAAACTAAAACAAGACGCTTTATATAATCCTAGACCCGAACTTGGGCCCCTGAACCTGGTGTCAGTTTAAGATTCCCCAAGCTGGAAGGGTGGCCCAACAGTCGCAGGACACCACCATCTCAGAGGCCCTAAGAGTGTGAGGCCCTGAAATAAGCCTCCCAAGCCAGTACCCTGAGCGATTCTGCAGCTGAATCTGTGGAAAGACAAAGGTCTGTTGAGAGCCTGGCAACCACCGCCAGGGTCCCCGGGCTCGGGCCGCTCAGTGCCCTTGCGCAGCCCCGGGCCAGGTGACCTCGAGATGCCTGCACAGTCTCAGGGCCTCATCCGCAGTGCACACTCCTGCCAGTTGTCTCTACAGGCCCTCACCTCCTGTCCTCCCTGCGCTCCCCTCCCTTCTAGTCGGCTCTTCCTCTGAGCTGTTTTGGGAAAACGTTAGAACCCGACCTCAGACAACGTCTGTCTTTTGTTCGCGACCCTGCATGGCCGCCGCGTCCTGAGAATGAAAGTAAAACTCCTCACGCGCAACTTCGCCTCACCTTCCCCGCTGCCTTTCGACAGAAAGCAGGGCCCGGGTTTCCCGGATCCTCTCGGCGCGGCCGCCCGTCCACGTCTCCGCGCGGCCGGCCCGCGGCCCGTCGCCCGCTCCCACCCCCGTCACACCGCGTTCCCCACGAGCGCCTCACGGTCCGGACGCGCTGCCTGGGCCGCAGGACCCGGCGGGCGCCCGCACCCGGGGCCGCAGGGTTTGCAGGGTGGGGCGGTGAGGGACCAGGAAACGCAGACTCACCTCAGCCGGGAGCTGCAGCGCGGCCGCCGCCATTAGACTCTGTGGGCGGAGCGGACTCTGAGGCGCGGAGGTTCCGATCCCGGACAGTTGCGGCTCCAGAAGCCTCGGACCCGCCTTTGCACAGCGGAGGTGACTCCTCCGGCGCGTTCTCCGTCGCGACCTGGCGCTCGGGAGCTCGGACACCTGACTCGGTGAACCGACCGGAGAGGCCAAAATGACCACCACGAGGAGGACCCGGAAGTCCCGCCCTGACCCCATGCCCAGCAGAGAAACGCCCCCACCCTGGGCTTTCATTGGCTCAACCTGCCGTCTTGGGCGCAGTGCCCTCTGGGTAATGTAGTTCCCTCCGCTGCACAGCGGCCGTTAGTGTCCTAGCCGCTGACCTTGGAGATGAAAGGATGTGCCGCTACCCTAGTCAAGTAGGTCAGTCACAGCGACTTTTCCTCACGCCAAGGTAGTGGGTTCGATACCTGGTCAGGGCTGAAATGACAATTTTAGGTTTCAGGGGAGGTTGGCAGATTTCTGTAGAGTGTTGTCTGCAACCGATTACCAGTATTTTGGAGACAGTTTTTTCAGACTCCATGAAACTCTGAATGCTCTCTGAGGCGTATTATTTTAATGATTTCCAAGGACTACAAATCCAAGTGAACATATATTCATTCTCATTCAGACACAAAATGCAAGCTTCTCTTCTTACCGGAAAGGGGATCTGGCCCTTGGCAGGTCTCCCTGGGCCTGCTGGTGGAGTGTGAGTGTGAGTGTGTTCTTGACTTTGTGCAGGAAAAATTTCACAGCATGAGTCCAAGTGAATTTTAGAGGATGTTTGTTAAAGCTGGGGACAGTGAAACAAGGAAGGGCTGGAGAAATGAGGTAGGCTGGTCAGCTTTGGCTCACTAAGAAGTCAGAGAAAAAGGGGCCTTGTGGACAGGTTCAGGGGGTTTATCTGGGACAAAACTGGTGCAGACCATTGCTGAGGCATGCCTGTTGGGGGAGGAGGGATGCCAGCTTGCTCCAGGGACGTAGAACACGTGCTGGATCCTTTGTCTTCAGTCTTTTATGTCTCTTGCTGGCGGGAATCTTAGGGGAAGTCTTGGAGGAGGGCTTCAACAGAATATTCATAAGTTTTCTAGGTGTGCTGCATAGGATGGTGGTCTTCACTGATTGGTCAGTGTCAGGGCAGGGGGTCATTAGTCTTGGCAGCTGGTCCTAGTGTAGCTCACCTGATTTTGCTGCTTTACTGAGTCTGAAGCCGAAATACAACTGAGGCCTAGCAGTTATTTCTAGGGAGGTGACCTTCTGTATCTGCTGTAAATTGCTGTCAGTTTGCTCAGCTCTCTATCTGTTTCCCTAGTCCACTTGTCCTGGCTTACTGACCTGTCTCACTCTTAGCTGGAATGTGTTAACCATTTTCTGCCAATTCAAATGCACGGAGTCAGAAACCTTACTGGATTTTGTAACTTTCTCTGTGTTCAGTTTGGCCAGGACTTAAAAGATAAGGTGGAATTTAGGCCACCCTCAGGAAGGACAAAGAGTTATCTCTGCCTCTGGTTCTCACAGAGGACATTTCTGCTGCCTGTATCCTCTGTGATGGTGTCCAAGCCATAGAACAACATTGTTTATCCATTTAGTATTTCCTATATTATATCCTAGGATATTTTCAATTCCTTAAGGAACCTGACACATTTCTGAAATAGAGAGCAACTTACCAAATTCTGTTTGGGTATGGATCTCAGTCCTCAGTGCAGACTTTTGCCAGTTAAATTGTCTTTTACAGGTCTTCAGCTTCCTGTCCCTAACTGCTATCATCACTCTTCTAGTCTATTTTTCCTCTGAGTAGTTTTTTGGAAAACTTTAGAACTCTACCTCACACAATGTCCCTCTTTTGTTCACAACCCAAGTTACCATGGCCTGCACTGACCCCGTGCCTGACTACAGTATTCTCAGCAAAGCACATGTGCAAGGAAGGCATCCGAACACCATCATCTTACCTAGTCTTACTGGAAAAAAGATTATCATTTTTCTGATAATTGCTTGGACTCTTGAGCATGAGCAGTTGATATGTCAGAAATAAAATTGTGAAGTGCAGTTTACCCAGAGCTATTAATAATGATTATGTAGTTATTCAAAGACAGTGATAGAAATAGTTCTGAGGAAACATCAGTGAAGGGGGAAGAGTTAGGTCAGTTAGGGCACATACAACAATCAACTAATGAATGCATAAATTATAAATAAGTGGAACAACAAATTGATATTTATCTCCCTTTCTGTCTCTAAATGTCAATAAATTTAAAATAAAATAAAATCAGCAAAACATTCAGAAAACTTTGAGCTCCCTTGACCAAACATACATACTCTCACTAGCCCTAATGGCCACATAGTCCACTCACTCAGTTTCCCCTATTTGAAATTCAGGCTGGAAGACTTGTGTGTCCAGAAATTTCACCTCCAATATCAGATTCTGCCCTACTATTTGCAGACATGGCAAAATATTACAAGAGGCACATGTATTATACTCAGTCTCTGTCATTACCTCGTGAAGGCCACCTTTTGGTCCCAAAAGAATTATGAAAAAATAAAGGCTATCCTTTTAAAATGAAGCCCAAAAAGGCTGAATTACATTTAACTGAGCTGAAGTATGAAGGTTAATGTGCCAGAGGCAATGGTCCGTGGTATCAACATCTGACGGCTGATCACGCACTTACTGATCATTCCCCAAAAGCACCTGCCAACAACTTATCTTTTACTTCTCCAAATACAAAGTGTATTCTCTTCAGGGGAAAGTACATTAACAAATATATTGTTCATTTTTGTTCTGTGTGGTGAAGAAAAATATTTTTTTCTACTGCTCTATTTCTCAATGTGGGTTGAGATTATGGCTTTGTGTGAATGTGTGTAAATTCAATCTTTTTTTTTTTTCAGCTTTACTGAGGTATAATTGACTAACCTGTAAGATATTTACAATGTACATGTTATGATTTAATAAACATATACATTGTGAAAGGCAGATTAAGGCTTTTGATTGGGGGTTTTGGCTTCTTTTTTGAAGGTTTACAATTTTTCAGAAACTCAGAGAAACTGGATTTGTGAACTGCTAAAGGTGTAAATGTGAAAGGTAATGTTTTATTTATCTGACGAATAAAAGTTAGAGGAATCTAATTAGAAGTCTAGGCACCATAAAGTATAGTTTACACATGTCTGTACTGTAGACATCTAGATTAGTAAAGGGAAACTCAGGATTTTAAATAACAAGAGAATATTGAACCAACTATATAAAACATTAATACCTCAATAAACAATTTTTTCAGTGAGCAGAGTTTTCAGTGAATAAAGTTAAAAGACACACCTAATAAAGCCATACAAATGTATTTTGTATCCTGATTGCAATTTGCCTTAAATAACTAATGAATACAATTCAGCACTAACATACTTATATTTTTTAAATATTTGTGTGGCCCTGGCCAGTTTTGCTCAGCGGTTAGAGCATTGGCCCGCGGACCAGAGAGGCCCAGGTTTGGTTCCTGCTAAGGGCATGTACCTCAGTTGCAGTTTGTCCCAGGCTCCAGTTGGGTTAGTGTGGGTGGCGACCACTTGATGTGACTCTCTCCATCGAGATGTTTCTCTCTCTCTTCGACCCTTTCTCCCTCCTGCTGTATCTGAAGATAAGTGCAAAAATGTCCTCAGGTGAGGATTAAAAAAAAAAATAATAATAATAATAAAAATATTTGTATGTACCCAGGTTATCAGAGTCCTTACATTTTAGAAAGGCATTAGATCTGGGATTTTAAATAAAATAACCACTAATATCCCTGGGGATAGATAGATACAAGAACCACCAGGATGACAGATAATGATGGAGGGCTAGGATAGGATTCATTGGGTTTCATAAGTGATTTCTGTTCGTGGATATATTTGATATAAGCCATTACAAAGGTAGACTATGTACCTGCATCAGTAATTTTATATGCCAAAAAGGAAGTAATGAAAAAAGCAGGAGAAACTTGATTTCAGGGATGTAAGCATGTATGGAAAAAGTAGGTTTTAAATCAATTATACTTAAAGTGTAAAATAAAGGTTTAAAACTTGCCACTTCTCAGTCATTTCGCTGTTCTATCATCAATGCTCTTGAGGTTATTTGTTGCTACTGTATCAGTACATTGGAAATAAAATATAATAGTGTGCTACTGGAACATCTTCCCATCTCCATGTTCTGTGACATCATTCTGGTACTTTGAAGCTGATGATAATGAGAGTATTTACAGCAAGAAAATTGACAAAGATTAAAACCTAGACTTGACTTAAAGTATTATGGAATATATAGACTTAAAGAAAGTGGTGGAGTAAGTTCACAAGACAGATTCATCTTATACATGTATGGTACAAGTGAGCTTTAAATTATATATAGGCCCAGCCGGTGTGGCTCAGTGGTTGAACGTCAACCCATGCACCAGGAGGTCGCCGGTTCGATTCCAGGTCAGGGTACATGCCCAGGTGGTTGGCCGAATCCCCAGTCAGGGCCAGGCTGAAGGTGGCCAATTGATGTTCTCTCTCATCAATGTTTCTATCTCTCTCTCCCTCTCCCTTCCTCTCTAAAATTAATAAAGAAAAAATATTTAATAAATAAATTGTATATAGGACCAAAAATTGAAGGAAAAAAAACAATTTTCTTTCAAGTATTAAAAAAGTAAGTGTTCCATATGTAAACAAAGTAACTCATGTCACTGAGGAATGAGTAAAATTCCAACATATGTCTTTGTTGCTGCACTATTTTCCTATTGGTTAAAATAAAAAATTCATGAAAAGAGCCCTGGCTGGTTAGGCTCAGCAGTTAGAGCGTGGGCCTGTGGACCAAAGAGTTGTGGGTTCAATTCTGGTCATGGTCCCCAGCCCTGGTCAGGGTTGTGCGGGAGGCAATTGATGTATCTCTCTCAAATTGATGTTTCTCTCTCTCTCTCTCTCCCCTCCTCCCTCTCTGCCTGAAAATAAAGGAAAAAATATCCTTGGATGAGAATTTAAAAAAAAAGATTCATGCCCTGGCCAGTTTGGTTCAATGGTTAGAGCATTGGCCTGTAGTCCCAAGAGGCCCGGGTTCGGTTCCCACTAGGGGCATGTACCTCGGTTGCAGTTTGTCCCCGGCCCTGGTTGTGTCGTGCGGGTGGCAACCACTTGATATGTCCCTTTCATGTCGATGTTTCTCTCTCTCTCTCTCTCTTCCCCTCTCTCTCTCTTCTTCTCTCTCCCTCCCACTCTGTTTGAACAGAAAAATGGAAAAATGTCCTCAGGTGAGGATTAAAAAAAAAAAAGATTCATAAAAAGAAAATAGGCAAAATATTTTGAGTAGACATTTTACCAAAGGTGATAAAGACAATGTAAATAATTGCATGAAAAAATGCTCACCATTGTGAATTCTTAAGGAAATGGAATTAAAATAAAAGACAGTTACCACTACACTGATTTCCAGGGCTAATATTTACAAAGATGAACCATAGCAAGTGCTGGCAGAGTTGCAGAAGAACTGGAATTTTCATTACTGTGCGTGGGTGGGAAGAAAAAGGGAATGACCGTTTTATTATTATTTTTTTTTAATCCTCACCTGAGGATATTTTTCTATTTATCATCAGATAGAGTGGGAGAGGGGGGGAGAGAGAGAGAGAGAGAAAGACATCAATGTGGGAGAGACACATCAACTGGTTGCCTCCTGCACAACCCCGACCAGGGCTGGGGATGAACTGCGACCGAGGTAAATGCCTTTGACTGGAATCAAACCTGCGAATCATTGGTCTGTAGGCCAATGCTCTAACTGCTGAGCAAAACCAGCCAGGGCAGGAATGACCATTTTAGATCATAGTTCTGCATTTCTTAAAATGTAAAACACTGACCTACAATGTAAGAGTTTGAGAAACAAAACATATGTATATAAAAACTGAATTCAAATATTCACTGCAGGTTTATTTGTAATACCCCAAAGCATACACAGATGAATAGATAAACAAAGCAGTAATCCACAGAACAGTATAGGACTCAACAATAAAAAGAATTAACTATGCACATATGTATCACTGTTGAATGCCAAAATTACTGTGCAGCATGAAGGAAACAAGTATTTTTTTTTAATCCTCCCCAAAGATATCCTAAGAGAGAGGAAGGGAGAGAGAGAGAGAACAACAGAAAAATAAACATCATGTGAGAAAAATCTTTGGGTTGGTTGCTTCCCATACATGCCCCAATCCAGGACAGAACCCACAACCCAGGTATGTGCCCTGTGAATCGAACTGGCAACCTTGCAGTGCACAGGAAAATGCTCAACCAACTTAAATTATAGAAAATATAAACTAATCTATGGGAAAGGTAGATAAATCAGCGACTTTCAGGAGGTCTAGGAAAGGCAGGGAGAGAGATTATATAAGAGCAGGAGGCAAATATATGTTGGGGCAAAAGTAGGTTTACAGCCCTGGCCAGTTTGGCTCTGCTGTTAGAGCGTCGGCCCATGGACCAGAGTCCCAGGTTTGGTTTCCACTAAGGTCATGTACCTTGGCTGTGGTTTGTCCCCGGCCCCAGATGGGGTCCTGTGGGTGGCAGCCAGTCAATGTGTCTCTCTCACATTGATGTTTCTCTCTCTTCCTCCCTCTCTCCCTACCGCTCTATCTGAAGATAAATGCAAAAAAATATGTCCTCAGGTGAGGATAAAAAAAAGTAGGTTTAGAGTTGTTTGTATGAAAAAGAATGCAATGATAAAAAATAGTATAAGAATAAACTGTTTTGTGTACTCCTAACTGTAACACTATTTTTACCCAACATTGTATATAAGTGACAGGTAGGTTTATTCCTGTATGTCAAAGCTCATCAAATAGTACACATTAGATAAGTAAACTTTGTTAAATGTCAATTATACATATACCTAAAGCTTTAAAAACTGGTTCCAAATAAAGACCTAGATATCCCTCTTTTCTTAAATAATTATGTAGGCAAGCCTATATGGACTCTACTATATTTCTTCTCATGTCCAGGGAGGTGCAATCTTGCTCAGTGGCAACAAATACTGACAAGCAGTGAGGTCTACAGCCATCTGAATCAACAGGAATGCTGACTGAGTCACAAAAGTTATAGCCTGGGTCCGGCCAGTGTGGCTCAGTGGTGGAGCGTTGACCCATGCACCAAGGATTCGCTGGTTCAGTTCCCGGTCAGGACACATGCCCAGGTTGTGGGCTCGATCCCCAGTGAGGGGCATGCAGGAGGTGGCCAATCTAGGTTCTCTCTCATTGATGTTTCTATCTCTCTCTCCCTCTCACTTCCTCTCTCTCTAAAATCAATAAAGGAAAAAAAATTTTTTTTAAAGATATACCCTGGGACCAACTATAGGACCATCCTTCTCTCTAGCTTTGTTTTCTTGTCTGTAGAGCAATGGCCTTGGGATGAACACCCCAAAGAGGCCAGGGGAATCCACAAAACCCATTAAGATTATTTTCTCTGCCAGTGACCTCAGCCACAGGAAATAGTTATGGAGGTCCTGAGATTGTCTGTAACCACAGAGCACACAAAGCCACAGTCCCTGGAACATTTGTGGATAAACGTTCAGAAGAGGCACCTTCCACCTAATTTACTGCAGTACACTCACTATTAGTACAGTGTTTCTGTACTGAGTGCGGTTCCACATAACCTTCAGAGTCTTACAACAAATGACACCAGCCTATGAAATTTCGTGCATCATGGCACATGGCTCCTTTGCAGGACCTGGGGCAGAGGAACCCTCAACATTACTGAGAATTATGTAATATGTACTGTGAACAAGGCAATAAAATTCATATTGTTCAAAGAAGCCAAAAAGGCCTTCTCTTCAACGTGACCTATGACCTCCCCAGTAATGTGCCACCAGGCAGCAAATTAGAAGCACAGAGCCATGCAGTCTTACACTGAAGTCTTTGTGCAGCAATGCAAAACATGGCAATGTTAAAAACCGGCCATCTTCTGCCATCCTACCGTCCCTTCTGAAGCATAGAAAGTTTGGGATCCCAACAAAATCTGTTCAGCCCTACATGCTCACAGATTGCAATTCTGCTTTCAAATCATCGTGCACAGTGAATAGAACCACCAAAATTAAAGGTACAAAGCAAAATCACCTTTACATAAATATCATAAAACACCCTGCTGGTGTGCTCAGTGGCTGGAGCATTGGCCCACAGACAGACTGAAGGGTCTCGGGTTCTATTCCTAGTCAAGGACATTTACCTGGGTTACGGGTTCAATCCCTGGCCCAGGTCAGGATCATGTGAGAGGCAACCAATCAGCGTCTCTCTCTCTCTCTCCCTACTTTCCTCCATCCTTTCCACTTTCTCTAAAAATCAATGGAAAAATATCCTCGGTGAGGATTAACAACAACAACCAAAAGTCATAAACCAGAGCAATGTACAGCAAGCAGTTTCCAGGTTGGTGAATTAGAAGCTGTAAAAAGTCATCACAGCATAATGTGAAAACAACACAATGTCCCTGAATGAGGTTGTCCTTGTTTGCTTAGGTTGGGTCCTCTGGACCATCACTGGCTCTGGTTGTTCCCTAGTTAGAAAGGAAGGAATGAAGATCCTGCCAAGTGGTCAGAGTATTCATACTTTCCTCAAGCAAAAGGGAGAACTCAGAGGTCAGCCTCCCTGAGCATCTAGGGGTTGTAACTGTGCAGCAGAGCCAGGTGGTAGATGTAAAATGGCCCCAGCCACAAAATGTGACATCGGTCTAGTAATAGCCCTGGGCAGGTTAGCAAATGCAATGCAGCTCCTTATAGCCTCGCATGTACCTGAAAGTTATGAGGAATCTTGCACAGTGTATGTTCCACTAAAAGAAATTTAAATTACGGCTCTCATAGTCTCCTCCAGTGTTGTTATATTAAGTGAGGAAATAAAACATTCCCAGCACATTTAAGGCTTTTCTCCAGTGTGAACACTTCAGTGTCTAAGGAGGTTAGATTTGAGGCTAAAAGATTTCCTACATTCACTACACTCAGGTCTTTCCAGGGCATGAACTGTCTGTTGTTTAACAAGGCCAGAAGCATGGCTAAAGGATTTTCCACATTTGCTACATTCAAAATGCTTTTCTCCAGAATGAACTCGCCGGTGTTGAATAAGGTTGGAACTTTGTCTAAAAAATTTCCCACAATCACTACACTGATAAGGCATTTCTCCAGTGTGAAGTCTGTGGTGTCGGAAAAGGGTAGAGCTCCGTGTAAAAAACTTACCACACTCTGTGCACTCATAGGGCTTTTCTCCAGTGTGACATCTCTGGTGTTCAATGAGGACAGAGTTTGTGATAAAGGACTTCCCACAATCGCTACACTCATAAGGCTTTTCTCCAGTGTGAACCCTCTCGTGTTTAAGGAGGTGTTCTTTGCGTCTAAAAGATTTCGCACACTTACTACACTCATAAGGCCTTTCACCAGTGTGACCTTTGTGGTGTTTAATGAGCTGAGAGCTTTGTCTGAAGGACTTTCCACAATAACTACATTCATAAGGCTTCTCTCCAGTGTGAATTCTCTGGTGTTGAATGAGTCTATATTTATAGCTAAAGCATTTCCCACAGTCACTACATTCATATGGCATTTCTCCAGTATGAACTCTCTGGTGACGAATGAGGCCAGAAGTATCACTATAAGATTTCCCACATTCACCACACTCAAAAGGATTTTTTGCAGAATGAACTCGACGGTGTTGACTAAGACTGCTACGCTGTCTAAAGCATTTCCCACAAATACTGCACTCATACGGCTTTTCTCCAGTGTGACATCTCTGGTGTTCAGTGAGGCTAGAGTTTTGGCTGAAGGACTTCCCACAATCACGACACTCATATGGCTTTTCTCCAGTGTGAACTCTCTGGTGTTGAAGGAGGTTATACTTTTGTCTAAAGGTTTTCCCACATTCACTGCACTTATAAGGCTTTTCTCCAGTGTGAACTCTCTCGTGTTTAAGGAGGTGATCTTTGCGTCTAAAAGATTTCCCACATTTACTACACTGATATGGCTTTTCACCAGTGTGACCTCTGTGGTGTTCAGTGAGCTTGGAGCTATGTCTGAAGGACTTTCCACAATCACTACACTCATAAGGCTTTTCTCCAGTGTCAACTCTCAGATATTGAATGAGGACAGATTTGTAAGTAAAGCATTTTCTACGAACACTGTACTCACATGGCTTTTCTCCACTGTGAACTCCCATATGTCCAATGAGGTTAAAGATTTGTCTAAAGGCCTTCCCACATTTGCTACACTCATAAAGCCGTTCTTTAGTGTAGACAGCATGACACTGAGCATGTTTCTGGTTGTGACGGGCAGCTTTTTCACATTCACCCCACTCATGATGACTTTTCCCACTGTGAATGGCCTGCCCCCTCTCAGTGCCCCTGTGTGGCTCTACACTGTTAGACAAGGTCTCCTGCTGGAAATGGACTGAAATGCCTGGGAAGCCCTTCCCAACCTCCATACAGGTGAAAGATGCCCCTGATACGAAGAAGCTGCTCCCAGTCAGAGACGAGGCCCTGTCCATATCTCCTTCCCAGGGCTTCTCTCCACTGACATCTCCCTGTTGCTGGTGAATGTTTGCACTGAAACAGCAGCCTCTCACACATACGTCTCTGAAGAATGCTTTCTGCTCAATGTTTGCTGCTTGTAACTCAGTCAAGAGCAAAGTAGCTTTCAAGACTGAGACACACTGCTCACAGGGATGGGTCTTCTGGGTTGCTGGAGCTGTCTTAGAAGCCCTGACCTGTGACTCTCCTTCTACAGATACACTCAGCTCAGAAGGGGCCTCCTCGTGTTCCAATTTATGGCAACAACCTGAAAGCAGAGAAATGCTGAGGACATAGATGTTGACTTTAGTGGGAGTGGGAAGTCCCATTACAACAGTTTGTCAGACATAATACATTAGTTTCATGAGATTATATGAAATAAGAGACCTGGAGGCAGGTTGAATAAGGGGCTGCTGTGCAGCACTGGGCCTCTGAAGATCACTAATCGGAGAGATGTCACCAGAAAAAGGACAAAAAGAAAACATGCACCACATGAACAGAAGCCGGATCTCCAACTCATGCTTCTGCTAACAATGTTTAGCAGCGCTTGTCTGCTGGTGCCATGGGCAAGCTGTGGAGAAGGTTGGTTAGGATTTTCTCCCAGGAAAACTCAATAAATGAGTAGCTGGTGTCCGCACACTACTTAAGGCTGTATGTACACCTCATAACACATGAGCAGGTTGATGGTGGAGGATGCTGCAGAGGGAGCAGTGCAGAAAGAAAAGAAAAACAGCTGATTCACGGAGGTACAAAGGGAAGGTAGCCAGGAACTGGGAAGTCACAGATGAAATGATAGGTCAGCAAAGCGTCAAGTATGAGGAAGAAAAGGTAGAAATGTTTCATAGGCAGTGGAACTGGCTCCAACACACTACTGGACACAGGGCAGGATTCTGGCATGATCTGAACAAAGCCTTATGTTATGTCATGTCCCAGTTGCCACTCACCAGGGCCAGGCCTCCTCTGAGACCATCTTGCCATGTCCACCCTGTGGAAAAAAACTGGGTTCACCCTGCACCTTCTATTGTACAACTACTCAGATCCTGAATGATTCAGGCCTTAATGAAAGACAACAAAGCGCCCTGGCCAGTCTGGCTCAGCAGTTAGAGTATCGGCCTGTGGTCCAGAGAGACCCGGGTTCGATTTCTGCTAAGGGCACGTACCTTGGTTGCGGTTTGTCCCTGGCCCTGGTTGGGCCCTGCGGGAGGCAGCCACTCAATGTGTCCCTTTCACATCGATGTCTCTCTCTCTCTCTCTTCCTCTCTCTCCTTCCCACTCTATCTGAACAAAAAATGGAAAAATGTCCTCGGGTGAGGATAAAAAAAAAAAGGGAAAGACAACAGAGGTGAGCAGCCAGCACTGCCCAGAGCAGCTCGGCACACGGTGGTATTCAGGGGAGACAGCATTACAAACACTGGAAAAGAGATCTTACAACTACAGTCCATGGTTCATGTAAGTAATGACCATGGCCTGGCACAGACAGTCACAAAAACCTTCAGCTTAGCTAGAGGAAGGGGGCAGAGTGGAAGCCATGGATCTGGACACAGCCACCCTGCAAGGGAGAGGGTGAAGAGGTGGAATGCATTATGCTGTCTCCGAGACTCCTGACTCCCAGACGCTTCCTGGACTTTTTCAGGCAGCAGGTGTTAGGATGCTTGGGGAGTCCCTGACTCAGGGTACTCCTCACAACTCAGCACTGCTAGTCACATTACATATGACAAGAAAGTGAGGACGATTAGCAAAGGCCTGTGGTCTGGCTGTGGAAAGGCAAAGCTACCTCAGGAGAAAAAAGAGAAGGCAGAACACCACCTCAGGAGACTAGGAGGGATGTGAAGGTCTTACCCACGGACGCTACAAGTGCAAAGATTTCCAGCATCACATCGCAGTACAGAAGTCTCTGATCCTCATCAAGGAGCCCCCACTCCTCCTGGGAGAAGACAATGGTCACGTCCTCAAAGTTCATATCCTGTCACAATGGAGAGAGTTCATTCCATGATCAGTTTCTCTCCTATGATTTTACATTCCTCATACCCCCACCCTCCACATCCATCTGCTCCATCTACTCCCCACCTCAGAGAAGATTCGAGACTTTGGTGCTATCAAACTCACTCCCTCCTTATATTCCCATTGATACTATGTCTTCCCACAACAATAAGCAGATGAACAGACAGATGATACCTGAGCTCTGGGCCTGGCACGTAGGCTACAATGCCTCTTGTTAACACGGTGGGTGTCTCAAACATAGTACAGGGAGAGAAGTTGGCTCTAGAGAGGGTGTGAGTGATAAAACACTGTTCTTGTCAAGCAATACCCTGTGATCCCCCACATCATTCCTCCAAGACACAAAACAGGTGTCATCACCCTTCACCCTTAGGACTCCAATCCCAGGGCACTGAGGACATCCATTTACACTACCCTCTGCACATAATTCTTTGAACCACATGACTCTTACACAGCTACATGCCCAGAACACAACTTGAAAAGCAACACAAACATGCCTTGACAAGGACAATTTCATTTGTGAACAGTATCTTTCCCAGGATTCTAGCTTCACCACCTCCCTACTTACCCTTCTTCCTTTCCCATGCCAGTAAAGATTATTGAGCCCGGGTGGCACTGACGTCTGCTATCTCATCGAGGTCCTATTGATCACTCTATCAGCCCTCAAGAACAATATGCAGGTGGGCACATAAATGGCACCTAAACTCTGGACCTGGCAGGTAGGAACACAACACCCCCTATTTTCATGCAACTCCCCCGGGGTTCCAAATATTGTTTCCTCTAGACACCACCAGACATGGGCTCACAATCAATTCACTCCTAACTTCTAAGCCAGGGACCTGGAGCCATGAATTCAGTCCCTCTCCAAGCACTCAACACTCTTCCTGCCACACCCCTCACACCTGCACTCCCACAGCCCAGCCTCCTCCTGCCCCACACCGTCACCTCCTCGTCCTCTCTACTCGTTACTCAGCATATGTGGTCCAGACAACGCTTGGTCAATTCAAACAGGATCAAGTACTACCCAGACTCTGGCATAAAGGCCTCCCTCCGACTGTCCCTTGTTTTGACCTCACCTATGGAGAACCACGTCAGGTCTCAGATGTCCACAGCCCTTCTCCACTGGCGCTGTCCCTCCACCAGTAGCAGCTGTCGTCTCTCCACCTCAACCCCACACAAAGGCCCAAATCCAGTGGCTGCCACCATATGCTCAATGAGTCTCCCAGATGACACTAAGCTAAACCACCTGACTGACTGCCACACCAGGGGTCACAACAAAATCCTGATGAGTGTTTAGAACAGTGAATATGAACCTGCCACACTGTCATCTTCTGCGGATTCCTCTTTTAATGTGTCTCACGTCCACTCACCCCTTGAAGGCCTTGGCCACTTGCCAAACCATAATCTGCTCCCCACCCTCTAAACGATCACTTCTGTCTGTAACCTGTGTTGTGACACTCACTTCCCACAACCAGGGGTCCCAACAGGAAACCCACTCTTCAGGCCCACCCTCTTCCTGAGCTACTCCTACCATTATCATCCTGACAAAGATTCTCCATATTAAAGTGATCTACAGCCCTGGCAGGTTTGGCTCGGCAGTTAGAGCATTGGCCTGTGGACCAATGAGTTGCAGGTTTGATTCTGGTCAAGGGCACGTACCTCAGTTGCTGTCCGTCCCTGATCCTGGTCGGGTCGTGCGGGGTGCAGCCAGTCGATGTGACTCTATCACATCAATGTTTCTCTCTGTCTCTCTCTCTGTCCCTTCTTCCCACTCTATCTGATGATAAACAGAAAAGTATCCTTGGGTGAGGAATAAAAATAAATAAATAAAGTGATCTACAGCTCCTCTCTGTTCCATGTACTCTCCACTACTCTTTGGAGAAGTCTCTATCCTAAAGTCCAGACTTCCATGAACTGCTCTCTGAAACATCTCATACCTTTAACATTTATACCTTTAAATATAAAACTCCTGAGATTCCCCAATGAACATTACTCTTACTGCTATGGATTTCCCCATCTCAGTTGATGGTGTTTCCATATTGTCAGCTAGTAAAACCAAACCTTCATGTGATTCCCTGACTCTTACCTCTGTCTATTCAACCTTCAAATTAGAAATCCAGGAGACACACTGGCCGGGCTGCTCTGCTGGCAATACGCCAAGGTTATGGGTTCGATCTCCTGTCAGGGCACATACAAGAAACAATCATTGAGTGCATAAATAAGTAAACAACGAATCAACATCTCTCTCTCTCTCTCTGTGTCTCTTTCTCCTTTCCTCCCTCTCTAAAATAAAATAAAAATGAAAATAAAACATCCAGACAACCACACCTAGAAACCCGATTTAGAATCCAACTGCCTCTCCCACATCCAAGGTCACCTGATCCAGTTACCATCACACTCACCCAGAAGATCACAGCAGCCTCCTCCTTAGTCTTTCTACCAGCTCCCTCACACCATACTGTTCATGCTGTAGCGACAGGGAGACAAATGAGACCTGGGTCAGATCATCTGCCTCCACTGCTCCTAATCTCCCATTGCTCCCCTCTCCTACAGAAGACACCCAACTTGTCACAAGATACTCTAGACCTGAATCCTGTCCCAATGTTCCCAGTTTCCATGAGGAAGAAAGGCTATCTGGCCCTGGCCAGTTTGGCTCAGCGGTTAGAGCTTCCGCCTGCGGTCCCGAGAGACCCGGGTTCGGTTCCCGCTAACGGCACATGCCTCAGTTGCAGTTTGTCCCCGGCCCTGGTTGGTCACGCGGGTGGCAGCCACTCGATGTGTCCCTTTCACATCGATGTTTCCCTCTCTCTCTCCCTCCCACTCTGTCCGTACAAAAAATGGAAAAATGTCCTCGGATGAGGATAAAAAAAAAAAGAAAGGCTATCTGCAGGTCCCTGAGCCAGTTCAACCTCCCCTCCAAGGCTTTGCACATTCTGACACCTATCCCAGAGTGGACCTCCCTCATCTCATTCTACTGGAGGCCAAAAACAGGAACCACTTTGCATAACCCTATACCTGGACTTAGGATTCTGAGCTTGGTGTCTGTTCCAAGTCCCAGGTCCAAGGGCTGGAAGAGTTATACAACAGTCCCAGGACAGCACTATCTCAGAGACCATTAAGAGTGTGAAGCCCTCAAATGAGCTCCACAGGCCAGTACTCTGAGCGATTCTGCAGGTGCAGGAATCTGTGGAAAGACAAAGGTCTGTTGAGAGCCTGGCAACCACCGCCAGGGTCCCCGGGCTCAGGCCGCTCCCTGGCCTTGCCCAGCCCCCCACCCCCCAGGTGACCTCGAGATGCCTGCACTGCCTCAAGGCCTCAGCCTCAGGGCACAAACTCTTGCTAGCGACGTTGTCTTTCACAGGCCCTCACCTCCTGTCCCCAACGGCGCTGCTCTCCCTTCCAGTCTCCTCTGAGCAGCTTTGGGAAAACTTCAGGCAGTTGTTCCTCTTTTGTTCACAACCCTGCGAGGTCCCCAGGGTCCTGAGAATGAAAGTAAAACACCTCAGGCATAAAACTTCGGTTCACTTTCTCCTCCGATGCCTTTAGACAGAAAACGGGGCGCGTGTCTCCCGAATCCTCTCCTCTCGTCCCCAGCCGCCCGTCCACGACCTTACACGGGGGTCCTCAGCCGGTCATCCTCCCCCACCCCGGCATGTGCCACCCACGGGCGCCTCACGGTCCGCACGCCGGGCCTGGGCTGCAGGACGTGAGCGGCGCCCGCGCCCCGGCTGCAGGGCTCGGGGCGGGGAGGCCGGGGGAAGGGGCAGGGGGAAGGGGGGCGGGGAGGCCGGGGGACGCGCTCTCACCTCAGCCGACTCTGCTCGGAGGCCGCGATCCCCAACAGTTGCCGCTCGCCAAGCCTCGAACCGGTCTCTGCACAGCGAGGACGACCCCTCTGGCGCTTCCCGGGCGGGATCTGGCGCTCGGGACCTCTGACTCGGTTAACATTAACTGGGAGAGGCACCGCGGATCCTAAGAAGAGGTACCCGGAAGTCCCGCCCCGAGATCGTGCGCCAGAAATGCCACCCTGGCCTTTCATTGGCTTAACCCTGCCTACGTCGCGCGTGTTGGCCTCTGGGTAATGTAGTTTCCCGGGCCAGAGCCGGGGCGTTTAGAGTTACATGTTGCTGTAACCAGACTTGTGGTTTACTTGTTTAGAGAATCATCCTGAAAGCGCAAGGTTGTGGGTTAGATCCTCGGTTAGGGCACATACAATAATCAGCTAATGAATACATAAATAGGGGAACCAACCCATTAATGTGGATAGAGAATGGAGGTTCTGGTGTTCAAAGCTGTGGTTTTGCCTATTCGTCAATATAGCCTAAACTGATACACAGCTGCTGTTCCCCAGGCATAAGTGGAGTTAGAATTGGGTTGTTAAAGTTTCTGGTTTCCAAAACTCGTGGGACATCCAGATTTTTTTATTTTGAACTACGTTTTTAGAAACTTTACTAAGGCATAATTCACATGCAATAATCTATAGATATTTAAGGTGTACAATTTGAAAATTTTGTTGCCCCCGGCTGGGGTGGCTCAGTGGTTGAACATGGACCCATGCACCAAGAGGTCACCAGTTTGATTCCTGGTCAGGGCACATGCACAGGTTGCAGGCCAAATCCCCAGTGAGGGGCATGCAGGAGGCAGCCAATCAATGTTTTCTCTCATCGATGTTTCTGTCTCTCTCTCCTTCTCCCTTCTTTTTTTTTTTTTTTATCCTCACCTGAGGACATTTTTCGATATTTTGTTCAGATAGAGGGAGAGGGAGAGAGAGAGAGAAACATCGACGTGAAAGTGACACATCGAGTGGCTGCCACCCACATGACCCAACCAGGGCTGGGGACAAACTGCAACCAAGGTACATGCCCTTAGCGGGAACCGAACCCGGGTCTCTCCGGACCACAGGCTGACGCTCTAACCGCTGAGCCAAACCGGCCAGTGCTCTCCTTCTCCCTTCTTCTCTCTAAAATCAATAAAGAAAAATATTTTTTTTTTAATTTAAAAAATATTTTTGTCAGACATATAAGACCGTGAAATCATCATAATCATATTGAACATATCTACGATTTACCTTGTGCCCTCTTATTACTTCTTCTTGTCCTTCCTGGGCCTACAGGTGTCCAGAGAGTTACTTTTTTTTTTTTAATCCTCACCCGAGGAGATATATATATATATTGTTTTTTGGTATGTGCCCCTAGCGGGAACCAAACCTAGGACTGTCTGGTCCACAGGCCGATGCTCCAACCGCTGAGCCAAACTGGCCAGCGGTTTTTTTTTTACATTAATCTTCAGATAGAGGTGGAGGGAGAGAGGGAGAGGGAGAGAGAGAGAGAGAGAGAGAGAGACATTGATTTGAGAGAGACACATCGATTGGTTGCCACCCGCATAACCCCAACAGGGGCCAGGAGGAACTGCAACTGAGGTACATGCCCTTGGTCGGAATCTAATCCAGGACTCTGCTCTGCGGGCAACACTCTTACTGTTGAGCCATACCAGCCAGGGCACGATTTACTATCTTCAACAAAAAATTTATTGCACATTGTCTAAAAATTTACATGAATTTTTGTTTGTTTGTTTTAAAATATGTTTGTATTGATGCCCCCTCCTGGGGACAGAACCTACAACCTGAACAGGTGCCCAGACTAGGGATCAAACCCAGACCTCTCAGTCCATGGGACAATGCTCAATCCACTGAGCCATACCGACTGGGCTTACATGAATTGAGTCAAAGTGTTTACTCTTTCTTCTTGTATTGTTCACACTGCATAATTATTTTGAGATTCATCAATGATGCTTATGTGAATAGTCATTCTTTTTATTGTTTAGTATTCTTCTCTATGGATATGCCACTATTTGTTCATTCATTTTTCTGTTAATGGGCATTTGGGTTGCTTCCAGTTTACTGCTGTTAGAAATAAAGCTGGACAAAGGCATACAATTCGTGTGTGTGTGTGTGTGTGTGTGTGTGTGTGTGTGTGTCTGTTTTTCAAATTATAAGAGAAAGTTTATTTAGAAAGCTAGAGAGGTGGTAGAAGTGAGCCGGCTGGGCTGTGTAGGCTCAGGAAACAAGTTACAGAGTCAAAAGAAGGGCCCGCGGAGCATCGGAGAAAGGAAGGAAAGTACACTCGACGAGAAGATTTGAGTGGGCATGCTCCTTATATGAATGTGTTTTTCCTTGTGCCCATACTTCAAACTATGTAAATGTTTCCATATTTAAGAAATTGCAAAACTGATCTAAATTGGCTGTACCCATCTATGTTCCCACATAGCCATGTAATAATATTAATCATAATGAATAATAGTAATATCATACATTTTCTTGTAGACTGTTTTCCTGACTCAAGAAAAATCAATTTCTTCTCCCTTGACATTACTATCGCTACTGGATTCTGCATCCCACCCTTTTCCACATTTTCCATTCATTTATTCATTCTCCTCTTTATCCATTAGATTCTCAAAGGCATTTCCTTGCACTGTAACTCCCTGGCCTTTATGTTCTCAAAATACCATTGTGATTGTCCAGGCGGTGTGGCTCAGTGGATTGAGCACTGTTTAAGTGTTCTATTCCTGGTCAGAGCACATGCCCAGATTTCAGGCTCGAGCCCCGGCAGGGGGCATGCAGGAGGCAGCCTATAGATGTTTCTCACATTGATATTTCTATTTCTCTTCCCTTCCTCTCTCTCTAAAAAATCAATAAAAATTTATTTTTAAAAAAGTACCATTGCCCTGGCTGGTTTGGCTCAGCGGCTGGAGCATCAGCCTGCGGTCCAGAGAGACCCGGGTTCGGTTCCCGCTAAGGGCACGTACCTCGGTTGCAGTTTGTCCCCGGCCCTGGTTGGGTCGTGCGGGTGGCAGCCACTCGATGTGTCCCTTTCACGTCGATGTTTCTCTCTGTCTCCTCTCTCTCCCTCCCACTTTATCTGAACAAAAAACGAAAAAATGTCCTCGGATGAGGATAAAAAAAAAAAAAAAGTACCATTATGATCTTTGACCTTGTCTGTACATCTGACTGAAGAGGCAGCTGAAGCCAACAAATGAATGAATTGGCTTCACTGCCATGTTCTCTCCCTTCTAGTCATCGCTCCAGCTGCTCAGCCAGTCAGTGTCTGTGTCGAGCTTCAACTCAGATCCTAAGTCTGTTCCAAATGCTCCCTCATCTCCTCAATCCAATGTCTTCACTCAAGAGTCTCAAATATACCTTTAGCTCATCATGAGTAACAGAATTTCACCATCTTCCTACTACTCCAACATCCCTAACTTCAGTGAATAGTCTTGCCATACATATATGTTTGAAGTACAGATTCAGTCTTTGGCCATAATAATCTACACACAGTGCTGAGAAATTGTGACTACATAACATAAGTCCACTTTAATGTCTGAGTGTCTCTCTTTCATGATTGGATCCTAATGTTATTAGGGATGGGGGGCGGGGAGAGAGAGAGAGAAACATCTATTGGTTGCTTCCCAAACATGCCCTGAGTGGGGATGGAATTGCAACCTTGGTATGTGCCCAGACCAGTTAATAAAACCCACAACTTTTTAGTGTGTGGGAAGATGCTCTAACCAACTGAGCCACCCAGCCAGGTACAATGCATCATTTATCTGTTATATCAGCATGTAACTCTTTGGGTGACTGATTATTTGATAAGCTGTTGAAACATTTGGTTCCTACTTCTATTGCAATTTCTGCATTTATTAGCTATAAATCCTATATAAAGAATTTTCCACAATCTTCTGTATGGTTACCTCAAAATACAGCCTTTACAGAAAAGGGAGTGAAAAGCTTGATACCTTCACTCTAGTTAGCAATTTTTCAGAAAAATTATTTGAATCTCTGATATCAACCTCAAACAATAACTAAATGTTTATCTCAGGGATAAGATGCCCCCTTTGCACACAGGCAAAGACTGTGATCATAGGAGGAAAAAAGCATTTGGTAAGTGGTTCTTCAGATAAGTCTAAGATTTTCAAGTGAATTGTATCTATCTTGGTCCATTCAGGCTGCTATAAGAAAATATCCTTGGCCCTGGCCGGTTTGGCTCAGCAGTTGAAGCGTCCGCCTGCGGTCCGGAGAGACCCGGGTTCAGTTCCCGCTAAGGGCATGTACCTCGGTTGCAGTTTGTCCCCGGCCCTGGTTGGTCGTGCGGGTGGCAGCCGCTCGATGTGTCTCTTTCACATCGATGTTTCCCTCTCTCCCTCCCACTCTATCTGTACAAAAAATGGAAAAATGTCCTTGGGTGAGGATAAAAAAAAAAAAAGAAAGAAAAGAAAATATCCTTGCCCTGGCTGGTTTGGCTCAGCGGTTAGAGTGTCGGCCCACAGGCCACAGAGTCCTGTATTCTGTTCCTGCTAAGGGCGCGTACCTCGATTGCAGTTTGTCCCTGGCCCTGGTTTTGGTCGTGCAGGTGGCAGCCACTCGATGTGTCTCTCTCACATTGATGTTTCTCTTTCTTCCTTTCTTCCTCCTGCTCTATCTGATGATAAATGCAAAAAACTACAAAAATATCCTTGACTGGGTAGCTTATAAACAGCAGAAATTTTCTTCTTACAGTTATGGAGACTAAATGTTCAAGACCAAGGTGTCAAAAGATTTGGCGTCTAGTGAGAGCTCTCTTCCAGGTTCACTGATAGCCTCCTTGTTGGTCAGCTGGAAGAAGGGGCAAGGGAACATTTGGGGGCCTCTTATAAGGACACCACACCCCACTGCAGGGGTCCAGATGGGATGAATGCCCAGGGATGGGGTTCAACCAAGCAGGAGGAGAGCCCCAGAGGAAGAGGACCCCTAAAAATGTCATTATTGGGAGTTGGAGGCACACCCAAAGAAATGGCATGAGGGGAGTTCCCTGGGGCATTGGAATGTCACTATGTCAAGGGGAGGACAAAAAAGGGAACTTGTGTCAGGAGCCAGCCTGACCACACTGGTGCAGCTGGTCATTTGGGAGGGATGCTCACAGCCTTTTTTATGGTGATTGTAAGGAATCAGGGGGGGGGGGGGGAATAAAACAGAGAAGAGACTGGAGAGCCAATCAGCCGAATAAACAGGGATCAGGCTTTATTGGGTACACTCCGGGCGGGTTCACAGACTCTGGGGGTCGAGTCCTAGAAGCCGCGCTCAATGTAGGGGCTGTGTCTTATATCTGCCTGTTGTATCTGGAATTTGTCCCTTAGGGTTTGGCCCTGCGGGGGCTATGCATGAAGCCTCTGGAATGTGAATCGATAAGAGCAAGATGGGAGTTAATCTACAAGCTCGAGGTAGGCTGTTCAGGGTGGGAGACAAGGCTGAGCAAGCGAGACAATGGTCGAGCACTTTGCCTGGCGCCAGTCCCCAGGCCATTGGACAGTGATGTTCAGGCAGCAAAATAATACGGTTCTAATATTTACAGCAGTGTGTCCACCTACTGCATTGAAAGCTTCTGAAATAACAAGAGGCAGAAAACAACCGCAAAATCTGAGTGTAACCCCTTTGAGAAATACCCGAAAAGCCTTCCATGGAGCCTCTCTAAAGCTCTTTCCCAGCTTCCCTCCCCCGCCTTGGATTCCTTAGCTCCTAGAAGGGGCATAGCGTCCCTCGCTAGGCCAAATGCAGGAGAACTACATTACCCAGAGGGCTGTGCGCACCAGTCAGATGACGTCGACGGAATGGGCGTTGCCGGTCCTTTGGCAGGGGCGGGGCTTCTGGCGTAGGGGTGGATGTCCGACGGTGGCGTGGCGGGTCTGTGGGTACAGAGGGGGTGAGGGCGGCGAGGCGGCGCCGCCGCGCTCTCCGGGACCTGGTGGACGGTTGGCCGAGCCTGCGGGGACCCCGGCGCCCTCGATGGCTGTGCCGACCGAGCCGGCGCAGGTGAGTGGACGGCTCCCAGGGCTCCCGCCCGCTCCCCACGGCGGGGTCTGGTGACTTCTCGCCTTGTCTTGTCCGGGTCGTGAGGTCTCAGAGCCCCGGGATGCGGTCGCTCTCGGCTCAGGGTCGCCGTCCAGGCCCGTGGCTGCAGGGGGTCGATCCGGTTTCTGCCCCGAAGGGGACGCCGCGTGCACCCGAGGAGCGAGAGCCAGGGGAGCCTCCCTGTGGGTCCCGCGCTCCAACCAGGACCTTGAGCGAGCAAGCCCCTTGCTACCCTGAGCTTGTTTTCTTGGGTATAAAATAGGGTTACTGCTCTGCCCGGTTTGGCTCAGCGGTTAGAGTCAGCCCCCCGAGACGGACCAAAGGGTCTCCGGTTCGATTCCCGGTCAAGGGCAAGTACCTGGGTTGTAGGTTTCATCCCTTCCCGGTTGGGTCGTGCAGGAGCCAGCCAATCTATGTGTCTCTTTCACATCCATGTTCTCTCTCTCTCTCTCTTTAAAAGTCAATTTTTAAAAAATCCTTGAGCCCAGCTGGTGTTGCTCAGTGTATTGTCAGTCCCAGGGTCTGGGAAATCCCGGTTTGATTCCCATTCAGGGTACATGCCGGGGTTTATCCCCAGTAGGGGGCATGCAGGAAGCAGCGATGATCTATGTTTCTCTCTCCCTCTGTCTGTAAAAAAAAATCAATAAAAACTTTTTTTTTTTTTTGGTACGTGCCCCTCGCAGGAACCAAACCCCGGACTCTCTGGTCTGAAGGCCGAGACTCCAACCGCTGAGCCAAACCGGCCAGGGCTAAAAACATATTTTTTTAAATCCTTTAGTCAGGATTTAAAAGCAGGGGGGTGGCTGTAATCTCTTCAGTCTTCTCCCTTATTTTCTTGTCTGTGGAATTTTTAGGGCCCTCAGACGTTGTCTTGCTCATTTATTTAGTTGCTTCTTTAGGTTTTGTTTCCAGCCCAGAAGGTGAGCTCCTGTTGATGTTTTATGCCAAGACTAGAACGACCTGGGCTTGTAAAAGTTACTGGATAAATGGTTGGATGAATGAATGAGTCTCCCCCTCCGGGGCTCCCATCACTCTTATAATCAACACAAACTGCCCATCGTAACCTGCAGGGCTCTCCTGGATCTGCCCTTGTGACTACCTCCACCCTCCTCTTCCCTGGCTCAGGGCACCCACCCAAGCGGTTTTGCCAAACTCCTGCCCATTTTGCAGCTTTGCCCTTGCACTGTCCCCAGGTCTCTGCAGGGCTGTCTCTCTGAACCCTTTCTGTGTGTCAGTGTTGCCTCTTAGGCTGTTTTACTTCTGGCTAAAGTTCCCCTGGCCCCAACCTGACCCCAGCTCTTTGTTATCTTTTGTTGGAGGTTTAAATCCCACCTCTGCTCCTTCATTGTGAGGTTGTGGGTGACTTTCTAGAGCTGCCTGAGCCCCAGGCCACTGACTGTGACATGAAGGTGATGATGGCATGTACCTCACAGGCTGTGGGAAGATTAGTAAAAGTTACAAAATACATTGAACTTTACCTGTGCAGGTTTTTCATGTGAACATTTCGTTAGTTCTCACAAATGCCTGATGAAGTGGCATGATTACTGCACTGAGGTGGAATTCAAGGCTGAGAGAAGTGATGTGATGCAATCCTGTGAGTCTGCTCCAGAGTTGGGGATGATCTACCCTGGTGTGTGAGGCCATCACCTGGGGCAGGTGGATGGTGAGAACCAGGGTGGCTCGGCTGCTGCTGTTTCCACTGTGGAAATTGTCATCATAACTTTCACTTTGTCCCTATGACGTCCCAGACCATCTGCCCCACAGTCCTTATGGAAATGCTATCATCTACCTCATCTCCAGTAGGTACCCCAGGGGAGGATTTTCTGTCAGTCACAACTGTGTTTTGTCTAGAGGCCGCATCCTCCTCCTCTTTGAGCCCAACGCACAGCTTGGTCCTTGGGAGACTTCAGTGATTCAGGCCTGTGTCTCTGCACCTTCACCAGTCACTGAGTGCTGGGCTCTGATCTCATCCAACAACCCCAAGGTACATGATGCTACTGTGTTTGACTTTCTAGGTACCGGTGGCCTTCAAGGATGTGTTTGTGACCTTCACCAGGGAGGAGTGGGAACTGCTGGACCCTGCTCAGAGGACTCTGTACCGGAAGGTGATGCTGGAGACCTGCAGGCTCCTGGTCTCACTGGGTAACTGCTCGCCTCTAGCCCCTGTGGGGGACCCCACTGTTAATCTCTGGCTGGTCAAGAAGATCTCAAAAGCCACCTTCTCTTTGCCCCACAAAACCCCTTGCAGTTTCCTGGTCCTTCCTCCTCCTGCCTAGTCTGCCTGTGTCTACATCAGGGTTTGTTGGGGTAGAAACAATGCCACTGACCCCGAACCCCAGTGCCAGCACACTCAGGCATCAGTCTGAGGTCTGTTCTCTAGATTCCACAGCAGGGGAACTGACTGGCCCAGCCTGGTTGGGTCAAGTGTTCCCAGTTAGCAAGGCTGTGGGTGATGGGCTGTTTTCAGAAGAGAGAATGAGTCAGGCAGACTCCCACATGACATTTGTCATCAGTGCCCCCAGGGGTCTTCTAAACAACACAATTTTGGGCCCTGGCTGGTTTGGCTCAGAGGTTAGAGCGTCGGCCCGCGGACTGGAGAGTCCCGGGTTTGGTTCCCGCTAAGAGCACGTACCTCAGTTGTGGTTTGTCCCCAGCACTGGTTGGGGTCATGTGGGTGGCAACCACTCGATGTGCCTCTCTCACATCGATGTTTTGCTCTCACTCTTTCTCCCTCTCTCCCTCCCTCTCTATCTGAAAAAAATAAATAAAATAAAATAAAGAGAAAAAAACAAAAAACAATACAATTTCGATATGAAGGCCCCTAGTGTCTACACAATCATCATGTTTCCTGAGGCCTGGGCCACACAGATGATTTAGAAGGTGCATAGGAATGTCATGAGATGTCACAAGTGGATGCCCTGTGGACGTCAGTCCTTACACCTTCTCTGGCTGGCTGGTTGTTGTCCAGAGAAAGTCTCATCTCATCGGTGCCGAATCTTTCGTGGCTAATTACTCTTCACGGAGCGGGCAGGCTCCAGCTCACAGCCCTGAGCTTCTGCGTGAGCTCATTGGGGCTTCGTGGCACTGTTTTGATTTCATTGTTGTTTTGATGGTAACCTTCCACTGTGGGATGTAAAATCGACCTTTCTCATTTGCCAGAGCAAAACAGGGTTCTCTTTAAATTAAAATACTTAAGAACAATAAAAAGTGGGTCAGTGTTACAGAGAAACCATCAGTAGTTATGGCACACTGTGGGTGCTGGGAAGGTTGGCATGAGCTCTCAGATGAATAGTGATGAGCTGTAGAAGGAAAAATAAGGGGAATTTAGGAGTATAAAATCAGGGGGTCACAGCCTATCATGGGTGCTTGGAAAAGGCATCTGAGGAAGAGACACTGGAGCAGGGCTCAGGGGGAGGGGCGGTGGAGGAGGGGCTCCAGGTGGAGAAACCAGCAGGAGGAAAGGCCCTGAGGTGGGAATGAGCTCATTCCCATTCACCTTTTGTCCTGCCCCCTCCCTGAGGTCCATGCCAGGCACAAGCACATGTGGGCGACTGAATGGATCCTATGCTGTGGATCGGAATCCACCAGTTGAGACGTCAGTGGGTCGTGGTAACTCAGCCATGGACTTCTGCACAGAACCTTCCGGTCTCTGTTGAGATATACTTGGCAGCATGTAACAAAAGGACATGAAGGTTCTCTCTGCCCCTTTCCCTGGACCAGAATCTGCTGCGCCTGGGCAGGGGTGTAGGAGGCTGCAGCAGTGACTGAGGCAGCGGGCACCCTGGCTCAGCCCTTTCCTCCCGCATAGGACCACCAGCTTTCTCTTCAGATGAGGATCCTGCTCAGGTTCCCCGCCTACCTCAGATCCCTGACGACCAGGGATGCCATCCGTCCACTGACTTCCACCAGAGTTCTCAGTCCTCTCTGAACCCTGAGGAGGTTTCCCAGATACCAATGCCTAGGCCTCACGCCAAGAGATTGTGTTTCTTTTGGTTGAGTTTGGAATCTGGAATCTGGCATCCCTAGCTGGAAGCACGGGGTGTCTGAGAAGCAGAGGGTTAGATTAGGTAGTGGGTTCACCTTCCCGGGGCATGGCTGTGTGGCAGTGATGTGCACTATGTTGGTCTTGACTGCTGAAGTTCAAGGGCAGTGGTGTGCAGGCAGATAGCACCACCCTCTACAAGACTTGCAACCCAAGGGTGGGATTTGTGCCCTTGGTGTCCAGGTCACACATTTTCTTCATTTTAGGAGCAGCTTCATTCACGGTCTTGTCCCTGTCATGAAGTCCCAGACAGGATGGAGAGGTTCCAGTCTTCTCTGCACAACACCCATATCTGGTTTTTCTCCATCAACAGGTCATCCAGTTCCCAAGCCCGAGCTGACCCACCTGCTGGAGCATGGGCAGGAGCTGTGGACAGTGAAGAGAGGCCTCTCAAGGAGCTCCTGTCCAGGTAGGAGCCAACGGTAGGGTCACGGCAGCCTTCAGGAGACCACTGCCTCTGAACTTCTGCGTGAAACTCTTTGTGACCTCCTGGGGGTTCTGGTTGTTTCTCTCCCATCAAGGTAGAGTGTGCATCAGCAGGTGAGCTGTGAACCACACCACTCTTTGGAGATCCTGGTGATTTCTAATGTCAACGTGTAGCTTTGAGGTTACTCCACTATGCTGCAGCTGATGGAGGGGGAACGAGATGGGCAGGGAGAGTCACACCTGGTTTGCACACATGCCCCATTCCCACACGTCCCATTGCTAAGAAGCTATAGGCATGTGGCCACATCTGGGCGCTCAGCACTGGGGATGTGGTGAGCTGTGTGCCCAGGGAGCAGAGCCAGAGGGCTGGGTTCATATCATCTCAGCCGCTCTCAGAAAATTAGTGATGACCCTTCCTGTGCGACTGGGTGGCTTCAGCCTGTAGTGAGGTGTTAGTTCAGTGCCTGGACAGAAGTCAGCTCTTTCCATAACCGTGTAATTACATTAATCGTGAGTGATAGTGATTCCACACATTTCTTTCTGGACTCAGGAAAAAGGGCCTTTCTTCCCCCTGAAAGTATTATCTACAGTGTATGTACTCTATCCCTCTCCTTCCCTCCTTCTCCATCCATTCCTCCATCCTCCTATTGGTCCATCGGACACTCAGAAGCAGTCCCTTGCAGTGTATCTTCCTGTCCTACTTGCCTGAGAAACACCAAGGTGACGTTTGGTCCACATCTGTGCTGTGAGTGTAGCTGGAGTCATCCGCAGTGAGGCTGTCCCCTCTGTTGGCCCTCAGCCAGCCTGTGTGTGCCTTTGGCCAGCCCCACCACCAGCCTCCACTCCAGATGCCACCCCGAACCTTCACGTAAGTGTCTCAGAGGCTCATCATGTCTTAGAAGACACTCGTGAGCATGCCCACTCCTCCCCGACCTTCAGTTCAGAGCCTCAGTTCAGGGTCCGTGCTGCCATCCAAGCAGATAAGATTGGCAACACCTCAACATCTCCATCTTCATCGAACCCAACAACCATCCATCCCCAGTCCTGCCCATTTGACTTTGTGTCTCCTGAACTCATCACCTCTACCACTCTCATCTGTCCTCTGTTGCCTGGATGATGCCAGAGACTTCCCTGGCCCATCTGCACATGCCTCTGGTCAGCTCCTTCCTGCACCAGCTCCTGCAGCACTCAGACTCGTTCCAAATCCTCATCCCTTCCTCAGTCGCTGGTGTCTTAGCACATAATCAACGTCACTTTAAAAATAAAGGTGCTGGCTGGTGTGGCTCAGATGGTTGAGCATTGTCCTGTGCACTGAGAGGTTGTGCGTTCGATTCCCAGTTATGTCACATGCCCAGATTGCAGGCTTGATCCCCAGTCAGGGTATGTGTAGGATGCAGCTCTTTGATGTTTCTCTCTCACATCAGTGTTTCTCTCTCTCTCCCCCTTCCTCTCTCTCTAAAAAACAAAAAATCAATAAAAACATTTAATAAATTAATAAATAAAGGTGATGTGCTTCTTCTTTCTGCTCCTGAATTATTATTTTTTGGTTAATTCTCAACCAAGGATATTTTTTCTTTGATTTTTTTAGAAAAGTGGAAGAGTCCTGGCCAGTTGGCTCAGTAGTTGGAGTGTCGGCCTGCAGACCAGAGAGTCCTGGGTCCAGTTCCCGCTAGGGGCACGTGCCAAAAAAAAAAGAAAAGAAAATCGGAAGGCCCCTGGCCAGTTTGGCTTAGCAGTTAGAGCGTCAGCCCACGGACCAGAGAGGCCTGGGGTTCCTTTCCTGTTAAGGACAGCCGGTTGCAGTTTGTCCCTAGCCCCGGTTGGGGTCGTGTGGGTGGCAACCACTCAGTGTGTTCCTCTCTCTCTCTCTCTCTCTCTCTCTCTTCCTCCCTCTTTCCCTCCTGCTCTGTCTGAGGATAAATGCAAAAATGTCCCTGGGTGAGGATAAAAAAAAAAAAAAATAGAAGAGTGGAAGGGAGGGAGAGAAAGAGAGAAAGAGAAACATCATTGTGAAAAGACACATCGATTGGTTGTCTCCCACATGGCCTCTACTGGGGTCGGGGATCGAACTCACAACCCAGGTACGTGCCCTTGATTGGAATTGAACCCATGACCCAGCACTCTAACTGCTGAGCCAAACTGGCCAGGGCATATACTTTTTTTTCGGCGTGTGTGTGCCTGCCTTAAACAACAGTTCTGGAGGCTGGAAGTCCGAGATCAAGGTGTTGGCAGGGTTGGTTTCTACTGAAGCCGCTGTTCTTGGCTTGTAGAACAAGATGCCTCTGGCTGATGTCACTGCTGTCGTCCTCACTGCCCAGTGCAACAATGAGAAGAACATACAGGCTGTGGCAAAAGTAGGTTTACAGTTGTGAGGACTATTAGTTGTGTTATTACTTACTAATTATGTATTTTCCAAATGGATAACTGTAAACCTACTTTCGCCCCACCCTGTATTAGGGTCCTCCAGTGAATCAGAAGCAACAGGATGTATGTATTTTATTTATTTTAAAGAGTTGGCTCTTGTGATTGTGAGGGCTAAGCAAAGTCAAAGTCTGCAAGGCAGGCCAGTATGCTGCAGGAGTGGACGTTGCAGGCTTTGAGTCTGGAGAATTCCTTCCCTCCCTGCGGGGCTTAGTCCTAAGGTCGTCAACTGATTGGCTGAGGCCCACCCACATTACGAAGGGCAGTCCGGTTTTCTGAAAAGTCTGCTGATTTAAATGTTAATCACACTCAGCATGTAAAATTACCATCACAAAGAACAAGGATAAAGACCCCCAGTTTAGTGAACACTCATGAAAGATGCTGACTGCTTTACAGGTATTTTCTCTTTAATCTTCATGGCAGCCTGGGAAACTGATTCTCCTCATCAGTTCTTTTTTTTTTATTGTATTTATTAATTTTTTTGTGATACGTGCCCCTAGCGGGAACCAAACCTGGGACTCTCTGGTCCACAGGCTGACGCTCAACCGCTGAGCCAAACTGGCCAGGGCTCCTCATCAGTTCTAAGATAGGGGTGGGGAACATCTGGCCCATGGGCCATATGAGGCCCTTGAAATCAATACAGCTGACATAAAACACCTCACCAAAGCGAAGGAGTTCGAGCCATCACATTAGGAGTGAGTTCATTAAACGTTTGACCAAATATATAGCAAGCTATTTTTTATTTTTTTGGTACGTGCCTCTTGTGGGAACCGAACCCAGGACTCTCTGGTCCGCAGGCCAATGCTCCAACTGCTGAGCCAAATCAGCCAGGGCTTTTTTTTTTTTTTAGTCCTCACTTGAGGTTATTTTTCCATTTGTCTTCAGATAGAGTAGGAGGGAGAAAGAGAGAGAGAAACATTGATGTGAGAGGCAACAATCAATTGGTTGCCTCCCGCATGACCCCAACTAGGGCTTGGGATCGAACTGCATGCCCTTGACCAGAATTGAACTTGTGACTCTGGTCCACTGGCCGATGCTCTAACTGCTGAGCCAAACTGGCCAGGACTAGCTGGCTAATATATTAATTTATTGTTTTTAAGGCTACATTTTTTTTTAATTTTCACCGGAGGATATTCTTACATTTATCTTCAGACAGAGTGGGAGGGAGGGAGAGAGGGAGGGAGGGAGAGAGAGAGAGAGAGAGAGAGAGAGAGAGAGAGAGAGAGAGAACAAACATCAATGTGAGACACATCGACTGGCTGCTTCCCGCACAACCCCAACGGGGGCCCGGGACAAACCTTAACCGAGGCACTGCCCTTGGCCAGAATCGAACCTTTGGTCCTCAGGCTGATGCTCTAACCGCTCTGAGCCAAACTGGCCAGGGCAGCAGGCTAATTTTTAACTGAATAATTGTGTATGGCCTGTGAATGCTGTTATAAATATTCAAATGGCCTTGGCAGAAAAAAGTTTCCCCACTCCTGCTCTAAGATGAGGAAAGTATGACTTAGAGACGTCCCTCCAAGATCAGCTCACTGGACAGAGATGGGGGTGGGGGTCATCCTGGCCCTGGAGCCCTCAGTTAACCAGCACACTGATGCTGCCTCACAGAGCAGAAATTCGTCTCTTGGGGCCCTCTGTCCCCCTCTTCTGGGGTCTTTATTCTCTTCTGCTCCTGAAAGCAACCCTTGATGTCAGCTTCACTAGGTATATGGTACCCTTTTACTCTTTCAAGGGTGCATCTACCCATGCTTCCTCCTTCCATTTCTAACTCAGTGCCCCCCCCCCCCCTGTTAACTTTGACTTCTCCATCAGGACCCAGCTCAGGAACACCCCCTGGCAAGGTGTCTTTTTCTTCCCAGTCTTGTTAGGTACCACTTGCCAATCAATGTAGCACCAGAGACATCGACATCAGTTCTTGGGGCATATTCCTAACCCCCACCCCCAGTGGTATCAGAACTGCCCTCCCTCCCCTACTCTGGACTGTGAGGAGGGGTCTCCATCCCAGGTCCTCTGTCCCCTGGTCCAGCCCACTGTCAGATTTTCCCTTTAATGGTGTCAAGGGTGCAAGGACCATAAAGGTCATTGGAAATGTAGGTTTTTGAGACATGAAAAGACAGCAAATACCAGAGGTGTTATTTTCATCCTCCCTTGCCCACTGAAGTTAAGTGTTGCCTGTGTTTTCTCTATGTTACGTCACTAAAAGTCCCCCTTTGTGCCCTGGATTTTCTTCAGGTGACAGGGCAAAACGTCAGACCAGAGAGCGAAGCACCACTCAGCCGGGTTTGTGTGAGGGAGCCTTGCTCCAGGGAAGCCTGACTCGAGGATCCACTGGGGACTCAGGGTTGGAGCAAGCCAAGGATCGGGAAGGGCTTTCGCAAATGAGGCCAGAGAAAGACCTCCACAAGGAGACCCATCCTGGGACAATGCGCCTTGGAAATGACAGTTCGGAAACGGCGGGCAGTCTGCACTCCAGGGTGTTACAGGAGAGGGTCTCTCCGGGAGCTGTTCCCCATGAACGTGACCCACGGGCACCAGGGAAAGGCCCCCACTTCCAGGCAGGCAGTAACCTCTACCAGTGCAAGCAGTGCGGGAAAGGCTTCAGCAGGAAGTGGTACCTCGTTCGCCATCAGCGGGTTCACACGGGCCTGAAGCCCTACGAATGCGACAGCTGCGGGAAGTGCTTTAGCCAGAGCTCCACCCTGGTCCGGCACTGCCTCATCCACACCGGGGAGAAGCCCTACGCCTGCCCCGAGTGCGGGAAGGCCTTCAAGCGCAGGTCCTACCTGCTGCAGCACCACCCGACCCACACCGGGGAGAAGCCCTACGAGTGCGGCCAGTGCCGGAAGGCCTTCAGCCACCGCTCGACCTTCACCCGGCACAACAGGATCCACGGCGGGGAGAGACCCTTCGCGTGCGGAGACTGTGCGAAGGCATTCGGCAGCAGAGCGCTCCTCCGGCAGCACTGCGCCGTGCACACTGGGGCGAAGCCGGTCAGGTGCGCGGCCTGCGGCAAGGCCTTCCGGTGCCGCTCCGAGCTCCTGCAGCACCGGCGGGTGCACACTGGGGAGAGGCCCTTCGCGTGCCTGCAGTGCGGGAAGGCCTTCCACCGGAGCACCTACCTGCTGCAGCACTCCGTCGTCCACTCGGGCGAGACGCCCTACCAGTGCAGCCAGTGCGGGAAGGCCTTCAAACGCAGGTCCCACCTCCTGCAGCACCAGCGGGTCCACACCTGAGGAAGCCCTGCCAGTGCTGGGTCTGGAGAAAGGCCTCACGCACTGCTCCGCCGTGGTTTGTCAAAGGGCATCCACACTGGAGTAAAATCTTCATTGCAAAGAAGGTTGGAAAGGGTTTTTTGTCAGCTCTGAAACCCATGAGTCGTCCCCTTGGGGAGAAGCCCTGTGAATGCAGCAAATGTACCTTCAGGGGCAGCTCAGCCCTCCCTGAGAAAGGAGACCCCCATCCGTGAGAAAGGAGAGAAGGCGTGTCACCAGTGGGTCCACCTCTGTCAACATCACAAAGCTCACTAGGGAGACACCTGAATAGAACTATAAGGACAGTCTAGCCAAAGAAAAAAATCTTATTTGCCATCTGAGAATTCATAACAGAGGAGCCACATAATTGTCATCACTGTGAGCAAGCCTGTGACATGTCACTTGTCATGTAGAGTCATGTTGGAATTTGACACAGTTTGGCCTGGCTGTCCCTGTGACAGAGTACATAGGAGATAGACCCAGTGATGACTGAGGAATCACAAAAACCTTCAGCCACAGGCTCTGCTTTGGTTTACAATGACAATGACAAAGCCATCTTGGCATTATTTTAAAAAGAAAAAAAAAAATTAAAGCAGGAGGGAATGGAGACATAGAATGTAAATGAAAAATGCCTTCACAAACTTCCACTTTCTTAACAAGCTCTTACAGTTTTTTATTTAATTATTTATTTTGTAGAGAGAGGAAGGCAGGGATACAAATATCAATGTGAGAGAAACATCCATTGGCGCCTCCTGCATGCCCCCTACTTGGGATCAAGCCCATAACCCCGGCATGTGCTCTGACCAGGAATCAAACCAGTGACCTTTTGGTGCAAGGAATGATGTCCATCCAACTCAGCCATACTGGCTAGGGCTTTGTGTCTGTTTTTTGTTGTTGTTACTCCTCACCTGAAGAGATTTTTCCACTGTTAGAGATAATGGAAGGGAAATAGTGGGGGAGAGAGAGAAACATCAATGTGAAAGAGAGACACTGATTGGTTGCCTCCTGAACTACCCTGACGGGGCTGGGGTTTGAACCCACAACCCAGGTATGTGCCCTTGACTGGGAATTGAACCTGCTACCCTTCAGTCCGTGGGCTGATGCTCTAACCGCTGAGCCAAACCAGCCAGGGATGGTGTGGTTTAAATGCCCAACACTCCCACTTCTTGATTCTATTCTACTTGTTTTTATTTTCTTCTGACAGGGTGATCATCTTATGCATGTGTGGCCTTCTCAGATGGGGCCTAATTCTTTCCTCGTTCTGGAGCAGGGGTTCTCAACCTTCCTAATACCGTGACCCTTTAATACAGTTCATGTTGTGGTGACCCCCAACCATAAAATTATTTTCATTGCTACTTCATAACTGTAATTTTGCTACTGTTATGTCTTAGGCGATCCCTGTGAAAGGCTCGTTCGACCCCCAAAGGAGCTGCAACCCACAGGTTGAGAACCGCTATTCTAGAGTGTCTCAGGTTCTGTAGTCCTGTGGAGGATGGCATATCCAATCCCCTGCCACAAACCAATAAAGTAAAACACACAGCTGAGGTACATTCATTATTAACTCAGAAAAATACACATGGAAGATTTTCATTGTCCGATCTCATAAACATTTGTATGAAGTTTTGTTACAAAATAAAATGCCCAGGCCCTGGCCAGTTTGGCTCAGCGGTTGGAGCATCGGCCTGCGGACCAGAGAGTCCCAGGTATGTATAAATAAATAAATAAATAAATAAATAAATAATAAATAAATAAATAAATAAATAAATAAATAAATAAATAAATCAATCCCAGGTTTTAACAAGAGAATCTAGACATATATGGGCAGGTGTCAGGTTTGTGTGGGTTTCACAGTGGCCACCATGGACTCATTACTTGGTGCTGGCATTCGATGTGGTCATTTGAAATTCGTTCTATGGAATTATCTTTGAGACTAGTTTTCAAACTACACAAGATAATCACTGTGAACTCTTGTTTAAAAAAAATTCTTGTACACAAAAATATAAGATTACCATTTGGAGCCTTCCTCAGAGCCCTTATTTATTTAAATATGTTTTTATTGATTTTTAGGGAGAGAAGGGAGAGGGAGAGATAGAAACATCGATGAGAGAGACACATAGATCAGCTGCCTCCTGCACACCCCCAATGGGGATTGAGCCTGCAACCAAGGCATGTGTCCCGACCAGGAATCAAACCAGCGACCTCTTAGTCCATGGGTAGATGCCCAACCACTGAGCCATACCAGCTGGGCCCTCAGAGCCTTTATAAAGACTACATACTTCACATTTTTGTAATGGACACACACCTTTTTTGTGGTGCACACAGTATGACTACACTCAAGTTAATACGAGCTCTATATTCTGTTTGTTTTTAGGACACTGTGCATAGTTTTCTGTTCTTTGGGAAAGAGTTGACTCTTTTTTTTTATTTTTTGGTACGTGCCCCTAGCGGGAACCGAACCTGGGACTCTCTGGTCTGCAGGCCAATGCTCCCACTGCTGAACCAAACCGGCCAGGGCAAGAGTTTACTCTTAAAAACTCCACACTCCTCCATCCTCTGGAGGGTGGTATATATGAAAGCTGGGTTGTACCTGTGGCTGAGGCACTGGGTTTTAGAAACATCTGAGCTCTCATCAAAGGGTCCTTTCCATTCCTGGGACCAGGGCCCCAGTTTGTCCCAAAGCAGTGACATTTTTCACTGGATAAAGGAAACCCTTGGGTTTGTTCCCTCAACTTCTTTCCACAGTATTCCCTTAAGTGTTATATAGTACTTGTATGTACTATGTACTTGTAGCTTTGATCAGCAAGTATCATGAGGCCTCCATCCTTCATCTAAATGACCCTGCACAGGGCATACTGGGAAGTGGGGCAGTTCAGTGACTGAGACATGGGTCCTGCCCTTGAATAGGGAGGGAACTTCCTGTCTAGTACAGAGTACAGTGAAATCTAAGAGAAGGAAACTGAGCACATGGCTTTGCTGGGTTCTTAATACCTTGAAGATTTTGTCTCCAAAATATGATTTCCATTCTTGAGAGTACTGAACCTGATGCACATGAGGTATATGAGATGCACATGCACAAAACATTAAAATGATTTTGCCCTTAAAAAACTTAGATTCTAGTTGAGGGAAAGAGCCAGTCAGCAATGTTCCTAAATTATTAGGTTATATACTGTTAGAATGATGAGTTCTATGGAAAAGACAAGTGGTCAGGCAAATTATATCAATAGTCTGCTCATATTTGGACTGAGGGATAATGTTATTCTAGTATGTATTTTAAGGAGGTAAGAACAAGTTGTTGTTTTTTTCCTTTATTGATTTTAGAGAGATAGGACAGGAAAGGGAGAGATAGAAACATTGATGAGAGAGAATATCGATTGGCCACTTCCTGCATGCCCCCCACTGGGGATTTGGCCCACAACCTGGGCATGTGCCCTGACCGGTACTTGAACTGGCGACCTCTTAGTGTATAGGTTGACTGACGCTCAACCATTGAGCAACACTGGCCGGGCAATTCCCTCTTATTTAATGTATGTATGTATATATTTTTTCTTGCCATTCAGCACTAAATATTCCCCATGGAGTAATGTGTTTTCTTCAATTGAATTTACTGGGGTTACTTTGGTTAATACAATTATATAGGTTTAAGGTGTACAATTCTATAATACATCACCTGTATACTGTATGTTCACCATCCTAACCTAGAATAACGTGAAGGACAAGAGGAGATATTGTATTTTCTTTTGTCTTTGAACTTGGAAATATTTAATAACATTATATCGAGTGTGTTGTACAATTTTTCAGTAGAATCTTTCTAAGATTTTAAGGAAAATCCATTATACTTTTTAAAAATGCCAAGCATCACCTAGCCAGAGTGTCTCAGTGGACTGAGTATCATTCCATGGACTGAGAGGTCCTGGTTCAATTCCTGGTCAGGACACATGCCCAGGTTATGGGCTCAATCCTAGTAGGGGGTGTGCAGAAGGCAGCCAATTGATGTTTCTCTCTCACATTGATGTTTCTATCTCTCTCTCTAAAATATTAATTAAAAAAATATTAAAATTAATAAAATTTAAAATGCCAAGCATCTTCTGAGTTGTTATATGATATTTTCTATGAAGTGGTGAAATGCATATTGACTTCTACATTTAAAATTTTTCATATAGTTTCAAACTTATAGAGAAGTTGCTAGCCCTGGCCAGTTTGGCTCAGCAGTTGGAACATCGGCCTGTGGACCAGAGAGTCCCGGTTCGGTTCCCGCGAAGGGCACATACCAAAAAAAAAAAAAGAGAGAGAGAGAAGTTGCAAATACAACACATTCTTTTTTTTTTTTTTTTTAATTATTTCCTCTCTGAATTTATTTATTTTGTTGGTACGTGCCCCTAGTGGGAACCGAAACCAGGACTCTCTGGTCCGCAGGCTGACACTCCAACCACTGAGCCAAACCGGCCAGGGCTACAACACATTCTTGTATAAATTTTACCCATATTAAACAGATTTGTTTTGCACCTTTTGTTTTATCATTCTTTCTCTATATGTGTATGTTTCAGAACAATTTGAGTTAATTCAGAAATATTCTGCCTCAATACAAGTGAAACCTTTGGCGCATGTTCCCTAAGACCACATTTTGTATTATCAGAGTACTATCATAATCAGGTAATTCAATATTTATAAGCTACTATTATTATTATTATTATTATTTTATCCTCACCCGAGGACATTTTTCCATTTTTTGTACAGACAGAGTGGGAGGGAGAGAGAGGAAGAGAAAGAGAGGGAAACATCGACGTGAAAGGGACACATCGAGTGGCTGCCACCCGCACGACCAACCAGGGCCGGGGACAAACTGCAACCGAGGCACACGCCCTCAGCGGGAACCGAACCCGGGTCTCTCCGGACCGCAGGCGGACGCTCTAACCGCTGAGCCAAACTGGCCAGGGCTAAGCTACTATTATTTAATCCACAGTCCACATTCAAATGCTATCATTCATCCTAATATCATCCATTGGTGTTTTTCTTGGTGTAGCACTGCATGTCACATTTAATTGACGTTACTCTTTAAAAATCTTCACCCAAGGATATTTTTTTCCATTTATCTTCAGATAGAGTAGGAGGGAGGGAGAGAGAGAAAATTGATGTGAGAAACACATCGACTGGTTGCTTCCTGCACAACCTGGACCAGGGCTGGGGATTGAACCGCAACTGAGGTATGTACCCTTGACTGGAATCAAATCCGTAACTCTCTGGTCCACGGGTTGATGCTCTATCCACTAATCCAAACTGGCCAGGGCCATTTATTCATTTTTTATCCTAATCTGAGAACATCTTTTTGCATTTATCTTCAGATAGAGTGGGAGGGAGAGAGGGAGGAAGAGAAACATGGATGTAAGAGAGATATACTGATCAGTTGCCACCTGCATGACTCCAACCAGGGCCAGGGACAAATGACAACTGAGGTATGTGCCCTTAGCAGGAACCAATCCTGGGACTCTGGTCTGCAGGCCAATGCTCTAACTGCTGGCCAAACTGGCCAGGGCTCTTTTTGTTTTTTTAATTGACTTTTAGAGGAAGGAGGGGAGAGAAAGAGAGAAACTTCAAACCCTGACTGGTTTAGCTGAGTGATTAGAGCGTGGGCCTTCAGACCAAAGGGTCACAGGTTTGATTCCTGGGCAAGGGCGTATACCAGGTTGCAAGTTCCATCCCTGGCACGGTTGGGGTTGTGCAGGAGGCAACAAATTGATGGGTCTCTCTCACATCAATGTTTCTCTCTCTTTCCCCTCCCTCCCTTCCCCTCTATCTAAGAATTAATGGAAAAATATCCTTGGGTAAGGATTAACAAAAAAAAGAGAGAAACATGGATTTGTTGTTGCACTTATTTATGCATTCATTGGTTGATTCTTGTGCCTTGACCAGGGATCAAACCCTCAACCTCAGTGTATAGGGAGGATACTCTAACCAACTGAGCTACCAGGCCAGGGCTAATTCTCATTACTCTGGACACTCCTTTTTCAAAAATCTTCACCTGCCCTGGCCGGTTTGGCTCAGCGGTTAGAGCATCGGCCTGTGGTCTAGAGAGACCCGGGTTTGGTTCCCGCTAAGGGCATGTACCTCGGTTGCAGTTTGTCCCTGGCCCTGGTTGGGTCGTGCGGGTGGCAACCACTCGATGTGTCCGTTTCACGTCGATGTTTCTCTTTCTCTCTCTCTCTCTTCCTCTCTCTCCCTCACTCTACCTGAACAAAAAGAGAAAAAATATCCTCGGATGAGGATAAAAAAATAATAATAATAATAGAGTCAGCATACATAAAAACACTAAAAAAACAGCCCTGGCTGGTTTGGGTTAGCGGGTAGAGCAGCATCCTATGGACTGGAGAGTCGCAGGTTTGATTCCCAGTCAAGGGTACTTACCTTGTTTGCAAGTTTGATTCTCGCCCCTGTTGGGGTCATTTGGGAGGTAACCAGTCCACTCTCACAAGATGTTTCTCACTCTCTCTCCCCCCCTCCCACTGTACCTTAAGAAATCGATGGAATAATATCCTCAGGTGATGATTAAAAAACAAAAAATGGACTCAAGATTTAAATGTAAGACCAGAAACCATTACACTCCTACAAGAAAACATGCAGTAAACTCTTTGACATGGATCTTGGCAATGTTTTTTTGGACATGTCTCCCCAAGCAAGGGCAACAAAAGCAAAAATAAACACATGGGATGACATCAAACTAAAAAGATTTTTCCACAGCAAAGGAAACCATCAACAAAACAAAAAAAGACAACCTACTGAATGGGAGAAGGTATTTGCAAATAATATATCTAATATGAGGTTAATATCCTAAATATACAAAGCACTCATACAATCAACAACAAAAGTCTGATTAAAAAATAGGCACAGGATCTGAGTAGACATTTCTCCAAGGAGGACATAGAGATGGCCAATAGACATGTGAAAAGATGTTCATCACTAATCATCAGAGAAATGCAAATCAAAATACCAATGAGCCTCCTTCACACCTGTCAGAATAGCTAACATAAAAAAATAATAAAATAAGTGCTGGTGAGGATGTGGGAAAAGAGTTACCCTGTTTACCATTGGTGGGATTGTAAACTGGTGTAGCCACTGTGGAAAATAGTATGGAGGTTCCTCAAAAAATTAAAAATAGAACTACCACAGACCCAGCAATTCTACTTCTGGGCATTTACTCAAAGAAAACAGAAACAGTAGTTCAAAAATGTTTTCTGGACTTCTGGTCAAGATGGCGGCGTAGGTAATCGCAGTATCGCGTCCTCCCACAACCACATCCAAGTTATAACAAAACTACAGAACAACCACCATTCAAAACCTCCTGCAATCAAGCTGAATGGAAGTCCTACAACTACGGAATGAAAGAAACTGCATCGATACTGGTAGGAGGGGCGGCGGCGCGACAGGCTGGTCCCACACCTAAGTGTGGCGGATAAAAATCAGGAGGACACCTCGGCTGGGAAGGTCCTTCCTGAGGACTGAGGGGTCCCGGTCCCACACCAGGTGCCCTGCTCAGGGTTCCAGTGCCAGGAAGAGAAGTCCCCATAACTTCTGGCTGGAAAAACCAGCGGAGCGGTTGGAGCCCCAGGCAGCTCCCTAAAGGGCCCGCGCACGGACTTATCGGACTCTCTCCCTCTAAGTTTGGAGGGGAGGCAGCTCGAGGGGCACCAGACACACACAGGGAAGAACTGAGCTGTTTGGCACTGGAGCGAGGGCTGGAGAGGGGGCTTTCTCCGAAACAAACGGCTGTCAGAGGCCTTTGTTCCTTTGGTGAGCCCTTCCCTGGGGCGGCAGACAGCCGCCATATCTGGGACTCCAGCAACCTGGCTCACACTGGTAGCCTCACCCTGCTGACTCCCTGAGGTCCCGCCCCACCCCACCCAACTTTCAGGCCCACCCAAGCTGTTGGCACTTGCTTAACCATAGGATTGGCCTGACTTGGATCCTGCTTCAGGTTTTCCTAAATTTTTTTAAACGAGCAGCATCTGGTCTCAGCTAGCGCCATACCGCTCGTTAAGTAATACACAGAAACAAACACAGGGAGGCAGCCAAAATGAGGAGACAAAGAAACAGATCCCAAATGAAAGAACAGAACAAAACCCCAAGAAAAGAACTAAGCGAAATGGAGATAAGCAACCTAACAGATGCTGAGTTCAAAATACTGCTTATAAGGATGCTCAATGAACTCAGTAAGGGCCTCAAGAGCATAAAAAAGGACCAGTCAGAAATGATCGATGCACAGTTAGAAACGAAGGAGGCTTTAACTGAAATAAAGAATAATTTACACAGCTTCAATAGTAGAGTACATAAATCCAAGGAGCAAACCATCGAGTTGGAATATAAGGAAACAAAAAACGCCCAATCAGAACAGCAAAAAGAAAAAAGAATCCACAAAAATGAGGATAGTGTAAGGAGCCTCTGGGACAACCTCAAGCGTGCCAACATTCGCATCTTGGGGGTGCCGGAAGGAGAAGAGAGAACAAGAAATCGAAAACCTGTATGAAACAATAATGGCAGAAAACTTTCCTAACTTGGTGAAGGAAACAGACATACAAGTCCAGGAAGCACAGAGAGTCCCAAACAAGATCAACCCCAAGAGGCCCACACCAAGACACATCATCATCAAAATGCAGTTCAAGACAAGGAGAGAATCTTAAAAGCAGCAAGAGAAAGGCAGCTAGTTACCTACAAGGGAGTTCCCATAAGGCTGTCAGCTGATTTCTTAAAGGAAACTTTGCAGGCCAGAAGGGAGTGGCAAGAAATATTCAGAGTGATGGAAAGCAAGAACCTACAACCAAGATTACTCTATCCTGCAAAGCTGTCATTTAGAATCGATGGCCATATAAAGAGTTTCCCAGACAAGAAAAAGTTAAAGGAGTTCATCACCACCAAACCGTTATTATATGAAATGATGAAGGGTCTTTTTGAAGAAAAAGATAAAATATATGAACAAACAAAATGGCAATGAATACATATCTATCAACAATGGAATCTACAAACAAAATGAACAGATAGAACAGAAACATTCTCATAGATACAGAGAACATTTTGTTGGTTGCCAGATGGGAGGGGTTTTGGGGGAAAGGGTGAAAAAGGTGAAGGGATTAAGAAGTACAAATTGGTTGCTAAACTGACAAACCTCAAAGGGAAAGGGGTTGGGGGGGTGGGAAGAAATAAACCAAAGAACTTATATGCATAACCAATGGACACAGACAATAGTGTGGGAAAAGGTGGGAGGGAGGCGGGAGTGGGGAGGAGGGAGTCAATGGGGGAAAAAATGTGGAACATCTGTAATACATTCTACATTCAACAAAAAAGATTAAAAAAATAAAAATAAAATAAAATAAAAAGTTTTCTGCATTATTATTATTATTATTATTATCCTCACCCAAGGACACTTTTTCATTTTTTGTTCAGATAGAGTGGGAGGGAGAGAGAGAAACATTGACATGAAAGGGACACATCGAGTGATTGCCACCCACACAACCCAACCAGGGCCGGGGACAAACTGCAACTGAGGTATGTGCCCTTAGCGGGAACCAAACCCGGGTCTTTCTGGACCGCAGGCCGATGCTCTAACCACTGAGCAACTGGCCTGGGACAATTTTACAAGTTTTTAAAAAGTTAAATATGTGGACCAACTTCAAACATGACAGTGTGGGGAGTTTTGTGGGCCTGCTTCCCATGATGTCTGTGGAAATGGTCCTAAGGGTGTACAGCAAATGAAAAAACATTTATTCAAGAAAATCTAATATTCAGTAAGAACAGAAAGAGCCAGTCACACCTGAACCAAGACCACTCCCTCTGTCCCCCTTCCAAGCTCAGATGAAAACACCACTCCAGAATGATACAACCAAGAACACAGGGCTCTTTCTCCCTTGAACTCCCAGGCTATCTTCTCAGAAGGGTCAGGATGTCAGCAATTTATCACCCTGCCCTCAGTGTGCGTATTAGATGATGTTCAATTGCTGGCTCCCTGATAAAGGCTGCTCTCAGAGCCTCTGTGTTAGGTTAGGTTGACCAGGGACAGCACGTGCCTTGCACTCCAAAGGCCTTTCTCCAGTCTGAACTTTCTGGTGTTGAACAAGGTTAATTAAGCCTTTGTCTGAACCATTCTTTATGTTCACTGTATTCATAAAGCCTTTCTGTGCTGTCAGAGTGGACTTTTAGTTAAAGGCTTTTCCACGTTAGCTGCATTCAAGACTTCTCTCTGTGAACTTTCTGGTGTTGAGTGAGGTTGAAACGCTGGCTAAACGATTTCCCACAATCACCGCACTCATAAGGCATTTCTCCAGTGTGAATCCTCCGATGTTTAACAAGGCTGGAACTGTGGCGAAAAAATTTCCCACATTCCCTGCACTCATATGGTCTCGCTCCAGTGTGAACCCTCTGGTGTTTAACGAGGCTGGAATTCTCACTAAATAATCTTCCACAATCATTGCATTTAAAAGGCTTTTCTCCAGTGTGAACTTTGCGGTGTTGCATGAGGCTAGAGCTTTGGCTAAAAAATTTCCCACATTCCGTACACTCATAAGGCCTTTCTCCAGTGTGAACTCTCCAATGATTAATAAGGCTTGACTTGTGGCTATAGAATTTCCCACATTCAGTACACTTATAAGGTCTTTCTCCAGTGTGGACTCTCAGATGTTTCATGAGGCTCGAGTTGAAGCTAAAGAATTTCCCACATTCGCTGCACTCATAAGGCCTTACCCCTGTGTGGATTCTGTGGTGCTGAACAAGCGTGGAATTATGCCTGAAGGCTTTCCCACATTCACTGCACGTAAAAGGCTTTTCTCCAGTGTGAACTCTTCGGTGTTGAATGAGGTCGGCATTGCGGCTAAAGGATTTTCCACATTCACTACACCCATAAGGCCTTTCACCAGTATGAACTATTTGGTGTATAAAAAGGTTGGATTTATGGCTGAATAATTTCCCACATTCACTGCATTCATAAGGTTTTTCTCCAGTATGTAGTCTGTGGTGCTGAACAAGTAAGTATTTCTGACCAAAGGCTTTCCCACATTCGCTGCACTTGTAATGCCTTTTTTCAGGGTGACTTTCGGTGTTCCTGGGTGGCCCCCCTACACTGTGCATCACCTGGTGGTTGAGCCCACAGCTGGTCAGGAAGTTGTTCTCACGCTGCCTCCACTCTTCTTTTCTGAAGGGTTTTTCTCCACAGCACAGCTTCTGCTGTTGGTGGAGGTTTGCTCTGGGTACTCCTTCTGCATGAACACGTTGCTCAACCTCTGCTCCACGCCAGCAGCCTGAAAGCGGAGAAATGCTGATGAAGTGGATGGAGACTTCGATGGGAGGGGGCAGCCCCCTCACAAACGTGCATCCGACACACCCAGCTATGAGTCCTGGGGCTGCTGGTAGATTGAGGGGCCAGGGATCAGCATGAGGAAGGGCCAGCTGTCCAGTGCTGGACCCGATAAGCTCCCAGGTCAGTTGTGGGAGCGGGCCTCATAAGCAGCAAGGACACAAAGACGGGATGGGTGCAGCTCCAACATACTCCTCAGGGACTTAGCTGCTAGTTACACAAGAAAAACTGAAGTCACTGAATAGCGTGTTCAAGGACTATAAGGATGCCCTCCCCGGACGTGGACCTGGTGCCACTCAAATGCACTGATGAAATCACCTCGCACCTTTCCCTGTGTACCTACCCTGACCCCCAACAAAGGCACTTACCCACAGGTTCTGCCATTTCTCCCCTGCCTGGTTGAGACCCTCCCCAGGACTCCCTCCCCAGAGGATCCCCATTTCGGCAAGCAGTGACTCTGTCTTTCTGGATCCTGTGAGTATAATGAACTTTGTTTATTCCCACTCACTTAAAGACCTTTGACTTCCCAAGTCCAATTCTCACATGATACTTCAGGGCGAAGGCACCCAAGGAGGACAGAGCATGGCCCAAACACCAGGGCAGGTGTGACAGAGGCCAGAACTTTTGATAAGATTATAAAGGCCTCAGCTGAGGAAGCTGAAGCCTCTGTCACCCCAGGGATCCAGAATCCCTGCCATTACCAGCTTGGGTTTTCATGGCCTGGAGATGCCCAATGGAGAACTCAGCAAGAAAGCCCGCATTCCTCCATAAAATCTACAGTGGTTCGGCCAATCTATCAGATCTTTGAACATTCAGATAGGAAAATCCTCAATGTGTTTCTAATCTAGAGGAGGCCTACTTTCTCATATAGGCCAGGAGTTGGGCAGCATTTCTTTGTGGTTGTTGTTAATCCTCACCCAAGGATATTTTTCCCATTGTTTTTTTTAATAATTTTTCTTTTTTTTTTTTTTTTTTTTATCCTCATCCAAGGACACTTTTTTATTCTTTGTTCAGATAGAGCAGGAGGGAGAGAGAGAGAGAGAAACATCGATGTGAAAGGGACACATCGAGTGGCTGCCACCCGCACGACCAACCAGGGCTGGGGACAAACTGCAACCGAGGTACATGCCCTTAGCGGGAACCGAACCCGGGTCTCTCCGGACCGCAGGCCGACGCTCTAACCGCTGAGCCAAACCGGCCAGGGCATTAATAATTTTTCTTTATTGACCTTAGAGAGAGAGGAAGGGAGAGGGAGAGAGATAGAGACATCGATGAGAGAGAACATCGACTGGCCACATCCTGCATGCCCCCCACCCGGGGATCAGGCCCACAACCTGGGCATGTGCCCTGACCAGGAATCAAACTGGCGACCCCTTGCTGCATGGGTGGACGCTCAACCACTAAACCACACTGGGCGGTCTTTCCATTGATTTTTTTAAGAGAGAGTGGAAGGGACAAAGGGAGATGGAGATGGAGATGGAGAAGAGAGAGAGAGAGAGAGAGAGAGAGAGAGAGAGAGAGAGAGAGAGAAAGAAACACTTGTTTGTTGTTCCACTTACTTATGCATTCATTGCTTGCTGCTTTTTTTTTTTTTTTTTTTAATTGTTTTTTCTTTATTTATTTTTAGAGAGAGAGAAAGGGAGAGGGAGAGAGAGATAGAAACACCAATAAAAGAGAACATCAACTGGCGGCCTCCTGCATGCCCCCGACTGGGGATCAGGCCCACAAACTAGGCATATGCCCCGACTGGGAGTCGAACCGGCAACCTCTTGGTGCATGGGTTGAGGCCCAACCACTGAGCCACACCGGCCGGGCCATTGGTTTCTTCTTGTATGTGCCCTGACCAGGGACTGACCTCGCAATCTTGGTATATCGGAACAATGCTCTAACCAACTGAACTACCCAGCCAGAGCTGTTCATGAGTTAAATAGCCCAGCCACTGCCCACCGTTGGTACTGCCAGGATCTGGTCAGGGTCCACGTTCGCTCACACCACTGCCTTCATTCCCACAGTGCTCACGTGGGGATGGCTGCCCTTTATATCAAGTCACCCTGGGCTTACTGCGTGTGCCCAGGAGCCACCTGCACTTGGCCAGTCTCCCACGTGAGGACCTTCACGCTCCTCATTCTCACAGGCTCACACATTATGCTTTGAACAATGGCACCTCTGGGTTCTACTGTGGCCCAAACTCATGGGCACAGCACCCTTTCTCCTTTTACCTGTCAATTCCCAAATTGTACCCCAGTGTGCAACGGTTACACAGGAGGTCCCCACAGTTCTTTATACACCGGGTATCACCCGATTTCCATTAATCCAAGTGCTCCAGGAAAAATGGGCAATATTTATTCCTGTCTTTTTTTTTTTTTCTGTGGTACGTGCCCCTAGCAGGAACCGAACCTGGGAGTCTGGTCCGCAGGCCAACACTCAACCACTGAGCCAAACTGGCCAGGGCTTATTCCTGTCTTAATAAAACTTGCCCTAAGTGCCAGAGACGCCAGCATGGCACCTGTACAGCAGCCTTTGTCAAGATCAAATCACGTTCTCCCTGCCCCCCTCTAAGATCAGTAAATGAAAGCTAAAAACAAAACAAGGCTGCTGTTGGAGCGCACTGCAGAGAGATCAGTGGAGAGGACCAGGTGTGAGACAGAGGAGAAGTAGGAGACAGCCCTGGTCAGAAATCAGAGTAGACATGATAAGTGGGCAACTGGGAAAGAAAAGATGGAATTGGGCATGGCCCCTTGCCTTGGCATCAAAACATCAGGACCTACTGGAAAGACTGGTACTATATGAACCCCTCCCCGAGTTCACTCCTCTCCTGCTTCTCCCTCCAAGTACCTCTCAGCATGTCTGCAGCCATGACTCCACAGGCAAGAAAAAGGGGCTCTCCCCGCTGCTCCAACTGGGTGATTTCATGGGTCCCAGAAGATGCAAGTCCTAAGGGAAAGACAAGACAGGTGGATCAAAGCAACCCACCCCACAACAGAGCACAGGAAAAAAAACTAAACGTTACAAGAACCTCGGACGAGGCCTTCCTGAACAATCCACTCAAACTGTGACCTCAATTCCTGCCACATGCAGATCCCATGTCAGCCAGAAGAAGAGGGCAGAACCTGGGGACAGAACTGCCACAGATCTTCAGAGTCACCAGGCCAGAGTGTGATGCACTAGTCTCATGCAAGACTCCCATAAGGCTCTGGGGCAGCTCGGGGAAAGATGGAGTGGTGCACACAACCCAAGCACGGGCTGGGTACTCACAAAACACCTGCTCCAGCTTTGGGAAGGACAGACCTGACCCTGGGGAAAAAGGGAAGAGCAAGCCCAGCCCAGGATGCTGGAGTGGGCTGGGAGGACCTTACCCAGAGAGGCCATCAGTGCAAAGTTCTCCAGCATCACATTGCGGTACAGACATCTCTGGGCCTCATCCAGGAGCCCCCACTCTTCCCAGGAGAAGTAGACAGCCACGTCTTCAAAGGTCACATGGCCCTGCCAGGATGGGGACAATTGAGTTGACATGCAGCCTTCTTTCCCAGGTCTCTAGGCATCTCCCCTAATATCCACCCTCCGCCAGGGCCCTCATCTCAGAGGAGAGACCCTGGTGCCAGCGATGCCCACTTTCTCCTCACAGTCCCATGAATCACTGTGCAGACCTCAGCAACAACCGGCAGCCAGGCAGACAGCTGTCACGTAGGCTCTAGGCCTGGCCTGCAGGGCCTCACCCTTCTCCTGCCAGACAATTCACCTGAGGGCCTCCGGACTGTGCTTCCCCAACACAGCCAAGTTTGGGTCACTGTTCTCCGTCAGCCCCGGTACAAGGGCCTGAGGTCACCAGTTTACACTCCCTCCCAACATGCACGTCACTCTGTAACCACACCTCCCTTTACATCCTCAACCCCTCACTGCCACCCCAACCCCACACGTACCACATGCACCTCCCTGGCTTCACGACATGCCAGTGTGCACACAGTACCCAGAGGGTACCTGGCAAATGTGTCCAGAATTCCATCCTGTTCAGTTGGCCCCCAATGGCCCCAACTGCCAGGGACAATCCCCAGGCTTGCATTTTTTTAATTGATTTTTTTGAGAAAGAGGAAGGAATAGGGAGAGAAACATGGATTGGCTGCTTCCTGCACGCCCCCTATTGGGGATCAAGGCTGCAATACGGGCATGTGCCCTGACCCAGAATCAAACCAGCAGCCTTTCAGTGTATGGGATGACGCCCCACCAAGTGAGCCACACAGGCAGGGCCCCAGTCCTGCTCTGAAGGCCTCCCTACTTGACCCTGATCTTTGCTTTATCCTCAGCTACCGGGAACCACACACAGATTTCACACACCTCAGCCCTCTTCCACATCTCTGTTGTGAAGGGGTCTACTCAACAGTCTCAGCTTCCTGTGACACTTACTGGAAGCCCAGGCCCACTTGTCTCTCACATTATGCCTGCGATTCTCCCAGGGCGTCCCACTGGGTCTTGAGCTAATCCCAGGTCCCAGCAAGGGTCAGAGCCTGTGAGTCACCAACTTTAGTGTCATCTCACGGCCTTGTCTCCACATCTATCTCATGTCTACTCCCCACGTAAACCCTGGCCACCAGCTAGGCCCTCCTCACTCCTGCAACCCTTCCACAGGCCATTATTCCCCTGCATGTGTCCTCGTGAAGCCCACCACCCCTACCCAGATGTCCAGCAAGAGACCCAGTCCTTGGCCCCACACTCCTCTCGTTATCTAATGGCATTGCCACCAGGGCTAAAGATGCCCGCTACTGAATCTGATCCACAGCTCCACCTAGGTCCACACAGAATCCGTGGTGTGGGTGTCTGTGATCTGAACTCTTCACCTGAACTCCAGACTTGTGTGTCCCGGTGCCCATTTGACAAATCCACTCAAGGGTCTCTGGAACAGCCCAGTTCACTATGGCCAAAGCTTAACTCCTAATATTCCCACTGAAAATTACTCTTACAAACTTTGACATGGTGGTACTTCCCTGCTTCTAGCTACTAAGGCCAAACATCTCCGAGTCACCCCTGACTCTTCCACTTCTCTCTCCCACCCTCCACATTAGAAGGTCTGCTCGGACCTATTTAAAATCCACACACAGAGTCCAACACGTCTTTGTCCTCCAAAGCAACCTGTTTCAGCCACCACCAACACTCACTTGGACTATTGCAGTAGCCTCCCCCTGGTCTCCAAGCAACCCAAAAGTCTGCTCTCTAAAGCAAAAAGACTTGTTAAGTCTGGATCAGATCCCCCCCCCCCGTCCCTGCTCCAAATGTTCTCTGGCTTCCACCAACATCAGGATAGAGTCCCAGGTCTTCAGGCTACCATTCCAGGTCTAGTTCCTGCTTCCTGCTGTTTCCACCCGACATAATGAAGACCTAGGGTTGCCTAAGCATTTGCAGCTCAACCTCACCTCCAGCACTTCCTGATCACTGTGAATATATCATGCCACTAGTTGCCAGAAATGGGAACTGATCCATACAATTCCTGGTCAGGACTCAAAGCCCTCACCTTGGGTGATCATCCTCCAAAGATCTCAGATGGAAGGAAAGGGAGAGTAGCAGGCAGAATGCCAGGATACCCGGGAGCCCAAGGATCTGGAATACCCTCCTTTACCTCTGCCTGGTCTGGGAGTAATTCTGCAGGCAACAATGTCAGGCCTCAAAGGCTCATCTAAGCCCCCTCACACCATCAGGGCCTTAGTCCTCAGTGATGCCTCTTATCATCTGCTTGGCCTTGGAAAAGTACTGGACCTCCCTGTGCCTCATTGTTGCTATCTGTAAAATGGTAACAATAATGGTGCCCACACAGTGGGGCTATTGCTTGTATCAAACTGATTCCTGTATGTCAAATACTAACTATCACCTCTTACTGTCCTCATAATTAACACTTCTGTCAACATTTCATTGCAAATGAACTGGTAGGTATCAAAATTGTGGATTTTTTTTTACATGCCTTTTAACTAAGGGAATGTGATATGGAAGACATTTGATTTTAATCAAATGCTTAGCATTACATTAAGATTCCAACCATGAATTAAGTGTTTACATCACTTGTTAAATCCATGTCGTTTTAATTGCCTATGTACGTGTGTATGTATATATATGTATGTGTGTGTAGTGTACACACATATACGTGTATACAGGGTGGGGAAAAAAGTAGGTTTACAGTTGTTTGTATGGAAAACTAATATAATAAAAAATAATACAAGAATAAACTGTTCCACATACTAATCCCTCTAAAACTACTTTTGCCCCATCCTGTATATGTATACATACATATGCATGTATACGTATACATATGTATTTTTTATCAACTACTGCTTAAACAAATACTTCATCAATTCACAAATTAATAAAGTGGGGGATTGGAGGAAACTGAGTAGATACTAGTCCTGTTCACAATGTGGCTGCCTGCTATATACGCTTGCTGGGAACTTCCCATTCATTACTCATCCCTCCTGCCCTGAAGGCTGGGGGACTTGGGCCCCAAAGAGAGCAGCTCCACTAACCTGGCTGGCATTTCCTTTTCTCCACAAGGAGTGGACACGAGGGCCTGCTGAGCCTGGAGTGAGACATCTACACCGCTGAACATGTCAGTCTCCTGGTCCTTACACCCAACAACCGCCCACTCCTATACACACCAGCCAGAATCACTTAGGACCACAGGAATCCACCTCTTTGCAGGCAGCCCCACCCTCCAGGCCCACCTGAAATAAGAACTTTAATATTCACCCTCCTGGCCGAGCTGGTGTGGCTCAGTGGATTGAACGTCATCTCATAGACTAAGAGGTCCGGGTTCAATTCCCCGTCAAGGCACATGTCCTGGTTGTGGACTCCATTCCCAGCAGGGGGCCTGCAGGGGGTGGCCCATGGATGTTCTCTCATGGATGTTTCCATCTCTCTCTCTCTCTCTCACTTCCTCTCTCTAAAATCAATAAAGGGTAAAAAAAAAAAAATTTTTAATATTTAAAAATAAAAAAGATTTGGCCCTGGCCGGTTTGGCTCAGCGGTTAGAGCATCGGCCTGTGGTCCAGAGAGACCCGGGTTCGGTTCCCGCTAAGGGCATGTACCTCGGTTGCAGTTTGTCCCCGGCCCTGGTTGGTCGTGCGGGTGGCAGCCACTCGATGTGTCCCTTCACATCGATGTTTCTCTCTCTCTCTCTTCCTCTCTCTCCCTCCCGCTCTATCTGAACAAAAATGGAAAAATGTCCTCGGGTGAGGATAAAAAAAAAAAAAAAAAAAAAAAGATTTGCCCTGGCCAGTTTGGCTCAGCGGTTAAAGCGTCGGCCTGCGGTCCAGAGAGACCCGGGTTCGGTTCCCGCTAAGGGCATGTACCTCGGTTGCAGTTTGTCCCCAGCCCTGGTTGGTCGTGCGGGTGGCAGCCACTCGATGTGTCCCTTTCACATCGATGTTTCTCTCTCTCTCTCCCTCCTACTCTATCTGAACAAAGAATAAAAAAAAAGTGTCCTCGGGTGAGGGTAAAAAAATAATAATAATAATAAAAATAATAAAAAAAGATTCATCCTTCTAAACACTAGCCCCAGGCCTTGCGCTGGTCCAGGCCGCCACTCACATCCCTTGGGTATCTCCAGCCCAGATCCTTCCCCAGACATCCAGATGTGAGCGAGCAAGCTGCTCGTGTGTCGCCTCCAGTCTGGGACAAGTCAGGGGTACCATGTCCAACATGCAACTCCCAATCTTTTCCCTGACACCTGCTCCCCGCGCCGACTTGGCCATCTCCAATTTTTTCAGCTATTCCGGAAACAGACAAAAACGCAAGCAAACAACAAGGGATGATGCTTCATTAGCTACGTCCGCCCACGGCCACAGGTGATGCGGCAAGAAAGCCTGTGCAGTTTTGAAAAATCCATCCCAGCTGGTCATCCCTCCCCCTTCTACCGCCACGAGTGTGGTCCGGCCCCCCCAGGACTACTACCCACGGCGCCGACTTCCCTGAGCAGGGGGCGCTCACCCGGGCTGCAGGGGTCCGGGCGGTGAGGTGCTGCAGGTTCGGGGGACCCGCACGCACCTCAGCCGGGCGCCTCAGCGCAGCCGCCGCCATCGGGCTCTGCGGGCGGAGAGGGGAGGGGAGCGGAGGACCAGGTCGGCCGGGGCACCCAGCCCCCTGATCCAAAATCGGGGTCACCCGGGCGGCGTCGCCTCAGCCTCCTCTCACGCGGTCCCTTCGTGTCACCCCGACCCCAAGCCAGCCTTCCAGAGACATGCGACTGACCCGGCCCCAGAGATCCCCATAGTCAACTGCCCTGAGGCCACGCCGGAAGTCCCGCCCAAAGTTTCTGCACTCTCCGAAACAGCCGTTTTCATTGGCCTGGCACCAGTGCTGCTGTGCGCGGTGCCTTCTGGGCAATGTAGTTCTCATAGCGCTCAATGTAGAGCTGCGGAGATAACGGTGGAAGAGAAATCAGGATCCAGAATTCTGCCAGGTCTCATCGAGAGACTGTCATTATTCATGGGTCCTTGATGGGTCTGGGTTTCAATTTCAACTCTCTTCTTTTCTTTTTCTTTTTTATTTATTGGTGAGAGAGAGAAACATTGATTTGTTGTATCACTTACCTATGTATGCATTGGTTGATTCTTTGTTTTTTTATCCTCACGGGAGGACATTTTTCCATTTTTCTTCAGATAGAGTGGGAGAGAGAGAGAAACATCGACGCGAAAGGGACACATCGAGTGGCTGCCACCTGCACAACCAACCAGGGCCAGGGACAAACTGCAACCAAGGCACGTGCCCTTAGCGGGAACCGAACCTGGCTCTCTCTGGACCACAGGCCAACGCTTTAACCGCTAAACTAAACAGGCCAGGGCTATTGGTTGATTCTTGTATGTTCCCAGGCTGGGGCATTGAACTCACAACCTTGGCATATGGGGAAGATGCTCTAACCAACCGAGCTGCCTGGCCAGGGCCAGTCTTTCCTTTAATTGAAGGACTTAAAGACATATTGAGAGCCACAATAAAGTGGTTTCCTCGGACTGAAGTAGTTATCCATTTCTAAATTCCCCTGCTAAGGGGATGCCGGATGTCAAACACAATGATGATGAAGCAATACCTGATGTATGATTAAAAGCTGAACGGCTGCTACTCCTTCTGGGCGAAATCTACAGTTCCATTCCTGTAAACCGTTAATATTTTATTTAATCCATGTAAGAAACCTTCAATCCCTGGACGGTATTTCTCAGTGGTTAGAGTGTTGGCCCACACACCAAAGAGTTGTGGGTTCGATTCCTAGTCAAAGGCACATACCTGGGTTGCAGGTTCAATCCCAGACCCCCATCGGGGTGCACGTGGGAGGCAACAATCAATGTGTCTCTTTCACACTGATGTCTCTCTCTCCCCTTCCTTCCCTTCTTTACACTCTCTCTCTACAAAAAAAAAAAAAAATCAATGGAAGAAACCTTTCAAACCTATAGAGAATTTTTATTAGTTTATTTGAGCCAAACTAATGACAATTGCTGGGAAGCAAACTCACTGGATTGAGACAATGCTTCAAAGAAGGGCAGTTTTGCAGCTTATTTTATATGTTAGAATAAAAGGAGAAGCTGTACAGAGGGTTACATGAAATTCATTGATGGTAAATTAAGGGGGCAGGAGAAAGCAAAGGAGGGGAATCTCTGAAATTGGATAAAAAATAAAATGGAGAGACACATCTATTTTTGCATTGGTGGTTACAAAATAGTTAATACTCAACATTTAGAGCACATAGAGATGGTATTCTGGCAACAAGACAACAGTGAGGAGTTCTGTGTTCTTGGGCCCTGGTGCCCTAGAACCTATGGTTGTGCCTTCAGGGCTCTGGGAGAGAAGATTATTCTGACATTTACAGAGTATGTTATCATCCATGCAAAAAGACAATACATAGGTTCACTTAAGGTAAAGATTGACCTTTGTCAAGAAAGTTACAGGCTTAGGATGCGACTACCTGCCCTGACTCCCTTTTAGTTAGGGATTTTTATGTTCAGATCATCCTATGTGGTAACTTTCAGTCCTTGAGTTTGTAAGGCCCATTACACAGGCCTTCCCTGAGCTTGTCAGTTTTTTTCGTCCACAACTCCACAAAGAAGAAAGAGGTCTCCCCTCATTGGAGGAGAGCACTGGAGCTGGGAGCATGTATTACGCGTCCCAGTCGGCCTCAAGTTAGCTGTGAGGGACTTCAGGAAGCTGCTTTGCCTCTCCTGGATTTTGTTATTATATATACAATGAGGCTGACCACAGGCAACAAACTCATGCATGAATGACAGCAATTGACATTGGGAAGCATGTTACTCACCCTGAGGCTGAAGTTTGGGGAGGTGGGGGGGGGAGGGTAACAGGAAGGCTGAGGTCCTTGCCCCTCTGGCCACCAATGTCTTTCTGATCCACCCAAATAGGCCAAAAAGAACTTGATTTGTTTGTTTCGAAATCACCTGCCTGATGTATAGACAATGAGATGAGGCAGAGCAAGAATTGATGTTGGAGTCAGGACAGAGGCTCTTGGGTAGTCCAGACGTGTGTTGCATGTAGACCAGCCAAAGGGAGTAGATTTGGAGGTGTTGAAAACAGAAGTGACAGGATATGTGGATTGTTGGGATGATGGGGCAAGCCTTAGGCAATGGCAATTACCTGCCTCAACTCTCCTGTATCTGTGAGCTAATGGGACTTTTCCTGTTCTGATTCTTGGTTGGTGCCCAGAAAACACATATTTAGAGGATAAATACCATTGAAGGCTAATGTTTCTGGGACAGTGAAAAGGCAAGACACATCCCTGGTCCTCATGTCACTTACCTGGAAGTATAAGGTCTTTAGCACATTAAGCAATCAGCCTCCCCTCTCATTTATATGTTTTGAGGTTGTGCATGGGAATTCCACCATTTTAACTCCATAAGGAGATCTATTCATGTTTTTCACAGCTAATGAGCAGTTATTTTAATCAAAAGATGCACCTCTCTTAATCCTCATTCCTTATCTCATTGTAGACCTTTCATCTGGGTTCATTCTTCTTTGGACCTAAATATTATTTTAGAATTTTATTTCCTGTGGCTTTTATGTTCACCACATTAATAATTTTTGGCCTCAAATAGTCTTATGTCACATTTTTTAAAGACATTTATACTGTGTATAGAAATTTCATTTGGTAGTTAATTCTCCTGTACAGAAATTGTTTTTGCCCTCCTAATTGCCAAATACATTTGGCAAATTGCCCTACTTTTCAGATATTTATAAGATAGCTAAAAGGGAATTGTATACATCCCTGTATATGGAGTAAGAAATGACTTGTAAAAAGAGTGTTATTCCCTAGGTTTGACACAATCAGTATACAGGCAGAAGAAATGTTTTCGGAGATAACCAGAGACACAAGCATTGTCCACGGACTTCAGTGGCACCCAACATCCCCAATCCATTTTCCACATCGTGTCTGTGTCTGGATTCGTCTCTGTCTTGTTCCTGACCCAAAATGGGGAGGCTCACAAGACTAACTCTAGAGCTTTAGGCTACATGTGTTCACTTGATGACGACATAATATTTTTTACCTTCCAGCTATAGGGGTCTGAGTGACATTAGCGTATAGTGAGTCCATTTGATTCTATATTTGTGTGAGCATTCTCTTCATAGAGAAGCCTGAAACAGAATGCTTCTAAGCATTTCTGTGATAAGTTACAGACTACAGTACACTTCTTGGAAATATGAGGTCGGTTCCTTTAAAAGGAAAAGAGATTCTGCTTAATTCCCCCTCTGGAGGCGCTGCTAGCTCTGTGATTCGGCCTTTGCCCAAGAGGTGGCGCCGAATGTGCATCTCCTTGGTTGGTGCTGTGGGAACTACATTACCCGGAAGCCTCGGCGGCGCTGGACCAATGAAGGCCTAGGAGAGGGGCGTTTCCGTCCGTGCGGAAGACGTCGGGGCGGGACTTCCCGTTTTTTTCTTGGGCGGACATTTTGTTTGCTTTTCGATTTGTTCACCTCGTCAGTCAGCGGGACGCAGTGTCAGACCCGAGGTGACACGAGGGGAGAGGCTTTTCCCCTGAGCAGAGACAGGCCTGAGACTCGGCTGCGGCGCCTCCCGTGTCCCCCGGCTGTCCTCGCGCTTGTCTCCCGCCAATTATTCCCTCTCGTCCCCCGCCTCCCCCGGTCCCCAGGTTCCGAAGGCGGAGGCCGCACTGGTGGACCCGGCGCAGGTGGGTGCTGCGCCCCCGTATCCTCCCCGATCTTCGTTCCTGAGTCCTGGAGCCTCGAATGAGGGCTGCCCAGTGCGGATCGTGGGGGCGCTCGTGGTGGGGCCCCACTTCTGACAACCAGTTTGATGGGCCGGAAGGACGGACAGGCAGAGGGGCCGGCAGGTGCAAAGGCCCGGAGCGCGACAAAGCTGGAGCTTTCGGGGAGCCTGAGCCTTTGGTGTCCGCCGGGCCCCGAGTGTGAGCAGTTGTTACGTCTGGAACATCAGCTTGAGCAGCTCTGCCTTCATTCTCGGTGCTGGGGACCACGGAAGGTTCTGAACAGAGGGACACGATCTGAGGGTTTTACAAGTATTCCATAGGCTGCTCAAGGCAACAGACTTGGAGGGCGGGGTGGGGAGGTGATGAGGAGAGTGAGGCACAGGAAGGAAGACACCTCGTCTGAGGTAATGGCCTTTGGGTGATCCTGAGGACTGAGCAGAGGGTAGACAGCTCTGGGGCTTAGTGGTAGGGCAGGCATAGGGGACAGGCATGAGGCCTTGATGCTCCTTCGTGGTTGCCTGTCTCTCACAATCTCCCTCATTCTACAGGTTCCCATGAACTCGGATGTAATTATGGACCCCATACAGGTGAGGGGAGGATGCCTGTGTGCTCATCGACCCCATCCACACCCCCACCCACGTGGTGTCCAGGATTGTGATGTCATAGAACACTTTACTTGTGCTCTCCCAGCTCTTGAGTTTGAAGACCCTGGAGAAAGCCCAAGCCCAGGGTTCTGAGTCCGGGCTTGGGGTTGTATGGAAGGGTTCCCGTTTCTGATAACCACTGGAATAAGGTGCGGAAGGTGTAAATACTTGGAGGTGAGGCTGAGATGGGAGTTCTCAAGAAATTACAGGTTTCCACCATGTCTAGTGGGAATCGAGCAGGTGGGCAGGAGTTAGGCCTCTGTTCTGAGGGTGGTATAGCATGGCAGGTGTGAAGCAGAGCAGGGAGGTGATCTGATCCAAGTTTTAACGAGCTCCCTTTGGATGCCAAGTGGAGAACAGACTTTGTGGGGTGAAGGTTGAGGAAGTTATGGTACAGACCAGGGAGGAGGCTGCTTTAATATTCTAGGTGAGTGGTAATAATGGATGGGCCAGAGGGGTTGCTGTGTAGATGGGAGAAGTGATTGGGTCAGAGTTTCTGATGTGAGAGAAAGAGAGAGTTAACCCCCAGGTTTTAGGTCTTATCATCTGGCAGGGTAGATGCTCCATCATCTGAGATGGGCAAGTCAGTTTAGAAGTAACTCACTGTTGATATCAGTTTATCTGTGACCACGTGAAGGGGCTGAGGAGTTCCAGAGAACACTGCATGGAGGTGTTGAGTGAGCTCCTGGACACAGGATGGGAGTTCTGTGGAGAGGTCAGGATGGAGATGTCCAACAGGTAGACATGGCATAGAGACAGGTTTAGAACAGACAGTCTACACCTCACAACGGCAATGCAGTCAGTGAGCCAGGAAGGTGATGACAGAGGCTAATGACTGGCTGGGACCAGGCTTGTGAGACAGAGGGATCCAAGAGTCATGCAAATAGAAGGGTATGAACTGATGGCCACTGAGCCCTGATAATCAGTGGCTTAAGGGAGAAAGGTGAGCTCAGCTTTGGTTGTCTGGTAAGCACAATCTTAGCAACCTCAGGAGAATTGGCTGCTGTGGTAGGTGTTGAGCAGGACTACATACCAGGCCCAGAGCTTAGATGTTACCTTTATGCCCACTTTGCTGTGGGTGAACACCATGACCAAAGGGACCAGGAGAGAGCAGACCCTGTGGCACCCAGTTATAGTATTTCCTCTGAGTTGAGTTAGGTAGGAAGGAACCTGGGGACATCTTTGGGAGAGAGGCTGCTCATGGACTGGGCTCTCCCCATTGTGGCAGGTGCAGGTGAACTTTGAGGATGTGTTCGTGTACTTCTCTCAGGAGGAGTGGGGACTCCTTGATGACACTCAGAGGCTCCTGTACCGTGATGTGATGCTGGAGAATTTTGCACTTATGGCCTCACTGGGTAAGGTCCTCACACCCACCCTCGACTCTTGGATTGGTCTCTGCCCCTCCCTTTTTCCAGGGGGATCCTGGCCCTTCCTGTGTCATAGCCATGTGCACTACTACTCTCCCCAGTTCCCTGGAGTAGGTGCCGTGGATGCCAGGCATGAGCTGTGTTCACTGCCGCCTCTGACTCCTGAGCAGTCCCAACACCTGCTGCCTTGAAGGCTTGCATGGCTATCCCAGGATTTGGGATCTTACAGGCACCCAAGGGATCATATCCATCTTGTCCTTGCCTTGACTGGGTACCTCTGTCCAGATCCATGGCACCCCTGTACCCAGGTTCTGCCCTATTCCTCTAGCTGACATTTCTGATGGCCTGCCTGTGTCAGAAATTGCAGGTACCAATATGGTCGAGATCTACTTGCTGAGACCACTGGGCTATTCCTGTAAAGACCCTACTTTGACATTAATTTTATAACATTCATTTCTTTTCTTTGAATAGTGGATCATGCAGAACAGTGCAGCCCGTTTACCAGTCCTATCTGTCCCTTAGGATATACATCTATGTCTTGTGAGGTGGACCCACTGGAGCTGGGCAGCAAACACTGGGTATCAGCCTGGACACACATGACTCCAGCCAGGACCAGAGAAACTCAGAGTGGGTGTGGCCCTGGTGAGTGGGAGCTAGGGGAAGGTGTCATGTCAGGGCTGGGTCCCAGTCATTCTCTAACCTCTGTGCCAACAGTTGTTTTATTGCCAAGGCCACTGGTCACATTTCATTTCTGTCTTTACTTTCCCGTTTATGCACTTGCCTTTTGTGTTCTGCCCTTTGGCCTCTGTCTGTCCCCTCCTCTGCCTCCACATCTCATCTGTTCCTCTCCACTGTTCCCTCTGCATTGCTCTCCAGCTTTGGCCTGTACTTAATGTGTCAGATGTGCACAGACCTCAAATCGTCCTTAGTGATTTAGTTGTACGTCTTTGGGGGAACACAGCCTTCTGCATTCTCACCTGTTCCCAGCAGCCAGTGGCTTACTGAAATCTGTTTGTGCATGACTTCACTGGAGAGCTGGCTTTCCTGAGCTGTGTCCCTCATTTGTGTCCTCCCCCAGTCAAGGCCCCTTCCCTTCTATGACCTTTAGATGCCAACTGCTGCATGGCAGCCCTTTACTCATTTTGAGCTATGATCTTGCTCTTAGTTCTGTTAGACATATATTTATAATGAGACTGCCCTTTCTACCAGTGCCATTGTGAACTTCACCAGCATTTGTCTGCTTTCAGGTTCTTGGCAGGGAATGGAGGATGAGGAGATACCTTTTAAACAGAGGGTTACTACAGAAGGAGTGTCACAGGTCGGGACTCCTAAGGCAGGCCTTTCTACCCAGAAAGCCTACCCCTGTGAGACACGTGGCCCGGTTTTGAAAGACATTTTGCACTTGGCTGAACACCAAGAAACTCACCCTGAGCAGAAACCATGTGCAAAACAATTTTCCTTCAGTGCAAACCTTCACCACCAGAAACAGTGTAGTGAAGAGAAACCTTTCAGAAGAGATGAGGGCCGAGCCTTTCTTGTGAACAACTGTCCTGTCCAGCCATTGGATATGCCCTTTACAACTGGGGAGGCTTGTAAGGATTTCTCAAGTAGCTCAGGCAGTTTCCAGCACCATGCTCCTCACAGTAAGTGGAAGCCACACAGTGACACCAAGTGTGCAGAGGTCTTTCACAGTGGACAAAGGCATTTTGAGTGCCATGAATGTGGGAAAACCTTCAGCCGCAAAGACTCACTTGTCCAGCACCAGAGAGTCCACACTGGAGAGAGGCCGTATGAGTGCAGCGAATGTGGGAAAACCTTCAGCCGCAAACCCATACTTGCTCAGCACCAGCGAATTCACACTGGAGAAATGCCGTATGAGTGTGGCATCTGTGGGAAAGTTTTTAATCACAGCTCCAACCTTATTGTACACCAAAGAGTTCACACTGGAGCAAGGCCTTACAAATGCAGTGAATGTGGGAAAGCCTACAGCCACAAATCCACACTTGTTCAGCATGAGAGCGTCCACACTGGAGAAAGGCCTTATGAGTGCAGTGAATGTGGGAAATACTTTGGTCATAAATACAGACTCATTAAACATTGGAGTGTTCATACCGGGGCAAGGCCTTATGAGTGCATTGCCTGTGGGAAATTCTTTAGCCAAAGCTCTGACCTTATTGCACACCAGAGGGTCCACAATGGTGAAAAGCCTTTCGTGTGCAGCGAGTGTGGGAAAGCCTTTAGCCACAAACATGTGCTTATTCAGCACCATAGAATCCACACTGGAGAAAGGCCCTATAAGTGCAGTGAATGTGGGAAGGCTTTCAGGCAAAGGGCTTCCCTTATACGACATTGGAAAGTTCACACTGGAGAAAGGCCATAGGGTATCAGGGAATATGCCATCTCTGTGTTCACCAATGGCTGACGCCAGAGAAGCTCTGTGAGCCGCCTTCGAGAGTAGCCATCAGCTAGAATTTGAATCCCATTCCTCTGAACATCCATTTGAGGGCCACTGCATGGAAAGCTTTTCTGAAGTAATGTTGCACTTTGTCACCTGCCTAGGACCTCTGACAGAATCCTTTCACTGTCTGTCTCTGAGAGAAGCCATCCATCTATGCAATGACAGGGTCCCATGTTGTACAAACGTCAGCTCAACATGCTCTATTAGGCAGGTCTGTGCTGCTCCTCCCTTCTCTGCAGGGAATCTTCAGTATCCTGAGCCCATTGGTCCCCATTTCTTGCTGTCTCTTGCTCCCCCTCAGCTGGTTTCAGCCAGGAGGATGCAAGTTTTGTTTTGCTGGCCACTTACAGAGTAGGTTTCCAGTTTTTGTGGACTTTGTTGGTCTCAAGTGGCACTTGTTTGTCCTGGATATGTCCAGCCTCCAAGTCACCGAACTTGGGAATTGCCTGCCCCAATATTCTTGTTTCACAACAAATGCCTTAGTTTTTAAACCACTTTTAATCTTAGGGGTTCTGTTCAATGTAAGCTGGCTCGAGGACAGAAGTGGGCTCTGCCAGCATGAAGAGATGGACAGCTTTTGTGAGACACCCAAGTGTGGTGTCAGTGCTGTGAGCAGAACAACAAACAACAGCTCTTATTCTTGTTTCAGCTTAACATGCATTGCTGCTCAAAGCCTCCTGAGGAAGAACACTGATCTTTATGGGCCTGATCTTGTGGCCTGTGTGCGAAGATTATCTGTGAGAACCTAAGCACTGGGCATTTGTTGTAACAACTTCTGGTGTGTCTGGGAACAGCCTGAATTGGGTCCCTTGTTCCCAGTGGATATTTCTTATTTTCAAGCCCTCCTTAGAAGAACTTAATCCCCTGGGGCCTGCCAACATCCCTGAAATCTATTCAGTAGGTAGATGTCACTGTCCCCTAAAAGGGCCAGGTCGAAGTCGTAACTGGTACAGACACTGACTAGTAGGGAGTTGGGAGACTGCAGCAAATGACAGAATGTGATGCTTCTAAAGATATATCCACAAACATTTTTCATGGCTTTAGGTATGAGGACTTATAGAAATCCTAAGGACTCCCATATTTTGTCTTTTATGGTTATATCACTATCAGAACATTTTTTGCAATAAACTTCACACATTTATAGTATACAATTTGATAAGTTACAATAGGTTTGCACCTGTGAAATCAAGTTTCCTAACTTCATTTATAATCCCTCTTCCCCTTACGCATTCCCAGGCAACCACTTGTTTTCTGTCACTAGATATCTTTGCATTTTCTAGAACTTTATATATGGTATAAATGGACTAGTTTAATAATATGTCTGGCTTTTTTGACTCTGCATAATAATTTTGTGGTTTATGAATGTTTTATGTATCAGTAGTTCACTCCTTTTTACCCATATCTTTGCTAAAAGCACTCCACTTAAGGGAAATAGTCCCAAAGCAAGTGATCCAGGAAAACACACAGTAATGAAGCCACAGTATTATAATCTTAACCTGAAAGTGGTGTCATCATTTATGATATGGTCTATGGGTGACACTAATTGTGCTACAAGGTAGAAGTACACTCCACAACAATGAGGAGGTAGGGATTTGTGAGGGCATTTCTTGGACACCAGTGACCACAGAGTTGTTTTTAATTTTCCTTACCTTTTTAGTCTTTTAATAATCAATTACATTGATTTTCAAAAGTTGAACCTTGCATTTATGGGGCATACCTGACTTGGTCATAATGCATTACTTTTATGTATTGTTGGATTTTACAGTCATGCATGCACCTCTTAACTGTGGGGCACATTCTGAGAAATGTGTCATTAGGCGATTTTGTCATTGTGTGAACATCACAGAGACACTTACACAAACCTAGGTGGTCCAAAAACAAAACAAACCTAGATTGTCTAGCCAACTACACATCCAGGCTGTATGGTATAGCCTATTGCTCCTAGGCTATAAGCCTGTAAGCATGTTACTGTACTGAGTACTGTAGAAAATTGTAACAATGGTAAATATAAATGTGTTAATGTATCTAAACACAGAAAAGGTATAGTAAAAATATGGCATAAAAAATGGTGCACCACACAGGGCACTTACCATGAATGGAGCTTGCAGGGCAGAAGTTGCTTTGGGTGAGTCGTTGAGTTGTGAGTGATGTGAAAGCCCAGGACATTATTGTACATGGCTGTAGACTTGATAACACTGTACGCTTAAGCTACACAAAGTTTATTTTTAAGTCCTTTAATTTCTTCAATAATAAATTAACCTTGGCTCACTTTACTTTTTACACCTAATTTTTTAAAAAAGTCTCTTATAACATGTAGCTTAAAACACATATTGTACAGCTATACCAAAATATTTTCTTTATATCCTTGTTCTATAAGCTTTTTATCTATTTACTTTTTTTTTTTTTTTTTTTAACATTTTAAAGGTTTTGTTGTTGTTGTTGAAAACTAAGACACAGCCCAGCTGGTGTGGCTTGGTGGTTGAGCGTCAACCCATGCACCAGGAAGTCACCGATTCAATTTCCAGTTGGGGCACATGCCCAGGTTGTGGGCCAAATCCCCAGTGGGGGCATGCAGGAGGCGGCCAATCGATGTTGTCTTTCATGGATGTTTCTATCTCTTTCTCCCTCTCCCTTTCTAAAATCAACAAAGAAAAAAAAAAGGAAAACTAAGACACAGACACACACACCTTAGGCCTACACAAGGCCAGGAGCATCAATATCACCGTCTTCTACCTTCACATCCTGTCCCACTGAAAGGCCTTCAGAGGCAATAACACCCGTGGAGCTGTCATTTAATGATAACAATGCCTTCATCTGAAACACCTCAAGGATCTCCCTGAAGCTTATCTTGAGGTGTCACTCTTTCAGAAATATGTCCATGGTGTTTGGTTTGTTTCTTTTTCCATCATAGATTTACTTGTAAGCAGATAATGCACCATAAATGTTCTATTAAAAACTTTCCATGTTGAGGTCCATGTTTTCAAACTTTATAAGGAGCTTGTTGAGGTCTGCAAAACCTACTAAACCCTTCACTGATGGGGGGGGGGGGGCGCGCTTTGTCTTCTGTTTCCTTTTCTCTTGACTCCTCTTCAGTTCTGCATTCATATTCCACTTCCAACTCCTCATCATTTGATTCCTCAGGAACCACATCTAGGAGCTCCCCCAACTCCTCAGCATTTGATTCCTCAGGAACCATATCTAGGAGCTCCCCAATGTCAGTCATCTTCATCCACACCCTGGTTAAAGTTTGCCATCTCAACCACAGCCCTGTTTATTTCTGCAACCTCCTCATCCTTAGCCCACAGCCCTGTTTATTTCTGCAACCTCCTCATCCTTAGCAAAGCCTTTGGAGTCACAGAGGAACCTCTTAAGTGTCTCTTCCAGATGCCATTCATATACTCCTTGGTGACATCATCCCAAGCCCAAGTAAAGTTCTAGATACACTCAAAGATGTTGTAATCCTTCCAGAATTGCATCAATGTCTTCTCAGTGTCTCCAATAACAGCAATATCTTGGGCAAAGTTTCTCCTCAGGCAATAAGCCTTAAAAGTATAGTAAATAGCGTGGCTGGTGTGGCTCAGTTGGTTGACCACAGTCCCATGTTGAAGGGTTATCAGTTCAATTCCCAGTTGAGACAACTGATCATTTCTCTCCCTTCTGTCTCTTAAAAAATTCCCTGCTATTCCATCTCATGCTGAGGCCTTTCTCCACTGTGAATTTTCTGATGTCAAGTTAGACCTCTGGCTGAAGGCTTTCCCACATTTGCAGCTGTCAAAAGGTCTGTCTGGGACGTGAAGTTTCTGGTGGTCGTCCAGACCAGATCCTTGAATGAAGACCTTTCCACATTTGCTGCACTCCTTAGGCCCATCTCTGATGTGAACTTGACGGTGCTGGAAAAGTTGGGTGCTTTGACTAAAGAATTCTCCGCATTCACTGCACTTGTAGGTTCTTTCTCCCATGTGAAGTCTCTGGTGCTGAGTGAGGCCAAAGCTTTGACTAAAATGCTTCCCACAGTCCCTACACTTGTAAGGCCTTGCTCCTGTGTGAACTCTCTGGTGCTTAATGAGAGTAGAGCTTTGGCTGAACAACTTACCACACTCAATACACTCATAGGGCCTTTCACCTGTGTGAATTCTCTGATGTTTAATGAGGCTGGGGCTCTGGTTAAAAAATTTCCCACATTCACTGCACTCGTAAGGCCTTGTTCCTGTGTGAACTCTCTGGTGTTTTATCAGGTTGGAGTTGGAGGTAAAGAATTTTCCACATTCACTGCATTTATAAGGTCGTGATCCAGTGTGAATTCTCTGATGCTCACTAAGGCTGGAGCTTTGGCTAAAAAATTTCCCACAATCGCTGCACTTATATGGCCGTTCTCCTGTGTGAATTCGCTGGTGCCGGACAAGTGTAGGTTTGTTGCTAAAGGTTTTCCCACACTCACTGCACTTGTAAGGCCTTTCTCCAGTATGGATTCGCTGATGCTGAACAAGTATGTGTTTGTAGCTGAAGGCTTTCCCACATTCGCTGCACTCGTAGGGCCTCTCTCCGGTGTGGACTCTCTGGTGCTGAGCAAGTCTGTATTTTCGGCAGAAGGCTTTCCCACAGTCACTGCATGTGTAGTGTTTTTTTCCAGTGTGATAGGCCTCTGCACACTTGCTCTGAGAGAGCTGGTGAAGGCCTGAGTTAGTGGGGGAGCCCTTCCCAGCCTCCCAGCACATGAATGGTTTCTCTGAGGTGTGGACTATGCAGCTCTTCATACAAGAGTCCTTGTCTGTCTGCCTTCTGAAAAGTTTCTCACTACTGTGCTGGATCTGGTGACATTTCCCAGAGGTCCCAGACAGTTCCTGCTCAGGGGTTTTTCCCAGGTTGTCAGTTAGGTGTGAATCACCTTCTAGGGCCAGGCCACACATCTCCCAGGGATCAGCCTCCTGGGTGTACAAATCTGCCTTTGGAGTATTTTGCTGTGACATTTCAGGAACATTCTGCTCAAATGTTGCATCTTCATCCTCTGCTTCATTCCAACCTGAAAGCAGAGACACACTAGTGAACTTCCTGTCAGTGTGGATTAAGAGGAGGCAGCCCCATCACAATGTGTATCTTGACAACCAGTGAATAAGTCTATGGGATTTACCAAACAATGCAGCTGGGCACAGGCTAAGGAATGGCTCTGTGCAGTACCAGGCCTCTAAAAATGACAAAACAGGGGGCTTATCAGGCAAAAAACAAAAGGAGGCAGGTCCACAATTCACTCCTCTGTGAACACTTTTCATGACAGCCACTGATGCTGGTGACACGTGTGCTATGGGGAAGGGTGACCAGGCCCAGGAAATCCAAGTGCCACTGAGTAGCTGGTGCGCAAGGGTGATTTCAGGGACAGGTGCAGACCCCATGAAACATTAAGTGTAGGCCAATACTGGAGAGCACAGAGAGGGCGCAGTAGAGTGGAGGATGAGAGGTGAGGGGTAATCTGGGTCAGAAGTCCGAGTAGAAATGACAGGTGCTCAAGTGTCAAGGATGGGGAGTTAAGAGAAAAGAGGTATACAGACAGCCACCAGTCTTGTCTCCAAAACAGTCTTGGGCACACAGGGCGTGTCTGTGATAGGAGCTGAACCCAGCAATAATATCACGTTCTCCCTGATGCCAACCATCAGACCCAGGCCCAATCTGAGTCCCTCTTGTGCCTAAAGTCACGTCCACTCTGTCCTGTACCCAGGGTTTTCCCAGCTCCACTCGGACAATGTGGGACCTAGAAGATACAAGTCCTACGGAAAAAACAGGACAGGTGAGTAGTGAGCACTGACCCAGGGCAACCCTAACCCAAAAACCTCAGGAAGAAAATCACATTTGGATCTCTGAAGAGAGTCCCACAGAAACAGCCAAGTGCCCCCTCTCCGCCCCCAAATAGTGATCATGTTGGGTCCCTGTAAGTCCTGGTATGCTAAGGCCCTAGAAAATGTCAGCTAAAAGGGGGAAGAACCTGGAGCAGGGAGTGACTGAGGCAGAGGGGATCTGTGGGACTAACCCCAAGTCTCCTGACCCACACACTTTCCCTGAAAAAGGAGGAGGCAGTGTACATGACCAGCCTTAGAACCTATGACAAGGTACTGACCAGGACACTGCCCAGCTGTGAAAAGAACAGAGCTGCCTTTGGGGGGAAAATGGGAAAGGCAGAGCCAGTATGGAGCAAGGGGATAAGGGCCTTACCCAACGATGCAACAAGTGCACAGACCTCCAGCATTACATCACGGTATAGGCATCTCTGGGCTTCATCGAGAAGTCTCCATTCCTCCTGGGAAAAGTACACAGCCACGTCCTCGAAGGTCACAGAGCCCTGTGATGAGGGGACAGTTATGTCCATAAGTAGCATCTTTTCCCCAGGACCCCATAACTACCCACATTCAATCCTTCATCACTGGATCCAACCTGTAGCAGCAGGTAACAGACAGACCCAGAAGACAAAAGCCTGGAGTCCCCTTCTGTCTTAACCTCCTAGTACCAGGGCCCTGGGACAATTAGTTCACACACTAGATCTCCAGCATACATCTAATCTCCACCTCACATACCGTTCTGTATAGGGCATCTAGAAAGTGTCATAGGATCCCCTTTACCCCAAACCTCCAGTTTCTCCAGTCTTACTAACAAGGGGGTAATCCCCCAGAACCATGTGCAGATCCACATATCCCTGGTCATCTGCTTCTAGGTTGCACACTGTCTTTTCAGCAGTTACAGTCTCTATCCATGTAACACCATTCAAAATCTGTGCCTGCTTGACACACCTGAGATAAACTAGTCTGATGTTCTAAAAGCACATCCCACAAGCTCACCTCACAAGAGCCACCAGGCTTAGGAGGGTTTAGAAGCGCCAGTTCAACTTCATTATCATCTCCATTCCCCTATGAAAACCTGGGCCACCTGCTGGATTTTCCCCTCCCCATATCTTCCTACTGAGGAGCAACCACGACTCCTTTTTTTGTTGTTAATCCCCACCCGAGGATATTTTCCCATTGATTTTTTGATAGAATGGAAGGGAGGTGGGGGGAGGGGAGAAACATCGATTTGAGAGAGAGACATCAATTGGTTTCCTCCCACACGACCCTGACAGGGGCCTGGGATCAAACCTACAACCCAGGTACATGCTCTTAACCAGGAATCAAACCCACAACTCTTCGGTGCACAGGATAATGCTGTAACTGCTGAGCAAAACCAGCCAGAGTCAACCACGACTCTTCTCTGTCTGTCTTTATGATATGTATAGGCCCCACACTCTCCTCCCTTGTCCCCAAAGGCAGTGTTGCTAGTACTGGGATATGCCTGTCTACGGCGGACCCAGAGTTTCACATTGGTCCATACACTGGATGTCACGTCTTGGGTGTCTCCACACTGAAGCCCTCCCTCCTGGGCACTCTAGATCTTCACATGCAGCTATCTATTCTCAACTATACTTGGGAGACTCTGAAACATGTGAGACTCAATGTGAACCAAACCTAATTCCTAATGTTCTTACTGAAAAGCTGTCCTTCTTCCACTGACTTCGCCATCTCAGTGGATGGAACTTTCTACCCTTGCAGTCATCTATGACTTGTCTATTACCTTCCACATTTTAATATTTGGTCAACCCTACTTTAAAAAATCCAAATGCCAAATATTTCTCCCACCTCCTTTGTCCAGGCACAACCAATGCCTTCTTCTTTTTTTTTTGGTATGTGCCCTTAGCGGGAACCGAACCCAGGACTCTCTGGTCTGCCGGCTGACGCTCCAACTGCTGAGCCAAACCAGCCAGGGCCAACCAATGCCTTCTTGATGGCTTGTGTATGAAGATGTGAATCAGATCACTTTTCTTCTTTGCACCAAAAATTCTGTGGCTGCCATCATCTCAGACCACCAGACATGGAGACCTATAACACTCCCATCTTAGTCTCACCTCCACTATGTGTACCTACTGATCCCTGCACCTAAGACCTTTCACACCTCATTCCCCTGGGTGCCAAAATGGGGATCTCTCAACCTCTGACCTGGACTTCCAAACTTGAACTTAGGATTTCTCTAGGGTCGCCAGATGCCAAGGGTAGAAAGAGAGGCAACAAAAGAGTTCTAGACACTTGATACCCACCAGTGCAGGGTCCATGACTGCTTCTGCTGAAAACGAGCCCTGGAGAACCTGTGGGAAGGGTGGGGCCATGTTACTTTAATTCCTGTCAGTAATATGAACAAAAAAGACGAATGACTGAAACACAATATTTAGGTGAAAGGGAAAATAAAGCATGTTAAAGAGGGTAAAATATATTTATGCAATTATACCATAAAATCATGTGCCTAGCAGAGAAATACCCTCATGAAAAACCCCCATGTCAGTCTTACTTGGTGTGTTGAGTAGCATCCATGAGGCTATGCAAGAAGAGAGATCATTACCTCAAATGCGCACAGAGAAACAAATCAGATACCGTGAACAACCAAGGTAACTGGGACACAGAAAGAAGTGAAAAGGCCCCGGAAACCAAACAACTCTTCATGAACACTGTGGTATGAATGACAGAGAATTTAAGATTGCAGTTAAAAACACACGCGCGCACGCATGCGCACACACACACACAGATTTTTGGGTTCTAAAGAAGTCAGTAGATAAGATGAAGGCACTGGAAGGAGAACAAGAAGGAGCACATGGAAGTGAGAGATTTTTGGGTTCTAAAGAAGTCAGTAGATAAGATGAAGGCACTGGAAGGAGAACAAGAAGGAGCACATGGAAGTGAGAATTAGCAATCTTGAAGATAGAACCCCAAAAGTGTCCCAGGTGAAAGAGAACTGAGAATTTTAAAAATGAAAGTGCTCTATGAGAACTATCTGACTCCATTAGCAAGAGCAATGAGAAAGCATTAATGAGAACTTCCCAAGCCTATGGAAAGAACAGAACTTTATAGAATACAGGAAGAGACCAGAACATGGAATTTTAACAATGTAAAAAGACCTCAAAGACACATTTTATTCAAACTGTCAAAAATTAATGACAAGTATTCTCAAGGCAAAAACTGTAACTTACAAAGAAAATCCCAATAGATTATCACCAGATTTTTCAGGAGTGGAAGGAAACATGGAAAGAGATGGAAATTATCAGCTGAAAATAATATATCCAATAATCTAAAGAAGAAATCAAGGCTACAGTAGCAATGTTTACAAATACAGAAGACACAGACAAAAATATAAACAAAGAAAAGCCTTCATCAAGTATATTCATAGAATATTGGGCAGACATGAAAAACGTGGGTAAAATCACAATATATTTCTCAAATGAAGTAAAACATCATAATTCTGAGCAACATGATTCCATTAATAGAAAGATTAAAAACAGGGGAAACTGCCCTGGCCAGTTTGGCTCAGCAGTCAGAGCGTTGGCCTGTGCCCCTAAGGGTCTCAAGTTCAATTCGTAATCAAGGGCAAGTACCCGGGTTGCAGTTTGAAGCCCCCACCACGGTTGGGGTCCTGCAGGAAGGAGATAGACAATCGATGTGTCTCTCTCACGTTGGTTTCTCCCCCTCTCTCCCTCCATCTAAAACTCAATGGAGCCCCGCCAGTGTGGCTCAGTGGTTGAGCGTGGACCCATGCACTAAGAATTTGCCGGTTCCATTCTTGGTCAGGGCACATGGCCAGGTTGTGGGCCCAATTCCCCCCCTGGGGGGGGCATACAGGAGGCGGCCAATCGATGTTCTCTCTCATCGATATTTTTCTCTCTCTCTCTCTCCCTAAAATCAATAAAGAAAAAAATTTTTTAAAACACTCAATGGAGAAATATCCTTGGGTGAGGAATAACAAACAACAGCAACAAAAACAGGCAAGGATATTTTTCCATTTACCTTCAGATGGAGTGGGAGAGGGAGAAAGAGAGAGGAACATCGATGTGAGAGAGAAACATCCACCGGTTGCCTCCCAACGGACCCTGACCAGGGCCGGGGATCAAACCACAACCGAGGCACTTGCCCTTGACCTGAATCGAACCCGCAACTCTTTGGTCCGCAGGCGAGGGCAAACTATGGATTTTTTTTAATGCAGAATTGGGAAGAGCTGGGTGAGGGCCCAGCAGACGCTGCATTTACCTGAATGGCCCCCGGAGACTGTGGGTGGAGCCAGCGGGAGACCCGCCTCCGCGCAGCGTCTTCAGGGTCCGACTCCTCCAGGCCGGCCCAGCGCTCCTAACCTGGAGATCCTGGACAGAGCTGAGTTCACCGATGTCACAGGAGGACAACACCGGAAGACCCGCCCAGACACCTTCCTCTCCTCCACGAAAATGTCTCTGCTAGGCCTCCATTGGCCCAGTGCCCCCGACGCGCGGCGCAGTGCCTTCCGGGTAATGTAGTTCTCAGCGCCTCGGGCTCCCGGGATCTGGCGGGAGCGTGGAAGAGGGGGACGCTGGGAAGGGGTGACTGAGGCTCTGAGGACTAGACGGAACTTCACCGTTCTTAAAGGGGACGCACCCACGTTTCCGTGCAATTTGGCCTGCGCGCATCACAGAAATATAGAGACATATGATCTCCAAAACCAAATGGGCACACAAACCATATTGTCGCTCGGACACAATATACACCCACCCATAGCTGGGAATGATTACTATTGTCTTACTGTGCTTCAAGTCCCTCAAGGCTGAAGCTTTAGAATCAGACTGGGTGAATTTCACTGTGTTAGATCCGAGTCAAGAGAGCAGACTGTAGACAGGGCCGGTGCCCGAAAGACAGGAAGCGGGCAGAAGCCGGCGGGGCAATGCGCTGTGTCTCTGGTCCCAGAAAAAACAGAGTTTAGAAACAGACCCGTATTTCTTATGCCGTATCTTGATGTCTTAATATGTACTATTCAATTTATTTTATTTTATTTTTTTATCCTCACCTGAGGACATTTTTTGATATTTTTGTTCAGATAGAGTGGGAGGGAGAGAGAGAGAGAAACATCGACATGAAAGGGATACATCAAGTGGTTGCTGCCCACACGACTCAACCAGGGCCGAGCGTGAACTGAACCCAGGTCTCTTCAGACCGCAGGCCAATGCTCTAATCGCTGAGCCAAACCTGCCAGGGCCAATTTATTTTTACAAGTTAAGACCTATCTGAAAAGAAGAGGGATTGATTTCATGCCATTTTCTGCCTGGACAGATGACTGTTGTCACGGTGCCTGGAAAGGGGACATCTGAACGCTGAGATAAAGGATTGGAGGATATGACCTCCTTTCCTTGAATATAACTTCACCTGCAATTGCACGGGGAATTGCATGATAATGCATGGGGAATTGAGAGTATCTCAGAGAAATATTTGTGAAATGTTGCACTTACATCTGAGAATAAAAGGTGTGAGCCGGCAGGAGATCACATTCACAACGCAAGGCCAGTGTAGAGCAAATAGCTTTATTGCACACACCTGGGTGCAGGCGTGCTGCGCTGTTAAAGAGCTCAGCATCGAAATGCCTTTGTTCTCTGGTTTTTATAGACACAAACTACAGAAACTAAAAAAAACCTACATTTAAAAAAAAACACATTCTCTTGGCACCGCTTAATTGCTGCCAGGGCTGATATGAACTGCTACAGAGGGGAGGAAAGGATTTGTTGCAGGGTATGAGATGAGCTTGTTACAGAGATGAGGGCAGTCATTAACCTCTTTCTTTTTTATGGTCCCTCTAAGTTTCCCAAGGCCACCATTAACCTCTTATCTTCATGGTTCTCCTAGTGTCAGTCCCAGGGTTTTTAGAAAACTGCTCAGGTGTTTACATGCAAGAATAACTGGTCAGAATAAAGTTTAATTTGTTAAAACATTATTAACCCTTTCAGTGGGTACACAGGGAACTTGGTTGGTCGGAGGTTATAACTCTCTAAATTGTAATTTATTATTTAAGTCACTTTTGAGTACACTGAACAATACCACCTTGAAGGGAGATGTAAGAAGAGAGCAGATAGCTTAGACAGGATGCTAAAATCAGGGCATCTGTGGCATCATACTTATTCCCTCCTGAACAGATAATCATTACGTGCCTACTGCATTCTAGGCACCATCACAGCTGCATGGGACGCAGCAGGATCCAGAGTCAAAGGGCTCTGCCTTCATGAGGCTGTCACTCTAGTCAAAGGATATGGGCAGTGAACATTAATGACAATAGTCAATTGTGTAAGATGTTTACATGCCATGAGTAATTGTCAAAACAAAACAGAAAAAGTTAGGGGTGTTATTAAATAGGGTTATATTTTTGCAAACAGAAAAACATTTTCAACAGATTATTAAGGGAAGACCTCATTTAGATCTGAGCCTTGTGGATATTCTGGGGAATTAGTTCCAGGGAGAAAAAGTCAGAACAAAGACCATAAATTCAGAATGAGCAGGAGAGTGGAAAGACGATGTTCTGGGACCAGACATGTATAGCAGGGCAGGCCATTTTGAAGAGTTTTCATCTTGCTCTAAGTGAATTGGGGAGCTGTGAAAAACAATTGAACAGAACAGACCCTGCCTATTTTGTTAGTAAATGATTGTAACCATTGTGCTGAGAACTGTAAGAAACTGGGAGACCATTTAGAAAACTAGTACTGAAATTAATGTGAGTAGGATGTCAGTGGGATGGTGGCTCTGACCGGGATCAGCAGTGGTGGTATGAAGTGTGGTCAGATTCTTTTTATGTTACGTGCATTTTACCACAATAAAAATAATTAGCCCGGCTGGTGTGGCTCAGTGGTTGAGTGTTGACCCATGCACTCAGAGGTCGCCAGTTCGATTTCCAGTCAGGGCACATGCCCAGGTTGTGGGTCCAAACCCTAGTGGGGAGCATGCAGGAGGTGGCCAATCAATGTTCTCTCTCATCGATGTTTCCATCTCTCTCTCCCTCTGCCTTCCTCTCTCTCTAAAGTCAATAAAGAAAAAAAATATTAAAAAAATAATAATAATAATTAGCCCTGGCCGGTGTGGCTCGGTGGGTTGGGTTGTCATCCCTTACACTGGAAGTTCACAGCATCAATACCCGGTCAGACCATACCTAGGTTGCAAGTTGAATTCCTGGCCCTGGTTGGGGCACTGCATGGATGCAACCGATCGATGTTTCTCTATCACATCCATGTCTCTTTCAAAAAAACAAACAATGAAAAATATACTCAGGTGAGGATTTAAAAAAACACGATTTTAAAAAATGCCTTAAGAATTTTCACAGCACACAGACATACACTGAAAGCACTGTTAGGAAAAGTATTAAAATAAAAAGAATAATACCTAAAAAGATGCTTTAGTGGAAGCTTGTGTAGGAGGTAAGTGTTCCATAAATTTTTAATGATAACTACTTCTTGCATAACTGAACTTAAATTTAAGTTCTTTAGCTTACTTCAGGTTCCTGCATTGAACAGCTTTTATGCCAGAATAGGCAAAAGAAGAACAATCAAATTCCCCCAATCCCAGGCCATAATTTACAGCTTTCTATGATTTTTCATAGAAAACTGATAGATTCTATTTCTTTTGGAGTTAATCACCTTGCTTCAGTGGAATCCAATAACAGCCTATACAGCTGTGGTTGAGGGAAACAGCCCAGGGAGGCCACAGGAGTCCATAAAAACTCTGGATTAGTTGCTCTGGCAGTGACAAAGTTTCCAGGACATTCACAGGTCCCACAGAGTTACTGGGACATAGGTGGATGCTCCTTTAGGAGGGGCTCATCCACTTCAGTTTACTGCAAGCCCCCTACCCCACTTCCTACTAATCAACAAACTTGTGTACAGACTACAGCTCCCACCTGGGTCCTTGTCGTACATCCACGGACACATAACTACATGACTTTTGACTTTAGGACACTTTAGGACGCAGTCTTCCAGTTAGATCAGGGGAGATAGCTACCCCTCACCGTTACCAGGAATACAGGACATCCTCTGAGTACAAAGGACCAAACAAGTGCTGTTGCCAAATGCAATGAAGATCGTCAAGGCAACTGCCCCATTCTTAGGCTGACTGTAGAACCACAAATAATCTTTGCATCCAGGGCACCAAAAGTGGGACAGAAGTCCTGTAAACGTTCCCAGGCCTCGAACAGCAATTCAGATGGAGCCAAAGCTGGACTGAGCTGTTCTTTATTCACCATTCCCTCTGAAACTCACCAAGTAGAGGGCCCAACAAAACTTGCTCCCCTTTCCTTTTGGCAGAGTCCAGTTCTGTTCATGCCCACAGCATAGTACATGAAAGCCCAGGAAGCTACATGCAGCTTAATCAAAAGACTTTGATTATTATGAAAGCCAGTGAGGTGAATGGGAAGTTTCTGCATAGGGGACCTGGTGACTAGAACACCCATTACAAGCATTTTGAGATGATGACGCTCCCAAAGAAAGAAAACCTCTGTAACCTGTCAGCTGAATCCAGCTCAAGTGCTCTTGTCCAAGGCTGGGTCATATTCACACCCAAACCAGTCGGGGGTGAGGAGGGAATGAGGCCTTGCCACAAGGGTTCAAATGCCTGCTGAACACTCCAGACAAAGCAAGAGAGCACAGCAATCTGTTCTCCCTGAGCATTTAGACATCAAGGTGACACACAGTGGCTCCACCAGCTAACGGGGCAGGATGGCTCCTATAACAGACACTGGCAGACAGAACTCCAGCAGGGGCCCCGGGCAGGTGTGAAAGGGCAACACAGTTCCCAGAAGCTTCCCACATTCCTCCTGGCACTTTAACTGGCTGCTCTGGAACTTACAATCCACTTGCCAGCACTTCAAATCTGGGTCAAACCACTATTTAAAAATAAAAAAAAATTGCCCTGGCCGGTTTGGCTCAGTGGTTGGAGCATCAGCCTGTGGATCAGAAAGTCCTGGGTTTGGTTCCTGCTAGGGGCATGTACCCCCCAAAAATAATAATAAATAAATAAATAAAATAAGAATGTATCAAAATGCTGTGGTACTGGCAGACACACATATAGAAGAATGAAGTAAAGAATCCAGAAACAAACTCCTGCCTACATGCCCAGATTATTAAGGGTGCAAAGACCATTCAAGGGGAAATGAATCATTGCAGCTCATGGTGTTGGGAAAACTGGATATCCACAATATAAAAAAATGAACTCAAAATGTATCAAAGGCTTAAATGTTAAATACCTAACAGCATAATGCTCTTTTGTAAAAAAAAATTTTTTTTCTTTATTGCTTTTAGAGAGAAAGGGGGAGGGAGAGAGAGAGAGAGAGAGAGAGAGAGAGAGAGAGAGAGAGAAACATTGATGAGAGAGAACATCTATTGGCCACCTCCTGCATGCCCCCCACTAGGGATTTGGCCCACAACCTGGGCATGTGCCCTAACTGTGAATCGAACCGATGACCTCTTGATGCATGGGTCAGTGCTCAACCACTGAGCCACACCAGCCGGGCGCATAATACTCTTAAAAGAAAATGGAGGAAAGGTTTCATGACATTGGATTTAGCAGTAATTTAATGGACATGATACCAAAGGCACTGGGAATAAAAATAATTGGATGCTGAGATTTAAAACTTCTGTGTGAAAAAGGACTAAATGAACAGTGAAAAGGCAGCCCTCAGAAGGGGGAAATATATGTGCAAATTGTGTATCTGGTAAGGAATTAACACCTAGAAGAGATCAAAGAACTCCTACATTGTATATAGTCAATAATGTTGAGATGATGGGGTGTGGGGCCAGGTGGGTTCTTGGGGTAGCAGGGGTACCACTCTGTAGAGTGCAGTTTTCTGGCCACTTTGCTGTACATCTGAAATTGGTATGGAATGGTATTGAATGTAAACTGTAGTTGAAAACTTAGAGAAAATCAATAGACCAAAAAAAAAAAGAACTGTATCTAAATAACAACAAAAAAGGCTGATTGAAAAATGGGCAAGCGATTCGGCAGCGGTCACTGAGCAGATCCGACTCCTCTAGTTCGCGCACCTCACTTGGCTTCCTCTGCAATCATGTCTGACAAACCTGATATGGCTGAGATTGAGAAATTCAGTAAGTCGAAATTGAAGAAGACAGAAACATGAGAGAAAAATCCGCTGCCTTCAAAAGAAACAACTCAACAGGAGAAGCAAGCAGGCGAATCCTAATGAGGCATGCACTGCCAATATGCAGTGTACATTCCACGAGCACTGCCTTCTTATTTTACTTCTTTTAGCTGTTTAACTTTGTAAGACGCAAAGAGGTTGGATCAGTTTAAGTGACTGTGCTGCCCCTTTTCACATCAGAGAACTACTGACAACCAAGGCCGCACCTGCCTCTCCCATCTGCCTGTCTGGCTGGAAGGGAAGGAAAAGAACTTGCATGTTGGTGTGCAAAACCAATGGACATGGACAACAAAGCCAGGGACGGGGCGGGGGGGATGGGGAGGAGGGTGTCAATGGGGTAAAAAAGGAGAAACATCTGTAACAAAAATAAAATAAAAAATAAATAAATTAAAAAAAAAAAAAAGAACTTGCATGTTGGTGAAGGAAAAAGCTGGTGGGAGGACAGTGAAATCTAGAGTAAAAACCAAGCTGGTCCAAGGGGCCCTGCAGGCTGTAAAATGCAGTTTAATCAGAGTGCCATTTTTTTTTGTTCAAATGATTTTAATTATGGGAATGCACAATTTTTAAAATATGCAAATAAAAAATTTTAAAACCTGAAAAAAAAGAAAAGAAAAATGGGCAAGCCCTGGCCGGTTTGGCTCAGTGGTAAAAGTGTCAGCCTGCAGACCGGAGGGTCTTGGCTTCGATTCCCAGCTAGGGCACATACCTGGGTTGCAGGTTCCATCTCTGGCCCTGTTCAGGGCGTGCAGCAGGCAATCAACTGATGTGTCTCTCACTTTGATGTTTCTCTCTCTCTTCCACTCTCTCTTTAAAAAAAAAAAAAAAAATCAGTGGAGCCCTGGCCGGTTTGGCTCAGCGGTTAGAGCGTCGGCCTGTGGTCCAGAGAGACCTGGGTTTGGTTCCCGCTAAGGGCAAGAATCTCTGTTGCAGTTTGTCACCCGCCCTGGTTGGGTTGTGTGGGTGGCAGCCACTCGATGTGTCCCTTTCACGTTGATGTTTCTCTCTCTCTCTCTCTCTCTCTCTCCCCCTCCCACTCTATCTGAACAAAAAATGGAAAAATGTCCTCGGGTGAGGATAAAAAAAAAAAAAAGAAAAAAAATCAGTGGAAAAGTATCCTTGGGTGAGGTTTGAATCCACCCTCTAAAAAGGGAGGCAAAAGTTAGAATAGACACTTCCCCAAAGAACATATAAAAACAGCCAACAAGCAGATAAAAAGATGCTCAACATCATTAATCCTCAGGGAAATGTAAATCGAAAGCACAGTGAAATAACATCTCATGTCTCTAAGGATAATGTTATAAAAAATAAAACTAAGTGTTCGTGATGTAGAGAAATTGGAATCCTTAAGCACTGTTGGTGTAAATATAAAATGGTATGGCTACTACGAAAAACAACCCCTCAGTTCCTGAAAAATACTAAAAATTGAACTACCATATCCCACCAGTCCACTTCTGAGCGCATACCTAAAAAGAATTGAAAGCAGGGCCTCAAAGCAAATATTTGTGCAATCAGGATATAACATTATTCATAATAGCCAAAAGGTGGATGAATATAGAAAAAGTGGCATATAACATAAAGTGGAATATTATTCACCTAAAAAGGAAGTTCTGACACATGCTACATGGACAAACCATGAGGGCATTATGACGAATGAAGTGAGCAAGTCACGAAAGGAGAAAAACTTTGATTCTTCTTATATAAGGTACTCAGACTGGTCAAATTCATGGAAACTGAAATGATGGCTGTCAGTGGATATGGAAGTAATGAGGAGTTGCTGCTTCATGGCTATAGCTTCAGGTCTTTTTTTTTTTAATGTCTTTATTTATTTATTTAAAAGAGGGAAATAGAAACATCGATGTGAGAGAGGAATATGGATCGGCTGTCTCTTGCACGCCCCCTACTGGGGATCGAGCCCCAAACCCAGGCATGTACCCTGACAATGCTCAATCCACTGAGCAACATGAGCCATACTAGTTTCAGTTTTATAAAATAAAAAAAATTTTGGTGTTTGTTGCACAAAACTGTGAATATATTATCACTACTGAACCTTACCCTTAAATATGGTTAAGACTGCAAATTTTATCTTACAGGTATTTAAGACACAATTGAAAAAAACCCACAACTGCACAGCAGTACTTCCCAGTGCTAAGTCAGAGCAGACTGTTCGTTGAAGTCTTTTCTGGTTTGCGATACTTTGCTGTGAACTTCTTGGTGCCTAATGAGGTGGGAGTTCTGCCTAAAGCCTCTCCCACAATCGTGGCACACATAGGGCTTTTCCCCCGTGTGAATTCTCCGATGTTTAATGAGGCTGGAGTTGTATCTAAAGACTTTCCCACATTCACTGCACTCGTAAGGCTTCTCTCCAGTGTGGACTCTCTGATGAATAATGAGGGTGGAGCCATCCATAAAGAATTTCCCACACTCACTACATTCATAAGTTTTTTCTCTGGTGTGAACATTTTGGTGCCGAGTGAGATGAGAGTTTTGGCTGAAGAGTCTACCACAGACACTGCACTCATAAGGCCTCTCCCCGGTGTGGTTTCTCCGATGTCTGATGTGATTGGAGTTGTGCCTAAAGAGCTTCCCACATTCGCTGCACTCGTAAGGCCTTTCTCCGCTGTGAGCCTTCTGATGCCGCTCAAGGGTGAAGCGGTACCTAAAGAACTTTCCACATTTGCTACACTCAAAACGCCTTCCCCGCGTGTGAACTCTCTGATGAATAACAAGTGTGGAGATGTCCACGAATCCTTTCTGGCATATGCTGCACTCATACGGCCTTTCTCCAGTGTGAACTCTTTGATGTCTTTTGAGTGTGAAGCTGTACCTAAAGGACTTACCACATTCACTGCACTTATATGGCTTTTCTCCAGTGTGAACTCTCTGGTGAATAAGGAGCGTGGAGCTGTCTTTAACGCATTTCCCACACTGGGTACACTCATAACGCATTGGCCTGCTGTGAACTCTTTGGTGTTCAATGAGGCCAGACCTTTGCCTAAAGAATCCCCCACATTTGAGGGGCTCACAGAGCCTTGCTTCAGTGTGCATTTTCTGGTGCTCAAGAAGTATGTGTTTGTGGCTAAAGGTTTTTCCTTCATCACACTTGGAAACATTTTGCCCATTTTCCAAGGTCTCCCTGCCCTCCATGCCGTGTGGCTTCCCTCCACTGTGAGGGGCCTGGTGCAGGGGAGGGCCTGAGCTGGCTGGGAAGTCCTTCCCACCCTCCCTGCATGTCAAGGTCCTCTCTGCCGTGTGAACACCGCAGTTCTTCACGAATGAAGGTCTCTGCTCATCCCATCCAGACGTTTTCTTTCCACGTTGCTCCTTATGGCACTTGGAAAGTGCCACACGTATGTACACCTCTTGCTGAGGGTGTGCGCTGTCCAGCTCAGCCAGGTGCAAAATGTCTTTCAAGAGAGGGCCACACATCTCACAAGAATGAGACTTCTGGGTGGATGGATCTGGCTCTGGAGTCCTGACCTGTGACACTCCCACAGAATCCCCTTGCTCTGAAGGTGCCTCCTCAGCCAGGGCTCCATGCCAACGGCCTGAAAGCAGAGAAGAGCTGGTGAAGTGCATGCTGACTCTGGTGGGAGGCGGCAGCCCCATCAGAGGGGTGCATCAGAGACACCCACGAATCAGGGACTATTGCCAGGCAAGGGGGCCTAAAGACAGTGAGAGGAAGCCTGCTGAGCAGGGCTAGGCCTGGGAAGCTCACGACGGGAGAGCCCTCAAGCCCTCACGCCACAAGGAAGGGTACTGTGCAAGGAGGAGAGGCAGGTCTCCAGGTCACTCCTCTGCAAATGGCTCTCAGACCCAGACACAACTGACGGCAACACAGTAGCTGGTGTTCAGGGAGTATTTAAGGACATGTGCAGGCGTCACTACGCCTTAAGTGTAGGTCACATGTCAAGAGCAATGCAAAGGGAGCAGTAAAGGAAATGGGTGGGAGCTGGGGCTGGAAGACTGAGAAAAAAATATCAGTGGGGAAGAAAAGTTAGAAGTGAGCCCAGCCAGCGTTGACCCATGCACCAAGAGGTCACCGGTTCAATTCCCAGTCAGGGCACATGCCAGATTGTGGGCCAAATCCCCAGTGGAAGTCATGCAGGAGGTGGCCAATCGATGTTCCCTCTCATTGATGTTTCTATTTCTCTCCCTCTCCCTTCCTCTCTCTCTAAAATCAATACAGAAAAAAAAAATTAAAAAAAAATAAAAGTTAGAAGATGTGGCCTCTGTCCTGAGCATCAGACAGTGATGGACACAAGACAGGTAACCAAAGTGGGTGATCTCATGCAACCTTCAAGATTTCTGACTCCTCAGCCTTGTGTTGCAAGGACTCAGAACAGCAGGGATGGGGCTGCTTGGGGGCAGCTGGTACAGTGCACACAGCCCAGCCCTGGCACCAACAACACATATGGCAGGAAACCAGGAGAGGAAGGAGGCCCAGAGTCTCCTTTTGGGAAGAACAGAGTCACCCCTGGAAAGGGAAAGACCAGAGAACATCCCAGTCCCTCCGGGTGGGTGCGAGGACCTTACCTATGGAGGACAAAAGTGCAAAGTTCTCCAGCATCACACTGTGGTATAGGCGTCTCTGAGCCTCATCAAGGAGCCCCCACTCCTCCTGGGAGAAATGTATGACTACGTCCTCAAAGACCACATGGCCCTGTAAAAATGAGAACAATTTGATCCATGAGCAGCTTGTTTTTTCTTTTTTTCCCTTTATTGATGTTACAGACAGAGAGGGAGGGAGAGAGAGATAGAAACATCAATGAGACGGAACATCGATTGGCCACCTCCTGCATGGCCCCCACTGGGGATCGGGCCCACAGCCTGGGCATATGCCCTGATCGGGAATTGAACTGGCAACCTCTTTGTGAATGGGTCGACGCTCAACCACTGAGTCACACTGGTGGGGCTGAGCAACTTGTTTTATTTTATTTATTTATTTTTTATCCTCACCTGAGGACATTTTTCAATACTTTATTCAGATAGAGTGGGAGAGAGGGAGAGAGAAACATCGACGTGAAGGGGACACATCGAGTGGCTGCCACCCACACGACCCAACCAGGGCGGGGGACAAACTGCAACCGAGGTACGTGCCCTTAGCGGGAACCGAACCCGGGTCTCTCCAGACTACAGGCCAACTGAGCAACTTGTTTTAACTGTGTTCTTGTGGATTCTGTATTTGTCTACTTGCCATTCATTAATTACAGGGCTACAATAACAGCCCAATTTGTTTATATCTCCCAGTAATTCAGAGCCCATTGTCTGAATCAGGTCTTCAACTAACTCTCACTCACCCAGTGAATATTTCCCCTGTTCAAAATCAGCCCAGGGTGAGGTATTAGACAGCTAGGGGCAGCCCCTAAGCTGGAAGGTCTGCTAGAGTTGTCCAGACTAGTCAAGCCTAAATTATTTACCTTACTCTTCTCATCTTTTCCAAGGAAACCACAGTAAACGCTCTGGTCTAGGTTCCCCTTTGCTCCTTCTTCTGCCTCATCAAATCTGTTGCTCCCTAATGTGGCCCCAAGTGGTTTGGCATTCACTGTACACTCAGGAAATACAAGGAATAATGACCTTTTTTTGTTGCCCCCCCTCCCCCGTTAATCCTCACTCGAGGATATTTTTCCACCTATTTTTAGGTAAGAGTTGGGGGGGGAGGCACCAATGTGAGAGTGACACACTGACTGGTTGCCTCCTGTACCACCCTGACCAGGGCTGGGGATTGAACCTGCGACCCTTAGGTCCTAGAGCCAAGGCTCTAAACCCTGAGCCAATCGGGCCAGGGCAGGAATATAGATCTTTTTTAATGCATTGGCCTCTCCATGTCATCATTTACTCATTCACCTCCATAAATTAAAATCCCATGAGCACAATCACTCATCCGTGTCTCTCTCCAGAATCTTCAGTCCTTCCCTGCCCACCCCTTCCTCCCCCACTTCACAGTGTGTGAATTACCAGGTGTGGTGGCACTGGTGCCCACTCTCTCCTCATTTCCACTGACCACGGTGTCCAGCACACAGCATTAAAATGTGGGGGAGCCCAAGCATCAACCCAGATTTGATGTGCAACTTAAAGATCTAGAAAAATGGCAGAACAACCTGCTTCCATCCCGTCAGTTTGGTTTCATTGTACTGACAACCTCAGCAGGCATCATGGACCATGAAGAAGCAAGAGGAAAACACACAGGAGGGAAAATCCTGGGATTCTTTTTTTAGGGATGTAATACACATGTGCAAATAAAATGCCTCAATGGGGAAAAAAAAAAGCCAACCACTCTTGTCCAAACACCACCAGCACTCACCCACACTGGGGCAGTCACTCTAATTCTTTTTTGTTTGTTTATCCTCACCCTAGGACATTTTTCGATACTTTGTTCAGATAGAGTGGGAGGGAGAGAGAAAGAGAGAAACATCGACATGAAAGGGACACATCAAGAGTGGTTGCCACCCACACGACCCAACCAGGGCTGGGGGACGGGGACAAACTGCAACCGAGGTACATGCCCTTAGCGGGAACTGAACCTGGGTCTCTCCGGACCACAGGCCGATGCTCTAACCGCTGAGCCAAACTGGCCAGGGCCAGTCACCCTAATTTTATCCTCACCCCCAGTGTCTAACTCTGCAGTCACAGGGAGTCTGTTAAAACCTGAGTCAGATCACCTGCCTCGCCTGCTCCAAACCTGCCCTAGCTCCCAATGTCCTCAGACTGGAGTCCAGGAACTGTTCTAGACCTGGGCCCTGCATGCCCCAACCTCCTGCCACCCCATTCCCTATCCCATCAGATGGAACAGGAACTTGCAGTTTCCTAAACATCCCAGCTAAGTCTCACCTGCCAGCATTTGAACATTCTGGATCCTGTGCCCAGGGTGCATGTCATATCTTAGCCCATTGGTATCTGAAATGGAACTGATCCACATAATCCAGAACTGACTTCAGGACCTTGGGCCATGTGGAACCACATGATTTTCAGGCCCAAGAGAGGGAGGAGGACAGGTGGAGAGTCTCAGAATATCACCATTGCCTTGGCTGGGGTGCTTAAACCATCAGGGTGATAATTAGGGTATGTGGGAGCCTTGAGACACCTTCCACTCACCTGCACAGGGTCCATAAGCATTTCTGCCACAACCATAGGACCCTGTGGGAAGAAGGAGGCCATGAGAAATGGGTAATCATGGTTAGGACCCTACAAGCTGAGCTGAACCACCACCCCTGCCCTGGAGCTAAGCAATCTCTGCCCCATAGTCCAAGCTCCTAAGACCTCAATGCTGCCTCTTACTAGCTGGGTGACCCTAGAGGGCTGATTCCCTGAGCCTCAGTGCCCTCACCTGTAAAATGGGCATTAAAATGGTTTCAACTCATACGGCAGACAATTAAATCAAACATAAGTGGTACACACTATGTATCAGTTGCACTGTCCCCACATTCAATGTTTTGTATGTTTGCACTGCAAATGAAGTGGTAGGGTTTTGAAATTTGGGCATGTACTTTTCCCACTTTTTAAGGTTTTCAGAGGATGTGATACATTAAACTCTACATCATAAGCAAATACTTTTTTTTTTTAATCCTCATCCAGGGACATTTTTCCATTTTTGTTCAGATAGAGTGAGAAGGAGAGGCAGGAAAAAAGAGAAAGAGAAACATCGACATGAAAGGGACATATTGAGTGGCTGTCTCCCACATGACCCCAACCAGGGCCGGGGACGAACTACAACCAAGGTACATGCCCTTGGCCGGAATTAAACCCGTGACTCATTGGTCCGGGATGTTCCAATCGCTGAGCCAAACCAGCCAGGGCCATAAGCAAATACTTAAAGGTAAGTTAACATTGAGACTAATTATGAAGTTTTTGGATAAACTAATCCATTACATTCAGTTTCTACCTGCCACCTGGGTGTGCATGTAGAATACTGGTATATCAGTGTTTACATCAATCTTCAATATACCCTTCAGTATATGAATTTCAGGGAGAAACTGAGCAGGCAGGTCAGTTCCTACTACTTTCAGCAACCAGACCTGCCTGCAACATACTCCTCTGAGGGAGCATGCAAAACACCGTTGTCTGGACAGTGGATCATCCTCTTGCTCTGAGGGCTGGAGGAGTGCCCTGGTCTGGGACCCAGCAGCTCCACTAATCCAGCTGAGCGTCGTCATATTCCACAGGGAGTGATCTTGAGGGTCTGCTCAGCCAACAGAGGGTAGAATCTACACCAACCCACACCACAGCCTCCACTCCAGGTCAGCTCCTTATCCCACCTGAACCTCCCTTCCTGCAAACACAGGCCAGAATTCACCCTGCACCAGGGCTACTCTTCTATGTAGAGGCATCAAGGATGCACACCCACCTTCTAGGCTCAGGCCTCCCCTCTCCTTGAATACAGAACCCATCTGAAATAACAATCATAAGTCCTTCAATCTGGTCACAAGGCTATGGCCTGGTCCAGTCCACACCCTCCATCCTTTTGGGTTTTTTTGTTTGTTTGTTTGTTTTTTTGTGGTACATGCCCCTAGCAGGAACTGAACCCGGGACTCTCTGGTCCGCAGGCCGATGCTCAACCACTGAGCCAAACTGGCCAGGGCCCCTCCATCCTTTTGGAAGCACTAGCCCTGCCACCTTCCTAGGCCTCTAGACCTTTCTGTCCATTTCCCACCCAGGCGATGTCTCCAGCTTCCAACATCTCTGAATCAACCCAATACAAACTCACGATCTTCTCCCTGACCCTGTCTACTACACTACCTTCCTCATCTCCACTCCTTAAACGATGAGGTAAAAAACTTGGGATGGTCCTTCACTCCCTATTTTTGTTCAAAAACCACACATGTGGCAGCAGGAAATCCTGTTGGTTCTATCTTTACAACCCGTACAAACTTGTCACATCTCTTCTACTGACACCCCTCAGGCTCCCACAGTCCTCACTGCTGTGTCCTCCTTCCTGGACTCCCTGGGTCCATCTTCCATCCACTTTTTGTTTTGTTAATCCTCACCTGAGGATACTTTTTCCACTGATTTTTAGAGAAAGTGGAAGGGAGGGAGGGAGTAGGGCAGACAAACCGACAGACATGGGCTGGTTGCCTCCTGCAGGACCCCACTGTGGCCGGGGGTGGAACCTGCAACCCAGGTGCGTGCCCTTGACCGGGACCGGAACCCTAACCCTTCGCTATGGGGCTGACGCTCTAACCACTCACCCACCCAGCCGGGCCTCCCAGACACTTTTTAACAACTTTCGACTTCACATCTGGATATGCCCCTAAATTAAGTTCCAGGACCCAAGTCCAACATCGAGGTGCGGGGAGGTGGGTAGGGGTGGCTTCCCACACAACAGCAAGCAATTCTCCGACACCAAAACCCTTCAAGAATTCCAGCCGCTCAGGTCGGCCCTGGAGGCGACACTCCCGGCCCCTGGGCCCCGGACACAGAGACCCGGCCCGGCGCTCAGCCGCCCCTCCCGCACGGCGGGCCCGGGCCTGGTGCAGGGACCTGAGCGGCGCCCCTCCATCCGGGCTCCGACCTGGAGGTGGGAGCCGCGCTGTGAGGCCGGGGAACGCGGCACCCACCTCAGTAGGGCTCATCGGCGCAGCCCCGCGGGCCAGTGGGAGGAGCGGGGACGACGGGGCGGGACCACGGCGCCGCCGTCACCCACCGGCTCAGCCGGACCTCCGCCGCCTCTCCGCGCACTTCGTCTCCACAGCCCCGCCGCCCAGAGACGGAGAAGAACCCCAACAACGGCTGAGTGCCACTACAAAGCGAACGCCGCCGGAAGACCCGCCTCCAGTGCGCCAAGGCACGTAAACCGGCCCCATGCTAAACTCTCATTGGCTTTGCTCGGCACCATCGGTTGCCGCGTGGACTACTGGGTAATGTAGTCCCGCGACCCCTGACTATTCCCCACTGTGGAGGCGGCGGTTCCATTAGAGTTTCGGGATAAAGGCCCACCCAGGACTTCAGGCGGCAACTGATGGATATTTCTATCTCTTAAAAAAATAAAATAAAATAAAAACATATCCTCGGGTGAGGATTAAAAAAAATTACTAAGAAAATAAAAAAGAGGCGACATACCTATATGCTTGTGTATTAGGCAGACGATTCAAAAACTTTTATTGATAATGAATTCATATGAAATTGAACTTGAATTTGTTGGTTTAAACTTTACTTTCCAACTTTAAACAAGTTTTTTTTCTGAGTGATTTCAGAATGTAAAAGCACCTTTACTGTTTATACACGTACCAGTCTAATGCATAACAGAGCCTTGCTTATTCTTGATGCCATGCTTTTGCACACACATGGATAATACTAAAAATATATATTTGCGCTTAGTAAAAACAACCATACAAGAGTAACTGTAGGATTTCTTTTATACAAAACTCTAGAAATTCAAACTACAGTTTGTACCTGGGGATGGCAAGTTGGATAGGGCTGGGAAGGAGAATATAAAGTGTCCGATGAAAACTTGCCCTGGCAGGGTAGCTCAATTAATTAGAGCATTCCCATATGCCAAGGTTTGGGTTTGATTCCTGGTCAGGGCATATACAAAAATCAACCAATGAATGCATAAGTAAGTAAAACAACAAAAATTGATGGCTCTCTCTAAAGCAGCGGTTCTTAACCTGTGGGTTGCGACCCCTTTGAGGGGTCAAACAACCCTTTCACAAGGGTTGCCTAAAACCATTGGAAAACACATTTCTGATGGTCTTAGGAACCGAGACACCACTCCTCTATCCATCTCCAGGCGGGTCGCCCACATGCAGATATGCCCCCATACAACATGAGGAACTGTATTAAAGGATCCAGGCATTAGGAAGGTTAAGAACCACTGCAAAGCCTACTGACTGAAAGGCTGTGGGTTTAATTTCCGGTCAAGGGCACTTACCTGGGTTGCAGGTTTGATTCCCGCACAGCTGGGCGGTGTGTGGGAGGCAACCAGTTGATGTGTTACTCTCACTTTGCTGTTTCTTTCTCTCTCCCCTTTCCTCTCTCCCTTCCACTCGCTCTAAAAAAAAAAAAAAAAAATGAATGGAAAAATATCCTTGAGTTGTGGATTAACCAAAAAAAAAAAAGAAAAAGAAAACTGTAGGACGATGGATATATTCATTATCATGACTTTGGTGATGGTCTCATTGTGTACACATATATGAAAATACATTTTACACATTTGATAAATGCAATTTATGTCACTGTGTCAATAAAGCTGTTAAGTAAAGATTTTATATAAAATCTAGATCTCCACTTCCTCTAGAAATATCATAACACCTAGTTAAGCTGTACTGACTCTATCAGCACCATTCCCCATGTCTTAGGTGGGTCAACCCTGATTCCTTCTCAAAATAGAAGGAAATGCTGACTAATGTTTCAACATGGGAAAATTATGCTGAGCAAAATAAGCCCGTCACAAAAGCACAAATATTGTATGATTCTACTTATATGAAGTGGCCAGAGTAGTCAGATTCAAAGAGACAGAAAGTAGAATGTGGTTGCTTGGTGCAGTAGGGCAAGGGTTAGAGTTGTTTAATGAGTATAGTTTCAGTTTTGTAAGATAAAAAGAATACTGGAGATTAGTTGCACAAATACATAATTTTTTTTTAATCCTCACCTGAGGATATTTTTTTTTTTATCCTCACCCAAGGACATTTTTTTCATTTTTGTTCAGATAGAATGGGAGGGGGAGAGAGGAAGAGAGAGAGAGAAACATCGATGTGAAAAGGACACATCGAGAGGCTGCCTCCCGCACAACCCCAACCAGGGCCAGGGACAAACTACAACTGAGGTGCCCTTAGCAGAAACCGAACCCGGGATTCTCTGGACCATGGGCCAACGCTCTAACTGCTGAGCCAAACCAGCCAGGGCCCTGAGGATATTTTTCCACTGATTTTTTTTTTAGATAGAATTGGAAGGAGAGAGGGAGGGAGAAACATTGACATGAGAAAGACATATGGATTGGCTGCTTCCTACACAATCCCAACTGGGGTGAGGCTGGGATTGAACCCGCAACCAAGGTACTTGCCCTTGACTAGGAATTGAACCTGTGACTATTTGGTCCTTGGGCCATCGCTTTAACTGCTGGGCCAAACAGGCCAGGGCACACATATGTAAATTTTTAACATGACTAAATTTACAATCAAAATGCTGGAGGGCAAAATTTATATGTGTTTTACCACAATTAAAAATGTGAAATATGCCATGGCTGGCTTAGCTCAGTGGTTAGAGCACGGGCCTGCGGACTGAATGGTCGCAGGTTTGAATTCTGGTCAAGGGCAGGTACCTGGGTCTCGGTAGGGGTTGTGTGGGAGGCAGCAAATCAATGTGTCTCTCTCACATCGATGTTTCTCTCTCTCTCTCTCTCCCTCCCACTCTATCTAAAAAAAATCAATGGAAAAATATCCTCAGGTGAGGATTAACAAAAAAAAAGTAAAAAAACCCCAACAACTATATTATAGTAGTTCCCAGGGATAAACTAGAGTAGACATTTGGCTGAAGTCTTTCACCATTTGCAATAGCCTCTCTGGCATGAACTTCTGATGCCAGATGTGGTTGGAGTTTTGGCTGAACACATGCCCATATTCAATGCACTCATAGTCTTTCTCCTCTTTGAAATGTCTGATGTATGATGGGGCTTGAGTTGCACCTACAGACGTCCTCACATTCACTGCATTCAGAAGGCCCTAATCCGATGTGAACTCACAAGGCTTTTCTCCAGTGTAATGAGTTTATAGTGGGGCCTAAATTTACCATATTCTCTGAACTCATAAGGTCTTTGCCAGTGTGAATTCTGTTTAATGAGGTTGGAGTTGTAGCTGAAGAATTCCCCACATTCACGGCACTCACAGGCCTATCTTGATTGTGGATTTTCTGGTGATGAACGAGGTGGGACTTTCTAATGAAGGCCTTCTGACATTTGCTGCACTCATAAGGCCTTTCTCCAGTGTGAATTTTTTGATGCTCAACAAGTATATGTTTGTGGCTAAAGGCTTTCCCACATTCACTGCACTCATAAGGCCTCTCTCCAGTGTGATTTCTCCAATGTTTAATGAGATTGGAGTTGTACCGAAAGAATTTCCCACACTCACTGCACTCATACGGCCTTTCTCCAGTGTGAACTCTCTTATGTCTAATGAGTCTGCAGTGGTATCTAAAAGCTTTCCCACATTCACTGCACTCGTAAGGCCTTGCACCAGTGTGATTTTGCCAATGTTTAATGAGTTTAGACTTGTACCTAAAGAATTCCCCACATAAGCTGCATTCATAAGGCCTTTCAACAGTGTGAACTCTTTGATGTCTAATGAGTGTGGAAGTATACCTAAAGAACTTCCCACACTCACTGCACTCATAAGGCCTTTCTCCAGTGTGGACTCTCTGATGTTTGATGAGTGTGGAGTTGTACCGAAAGAACTTGCCACATTCGCTGCAACCATAAGGCCTTTCTGCAGTGTGAACTCTCTGGTGTCTAATGAATGTGGAGCTGTACTTGAAAAATTTCCCGCATTCACTGCACTCATAAGGCCTTTCTCCAGTGTGAACTCTCTCATGTCTGATCAGTCTGTAGTTGTACCTAAAAAATTTTCCACATTCTCGACACTCATAAGGCCATTCTCCATCGTGAATTCTCTGATGTTTCATGAAGTTGGCTTTGTACTTAAAGAATTCCCCACATTTGCTACATTTGTAAGGGCTTGATCCAGTGTGGACTCTCTGGTGACCAATGAGTGTGGACTTGTACCTAAAGAATTTGCCACATTCACTGCACTTAAAAGGCTTTTCTCCAGTGTGGACTCTCTGGTGCTGAACAAGGTGGAACTTCCTAATGAAGGCCATACCACATTTGCTGCATTCATGAGGCCTTACCCCAGTGTGGATTTTCTGGTGCTGCACAAGTATCTGTTTTCGGCTGAAGCCTTTCCCACACTGAGTGCACCTGTAATCATTCTGTCCATTTTCAAAGGCCTCTTTGCACTCGGTGTCCCCATGTGGCTTCCACCCACTGTGAGGAGCCAGGTTCTGGAGGAGTCCTGTGCCAGCTGGGAAGTCCTTCCCACCTTTGCCGCATGTGAAGGTCCTCTCTGCCATGTGGATCCTGCCATTTATCACAAATGAAGGTCTCCCCTCATCCCTTCTGGAGACTTTGTCTCCCATCTGCTCCATTTGCTGCTGGGAAAGATTTGTCCCACAAATGTGCGGGCCTTGATCAGGGTACAATCCATTGTGCTCAGCCAGTTGCAAAATGTGTTTCATCTCACAGGGTTGGGCCTTCTGGGTGGACAGATCTGGCTCTGGAGTCCTGACCTGTGAATCTCCAACACAATCTCCTTGGTCCAAAGATGCCTCCTCGCCCTGGGTTCCATGCCAGCTACCTGTAAGCACAGAAATGCCAGTGAAGAACATGTTTACTCTGGTGGGAGGGGGCAGCCCCATCAGAAATGTGAGTCAGTCACAACCACAAATAGGTCCATGGGACTGCTGTTAGACAAGGGGCACTAGAGCCAGTGAGGAAGGCCTGCCGTGCAGAGCTGGGCCTGGGAAGCTCACATGATAGCAGAGCCGTGACAATGAGAAGGACTCACAACACAGGTAATGTCTTAGTCCATCAGGCTGCTATAGCAAAACACCACCGAATGGCATTTTAACAACGATAATAAGTGTCATAAGTGACAGAAGTTTATTTCTCACGGTTCTGGAGGCTGGAATTCTGAGATCAGGGTGCCAGCATGGTCAGGTAAGGACCCTCTTCCTGGTTGCAGACTTCTCATTGGTGCCTCACATAGTGGAAGGGGCTCTGGAGCTCTGGGGTCTCTTCTGTAAGAGCACTAATCTTATTCACGAGGGCTTTGACCTCATGGCCTAGTCACTCCAAAAGGCCCCATCTCCTAATACCATAACTTTGGGTAGGAGGTTTTCAACATATCAATTCTGTGGGGACACAGACATTCAGATCATAGCAAGTACTGTGCAGGGAGGAGAGACAGGGTCTCCATCCAGGTCACTCCTCTGCAAAGAGCTTTCAACAAGGTCACGGCATCTGGTGACTGATGAGAACTGTGTAGGAAGTTGTATCCAGACCTAGAAATACCTGATTGCAACGAAGTATTGTTACAGATATTTGCAGACCTCATGACATCTTAAATGTAGTCAAATGCAAAGGGAATAGTGAAGCAGAATGGGGTGGGGGGGTGGGAGAGATGAGGGCCACATAGGTGTGGTTAGAGTGTGGCAGAAGGGATTATGCGTCAGAGTAGGAATGAAAATGGGGAAAAAGAGGAAGAAATGAGCTGCGGCCACTAGTCCTGGCATCACACAGTGATGCCAGCTTGACACCACACCTTTTCCCAGTGCTCTCGCACCAAGACCGGGTACTTTTGAGCATCTCTTGCCCTTGGTGTGTTAATGTCCATCCCATCAGGCACCCAGGGTCCTCTCCACTGCTCAAGGTGAACACTGGTGTGTTCCTGGAAAGAGGCCAGTTCTGGGTGAAAGCAGAGAAAAGTGGCCAGCATGCACCCAGAACAATCCAACATTCTAAAGTCACAAGAACTTCACAGGACAGACAATAGAAACAACCCAAGGTCCCTAAAATTAGTAACTATGTTGATGTCTAAAATTCCTGGCACAGGCAGACCCCAAGAAATATCAGCAAGAAGAGGGAAGGCTGGGACACTGAAGTTCCAGCATCTAGACTGAATGACCCAACCAGGGATAGGCCAGGTCTGGGGGATCTCACACAAACAAGATTTCTCCTTAGCCCTGTCTTGCAAGGACTCAGAACAGCAGGGATGGGGCTGCTTGGGGGCAGCTGGTACAGTGCACACAGCCCAGCCCTGGCACCAACAACACATGTGGCAGGAAACCAGGAGAGGAAGAAGGCCCATGGTCTCCTTGTGGAAAGGACAGAGTTGCCCCTGGAAAAGGAAAGAACAGAGCCCAGCCCAGGCCCTCGGGGTGGGTGTGAGGACCTTACCTATGGAGGACAAAAGTGCAAAGTTCTCCAGCATCACACTGTGGTACAGGCGTCTCTGAGCCTCATCAAGGAGCCCCCACTCCTCCTGGGAGAAATATATGGCCACATCCTCAAAGACCACACGGCCCTGTGAAATGGGGACAGTTTAGTCCATGAGCAGTTTCTGGTTCTATTTCCTTTGATTCTGTTATTTGTTTGTTTGCCATCCATTGATTATAGGGCCACACTATCGGCCCAGTTTGTTTATATCTCCCCTGCGATTCAGAGCCCACTGTCTGAACCAGCTCTTTAACTGTCACACACCCAGTGAATATCTCCCCTGCCCCATATCAGCCCAGGGTTTGATCCCCGTCAGGGCACATACAGGAGTCAACCAATGAATATATAAATAAGTGGAACAACAAATTGATGTTTCTTTCTCTCTCTCCCTTTCTTCTTCTCTCTCTCCTTTCCTTCTTCCCTCTCTAAAAATCAATTAAAAAAAAATTAAAACACCCCAGCTCCACTATAGACATTTCCTTCACCTCCTAATGGGCCACTCTGCACATGGAATCCAGGCAGTGCGTGGGAAATGCATCCAGCATCCAACTCAGCCCCACTCCTGCCCCAGAAGGCCAGAGTCCCCTAGTGCCAAACCTAACCCCAAACCTGAAGGTCTCCCCTCCTAGCCCTGTTTCTGGCTTCAGCCCCAGCCACCCTTCCTGTGTGAAGGCGTCATGTCCCTCAGCTCTCTCCCGCTTCTGCATTGCTCTGGCTGCCCCGTGAGCAGTCAGAACCTTCTTCTCTCCTCATTTAGAGCCCAGTTACACTGACCTCGCACCCACACTCCCACTCCATCCTCAGTCTAGCAACTCGCCTAGCTGATCCCATTTCTCTCCTCAGCATCCATCTCATGTGTACACTGGTCTTGGAAGACTTCCTCATTGCTCCACCCCACCGACTCTCTCTCTCTCTCACACACACACACACACACACACGCACACACAGATGCTCTGCTTCCTCACCTGTCTGTGATGCCCGTCACACCACCGAGGTGCCCAATCAAGAGACCCAGTACTCAGGCCTTTCATTCCCATTCCTTGTGCTCTGATGGTGTCACTATCACAACCTAGAGATGCTGCCTCCTAAATCTGATCCACAGCTTCATCCTAGTTCACACCCTGACCACTCTGTTGTGGCTGTCTCTAATTTGAATCTGTCCCCTGAACCCGAGACTTCTGTGTGAAAGTGTCCACCAACACCTCCCCTTTCAGCCCCTGGAACATTTGTCACATGGACAAAAAGTGACTCTTCATGTCCCATCTGATAATTCCTCATCCTGCTGACTCCTCATTTTAGCCAATGAAGCATCCCTCCTTCCTAACAAGGTAAAAAAAAAAGTGGGGTCGTCCCTGGTTCTTCCTTCCATCCCACTTTCTCGTCTCCCTCGTCCTCCACATCATAAAACATGGGCAGCGCTAGTTCAGAACACATCCAGAAGCCAACCACTCCTCCACCTCCATGGCTACCACTCTTGTGTAGCCACCGACGACGACGCTCACCTAGGCTGTCACAAGAAATTCCTGCCAGGTCTTCCTGTCCTCACTCACAGTCTCAGTCTGTCTTCCACTCAGCAGCCAGAGGGAGCCTGTTAAAATCTGGGTCACAGCACCTTCCTCTTCTGCTTCAAAACTTCCCATCAACCTCAGATTGGAGGCTCACAACCTCAGGTTGTCAGTCAAAGCCAAATACCTGTGCACCCCTACCCATCCCCACCAGATATAAGAGACCTGCAGTTCCCTTAACATCCCAGCTAAACCTCACCTGCTTGCATCTGAACACTCTAAACCTTGTGCGTAGGACTCTCGGTCACATCTTTTAAAAAAATTTTATTTTACTGATTTTTAGAGGGAGAGGGAGAGAGAAATGTCAATTTGTTCTTCCATGTATTTATGCATTCACTGGTTGCTTCTTATATGTGTCCTGATCAGGGATCAAACTCGCAACATCGGTGTATGGGGACAATACTGTAACCAACCAAGCCACCCAGGATTCCCTGCCACATTTTTCACCACTGGTTGTCAGAAATGGGAACTGCTGCCCTGGCCGGTTTGGCTCAGCGGTTGGAGCATTGGCCTGCAGACCATAGAGTCCCGGGTTCAGTTCCTGTTAGGGGCACGTACCAAAAGAAAAAGAAATGGGAACTGCTCCGTATAACCTGGGTTTAGATATAAAGTCCTGGGCCTGGTAAAAGCACATGGTCTTCAGACTCAGGAGAGTGAGAAGGATGGGAGAAGTTTCGGGACACTACCATTACCTGAGGGTATATATATCGAAGTGCCCAAATCATTGGGGTGGTAATTGGGATGGGTAATTGCAGACACATCGTCCACTCACCTGTGCAGGGTCCATAAGCATTTCTGCCACTGCCATGGGACTCTGTGGGAAGAAAGAGGCCATGAGAAAGGGGTAGATATGGTAGGATCCTACAAGCTGAGCTGGACCACCCCCCTGCCCTGGAGCATAGCAATCTCAGCCTGATGGTCTAAGCTCAGCTCCTCAGAAACCAGTGCTGCTTCTTACCAGCTAGGCAGGGAAAAGAAAATGCTAATGGGGGTCAGAATGCTTCCACCTTCATAGGGATCACAGTGGTATCAAATGTAAGGAATACATATAATGATCACTTGTTATTGTCACAGGATCAAATTTCTATATATTTCTAGTGCAAATAAAGTGGTAGGGTTTTGCAATCTGGGGTCTTTATTTTTACTACCTTTTAAGATTTCAGAGCATTCAGATCCCAAACTACATTGTAAGCAAATATTTAGAGATAAATTAGCCCTGGCTGGTTCGGTTCAGTGGTTAGAGCATCGGCCTGCGGACCAAGGAGTCATGGGTTCAATTCCGATCAAGGGCATGTACCTCGGTTACGGTTCGGTCCCCAGCCCTGGTCAGATCGTGTGGGAGGCAATCAATTGATATGACACCTCTCTCACATCAATGTTTCTCTCTCTCTCCCTCCTTCCCACTCTATCTGAAGATAAATGGAAAAATATCCTTGGCAGAGGATTAAGAAAAAAAAAAAATCAATGCCAAACCATTATGAAGAGTTTATATAAATTGAATAGGTTCATGTCTTTTTGTTTTTTTTAAATCCTCACTGGAGGATATTTTTTCATTTATCCTCAGATTTTTTAAATCCTCACCAGAGGGAGGGAGAGAGAGAACATCAATGTGAGAGAGAGACATCAGTTGGCTGCCTTTCACATGACCCTGACCAGGGCCGGGGATGAACCGCAACCAAGATACACGCCCTTGACTGGAATCGAACCCACAACTCTGGTCTGCAGGCCGATGCTTAACTACTGAGCCAAACCAGCCAGGGCTGAATAGGTTCATTTCTAACTGCCTAGGTGTGTGTACATATTTAGAGAGATGCTGGTTCATTAGTGTTTAAATTAACAAACTTGCCCTGGCCAGTTTGGCTCAGCAGTTAGAGCATTGGCCTGTGGTCCAGAGGGACCCGGGTTTGGTTCCCACTAAGGGCACATACTGGTTGCAGTTTGTCCCTAGCCCTGGTTGGGTTGTGTGGGTGGCAGCCACTCGATGTGTTCCTTTCACGTCGATGTTTCTCTCTCTCTCTCTCCCTCCCACTCTACCTGAACAAAAAATGGACAAATGTCCTCAGATGAGGATTAAAAGATAAAATAAAATTTAAAAAAATAAATAAATCAACAAACTTATTATTATTTTTTAATCCTCACCCTAGGACATTTCCTTCATTGATTTTCAGAGACAGTGGAAGGGGGGGGAGCATAAACTTGTTCCACTTATCTATGCATTTATTGGTTGATTCTTGTATGTGCTCTGATTGGGGATTGAACCCACAACTTGGGCATATCGCGATGATGCTCTAACCAACTGAGCTACCTGGCCAGGTTCATTCCTAACTGTTTACCTGTGTGTACATATTTAGAGGGATGCTGGGTCATCAGCGTTTAAATCAATAAACTTTTCATACATTCTTAATGTATTGTAGGGACAGAGGGAGCAAGCAGGTCCGCTAGTAGTCCACTCAGTGACCAGGCCTGCCTGCTGCTACAGGAGCTTGCTGGGAGGCCTTGACTGAAGGAGAGGATCACCCCTTTTGCCCTGAGGGTGGAGGTGAGAAGGTCGTGCTCTGGTCTAGGTAGGACCCAGCGGCTCCATCAGCCTGGCTGACCTTTCCTTTGTTTCACAGGGAGCGGCCCTGAAGGCTGGTAGAGCCCCCCAGTGGAGAATCTACGCAGCGCACACCGCAGGCTCCGCTGAAAGGGAAGCTCCTTACCCCGCGAGGACTCCCTTTCTCCAGACACAGGCCAGAATCCCTCTCAGGTCGGCTCTTTGGGGGTGGGGGGGGGGGTGGGGGGCGCAACAGGAATGCCAAGACCCGCTCTCTGTGCTTTCTGCTCCCCCACCACAGGGCCCATTGGGAATAACGACCTTCGGACTCTCCCTCCTCCATCTGGTCCCCAGGCCACGTCCTGGTCCCGTCCACACTCTCCACCCCTTTGATGTCTCCAATCCTGCCCCTTCCTCAGCTCCCAGACCCGTATGTTCACCTACACGTAGGACATCTCCATGTCGTGACACCTCCGTCCTGATACCTCTCGGGATCAACATGTCCAAACTCCAGCTCACCCTCTTCCCCCGAAACCCGCCCCTTCCGCTGCCTTCCCCATCTCCATGCTTTCGGATGTTCGGGCAAAATACCTGGGATGCTGGTGTGCGCCTTACCTATGTTTACAACCGTATTTTTAATTTTTATTTTTTTGGCAACAGGAAACCCCGTCGGCCCTATGAAGGTTTAGCAGACTCTCATCACAGGTCCGTCCCCTGACTGCCACCAGCCTGGCCGGCCCCCCACCGTCGTTCCCCAGGGGCCAACTGCCCTGGCCTCACCGGCCTCCATTCCCGCCTCGCTCTGCCCGCTCTGAACGCCCAGCCCCGGGCCCGGCCCTCCGCACCGCCGTCCCTTCACAAGCGCCACGGCTGCCACCGCTCCGGTCGGCACTGGAGGCGACACTCCCCGCCCCGGTGTCCCGCACACAGAGCCTCGGCCCGCAGCGCTCAGGCCGCCCCTCCCGCACGGCGGGCCCGGCCTGGTGCAGGGACCTGAGCGGCGCCCCTCCATCCGGCTCCGACAGGGAGGTGGGAGCCGCGCGGTGAGGCCGGGAGGGCGCAGCACCCACCTCAGTCGGGCTCCTCGGCGCGGCCCCGCCGCCGGCCTGTGGGAGGAGCGGGGGCGACGGGGCGGGACCAGGGCGCCGCCGTCACCCACGGGCTCAGTCGCGCCTCCGCCGCCTCCACGCGGCGGGGACGACGTTTCAGCTCCGGCTCTTCCTCCCGATCCCTCACTTCGGAGGCGCCGACCCGGTGAACAATCCCAGAGCGACCGAAATGACAACCGGCGGGTAAAAACATCGGAAGTCCCGCCTCCGCACAGTGTACACCCGGTGCGCGCGCCTCTCCTCGCCCCTCCCCTCCCCCCTCATTGGCTCCGTTGCCCGTGGCTCACCGAAAGGACTTCTGGGTACTGTAGTTTCCGCTACCGCCACCACCTGTCACGTCTCATTTTGATTATTTATTTATTTATTTATTTATTTTATTATTATTTTTTTTATTTATTTATTTTTTATCCTCACCCGAGGATATTTTTCCATTTTTGTACAGACAGAGTGGGAGGGAGAGAGAGAGAGAGAGAAACATCGACGTGAAGGGACACATCGAGTGGCTGCCACCCGCATGACCAACCAGGGCCAGGGACAAACTGCAACCGAGGTACGTGCCCTTAGCGGGAACCGAACCCGGGTCTCTCCGGACCGCAGGCCGATGCTCTAACCGCTGAGCCAAACCGGCCAGGGCTATTTTATTTTTTTATATCCTCATTCGAGGACATTTTTCCATTTTTTGTACAGACAGAGTGGAAGGGAGAGAGAGGAAGAGAGAGAGAGGGAAACATCAATGTGAAAGAGACACATCGAGTGGCTGCCACCCGCACGACCAACCAGGGCCGGGGACAAACTGCAACCGAGGTACATGCCCTTAGTGGGAACCGAACCCAGGTCTCTCCGGACCACAGGCGGACGCTCTAACCGCTGAGCCAAACCGGCCAAGGCTGTCACATCTCATTTTGTAAGTCGCTCACTCCCTAGTGACAGATAAAGGCTAAGAGGCAGGGTCAGGGGCGCTGGGAACGGAGTTCCACGGCTCGAAAAGGAGAGCGGGTATTTCGCTTGCTCTTCAAGGGGACATACCCAGATATCTCGGAAAGCAGTCAAGGAAGCCACAGCAAGGTTAGGGGCCTGTTATTTCAGGCCCTAGGAAGCGCCCCAAGTCCCCAAGGGCTACACGTCCAAAGGGACGTGTCATAATGACTGTACGTCCACCCACTGTTGTCAGCTATCTTGTGGCTTTTCAAATACACAGGCTCTGGGGTTAATTTAAAGGGCTTTCAGTATATTTGACCCAGGATGAGAAAAGACTTCGGATTGAGGCATGGTGGGGAAGATGCGGAGGGATGACAAGAGGTACAGAAGAAGGTAGACAGGAGGACGCTGTGCCTCTGGTTCAGAGAAAAACATCTTTCCTGGTTGTAAGTCAGTGATTGTGTTTGAACCCAGCGCGCAACACATTTCTTCAAATATTTACTACTCCCTATCAGATATTTTTTCCCAAAGAATTGGAAACCCATCTAAGAAGAATGTGATTCATGACATGCCATTTTATGCCGGGATAACGTGTGCTCTTTAAATAGAGCACGTGTAGGAAGGGAGCATCTTATGCCCAAGACAAAAGTGTGGGATGCCATGATCTCATCTCACTGGGAAGCCATTTAGTATTTCACCTCAATGAAACTGCAGCAGCAATGTCTTCACAGGGAGTTATGACGTTTTTCACAAAAACACCGGTGAATGAAAATTGCTGAAAGGTATTGATAATGATTACATAGTTATTCATAGAAATTAGTAGTTCTAGAGAAACATACCTGTGACATGTAAAAGAAAAAGTTCATATTTCGTTGAAATTTAGGAGAGTGAAGTCTCCTAAGCCAGAGAATGCAGCTGAGCCTGTGGCTGTGCTGGAACCTTGGCCACACTCAGGTTTTGCCTCCAAAATGGGATTCTTTTTCATATTTGAAAACGTGGCTCTTTAACTGCTTGTAGAGACAGAGATAATATTTAAAAAGACTTGACAGAAAAGTGAATCAACAGGGAAGCTGTGCTGTGGTACTTACTGATCTAAAAAATGTTCAGTGAGCACCTACTGGCACCATAGTAGCTACCCGTTGTTCCGTGTATACAGAACTGTTTTCTTAGCTTTGGTATTTCTTTAGTTAGTATTTATTTATCATAAGGCCGAACTAAGGTGTTTCTGTAGTGTAGTGATTATCATGTTCACCTTACAAGGCCAAACTAAGTCAAAGATGTGCAAGTCAGTTTCGTGAATTCACAAAAATCATATTACAAACACCCCCAAGAACAAACCATAATGTATTTTCACGTCCTGCCTAATAGATGTCCCCATCTAGGTACTCCCTGGCACTTGAATTGTAAAGGCATAACTCCAGTTCCTCCCCAACCAGCTCTTCTCTGCACGTGACATGGTTTCATGTGGACCTTTGTGATGTTCCCACTAACATGTATTAGAGGTTTCAAGCCTATTCATCCAACCAAGCCTTCACTTTCAAGATATCCAGGATATGCTGATCCTTGTGAATCACCATCAATTGAATAGAATGCAGAATTAGATCCAGGAATCACTGCTCTAATTATTCTTTTTTTTCTCCTCACCGAGGACATTTTTCCATTTTTTGTTCAGATAGAGTGGGAGGGAGAGAGAGGAAGAGATAGAGATAGAGATAGAGATAGAGATAGAGATAGAGAGAGAGAGAGAGAGAGAGAGAGAGAAACATCGATGTGAAAGTGGCTGCCACCTGCACGACCAACCAGGGCCGGGGACAAACTGCAACCGAGGTACGCGCCCTTAGTGGGAACTGAACCCGGGTCTCTCTGGACCGCAGGTCAATGCTCTAACTGCTGAGCCAAACCGGCCAGGGCTCTAATTATACTTTTTTTTTTTTAAGTTTTTTTTTTCTTTATTGATTTTAGAGAGAGAGGAAGTGAGAAGGAGAGATAGAAACATCGATGAGAGAGATCATCGATTGGTCGCCTCCTGCATGCCCCCCACTGGGGATCTGGCCCACAACCTGGGCATGTGTCCTGACCGGGAATCGAACTGGCGACCCCTTGGTGCATGGGTTGATGCTCAACCACTGAGCCACACCAGCCAGATTCTAATTCTTCTTCTTCTTCTTTTTTAATCCTCACCCGAGGACATTTTTCCATTTTTTGTTCAGATAGAGCGGGAGGGAGAGAGAGGAAGAGAGAGAGAGAGAAACATCGATGAGAGAGAACATCGATTGGCCGCCTTCTGCACGCCCCCCCCACACTGGGGAGTGGGCCCACAACACGGGCATGTGCCCTGGCCAGGAATCAAACCGGTGACCTCTTGGTGCATGGGTCATGCTCAACCACTGAGTCACACTTCTCACCCTACTTTTTTGAAGGCACACTTCTCATTCTTGACAGACTTTTGTGTCGCTTTTGTACTCTGAATTGCATGCTTTTTAAAAAAATATGCTACATTACTGTGCCATCCGAATTACATTTCTTTACTAAAAGTAAAAGAACAACACCGTGTTACTGGCATAAAGACATATAGACCATTGAGACCCTGGCCAGGTAATTTCCGCTTGCCATTCAGTTCATTCCCAACTTAACACTGACCACGCTGTGAACCTCTTCGCGTCGCAAATCTCTGAAAACCCGCCCCCGGGGCCTACGTCACAAGCAGGCCTCCGAAGCCCCGCCCACGCGCTGTTCATCCCAAGGGAGCAGCGGAAGCCCCACCCCCGCGCACTTTGAATGCACGCTGAGCCCTCATTGGTCGACCCCCGCCGCCTCCGCACTGCCTTCTGGGTAACGTAGTTCCCCCACCGTTATGTGTAATGTATCAAAACGCAGGTTGTTCCTGACTGTGGATACTGGCCAAGGGACAACGTGAGGGGCGCTGGGAAACGCGGTTCCGGGGTCCAAATTAAGCTGGGTTTGGCAGGATTTTAAAGGGGCTCCACCCAGATTTCCTTGGCTTGTAGTCCAGGAACGTCGCAGAAATGTTTGGAGACCTGTTACTACAGAATCAGTGAGTCGCAGCCAGTTTCCAAAGGCTGCCCATAGGGACACATAACACGGTGGTGACATTTGTGTCTCCTCATGGCTGTCGGCTGTCTTGTTTGTCAAAGGTACGCTGACGCTTTGGAGTCGTTTTTATGAGCTTCAATAGGTTTGGTCAGGGGCAGTAAGAAAGGCCTCCAGACAGGGCTGTGGAGGGCATCAGGAGGCCGCATGACAGGAAGCAGTGAAGTAGTTAGGATGCCTCTGTGTGTCAGCTCGCACAGAAAACATCTTTCCTGCCTATGTAGTCAGCGATAGTGTTCCAGAGAGCAAACCACATTTTTTTTTTTTTTTAAATCTTCACCTAAGGATATTTTCCCACCGATTTCTAGATAGAGTGGAAGGGAGGCAGAGAGAAACAATGACGTGAGAGAGAAGCATCAATTGGTTGTCTTCCACACAACCCCGACCGGGGCGGGGATCGAACCTGCAACCCAGGTATGTGCCCTTGACCAGGAAGTGTGCCTGAGACCATTTGGTCTGCGGGCAGACCCTTTAACTGCTGAGCTAAACCAACCAGGGCAGAACCGCATTTTCACTCATATTTTTATTATTCTATATCTGAGGTATTTTCCATTTAAGAATCTGAAAACTAATTTTAGAGTCTAAAAGAAGGGGAAGTTATTTGTTCTGTCGGGACAGTGTATGCCTTTCTGACAATCTGACCACGTGTGCAAAGAGGGCATCTTATCCCTGTGATAAAAGTTTGGGGATCTGTGATCTCAAGGCTTAGAGAACAATGGAAGTGGTTTATCATTTCATCTGTAATTGCAGCGACAGTGTCTGCCAGGGAGTTGAGATTCTCTGGAAAAACACTTGTGAAATGGACATTACTAAATGTTATTAATAAGGATTTTGTAGTTTTTCAAGGAAAGTGACAGAAACAGTTCTAGAGAAATACATGTGACAAGTGGGAGGAAAAAAAGTTAAGCTCTCAGTGACGTTTGAGAGAGAGGCACTGAGTATGAAAAGTCCGAGAATGACATTGAGATGCTGGCTTGCTGAAACCTTGGCCACACTTAGGGTTTTGTCTCAAAATATGATTATTTTATTTTATTGTTTTTTATCCTCACCCGAGGACTTTTTTTTTTTTTTTTTGCATTTATCTTCAGATAGAGCAAGAGGGAAAAGGGGGGGGGGAACACTGATATGAGAGAGAGAGAGAGAACTGATCACCACCCACACGACCCCAACCAGGGCCAGGGCCAAACTGCAACCGAGGTATGTGCCCTTAGCGAGAACTGAACCCGGGTCTCTCTGATCCGCGGGCTGACGCTCTTACCACTGAGCCCAACTGGCCAGGGCAAAATGTGATTATTTTAAATACTTGAAAACATTGCACATTAGTAGCTTGGAGGGAAAGGTAAAATTATATTTAAAAAGTTGCCAGAAAAGTAAAAACGAATAGGGAAGTAGTACTGCTGTGTATTTACTGATCTACAAACATTCAGTGAGCTCTCAGGCTTTCAGGTGCCACGGCACACATCAGGTGTAGGACTGCCTTTAACAGTGTCAGGATGCACTAAATATCCTGTATTTGCTTTTTTTTTTACAATACATTACAAAAAGTCAGTCATTAGAGCCATTTTTTCTCTTACTGCAACTGGCAGTTAAATCATTTAATGGCAACATTAGCTCAAAATCATATCCGCATAAATAACTTTGGGGATATGCCTTATGGTCTGTCTCTCCTGAAGGTTTGCTGTGGAAGAACAAACGAGGAAACTAACAAAGTGCTTATATTTCATATCCAGGTAAAGAAAAGACTGTTCTTTGGCCAAATCCCAAAGTTGTGAACAAGACACCAAGATTAGAGATAACTTCAGATGACCTCTGAAAGCCAGCAGTCAACAGTTGCCTCATTCCAGTAACTCAGCTTCTGAAAATCAGCAAATCACTGATCAGCACAAACTTCTAAAATTCAGCCAATGAGTGTTCAGGACCAAAAGGCAGCCCATCAGTGACAGCCCCAGGATCCTCGGCAAAACCACATACTCCAAATAACCTCTGGGTCAAAGGAGAAATTACAAGGAAAAAGTTTAAAGCATAAATATTTTGAAGTAGATGAAAATAAAAATCAGCCCTGGCCAGAGTGGCTCAGTTGATTGGGCATCATCCCAAGCACTAGAGGGCTGAATGTTCCATTCTCAGTCAGGGCACATGCCCTGGTGGCAGGCTCTATTGGGGGTGGGGAGAGCCTGCCAGAGGCAGCCCATCAATGTTCCACTCTCATGCTGATGTTTCTCTCTCTCCCTCCCTCTCTAAAAATCAACAGAAATATTTTTTTAAAAATGAATGTGACATAGAAAAATTAAATAATTATAGGGGAATATATAGCTTTAAACAACTTATTACAGTCCAGCTGGTGTGGCTCACTGGTTGAGCACCAACCCATGCACTAAGAGGTCACTGGTTTGATTTAGGTTGTGGGCCCAATTCCCAGTGGGGGCATGCAGGAGGAGGCCAATCGTTCTCTCATCAATGTTTCTATCTCTCTAAAATCAATAAAGAAAAAAATAGAAAACAAACAAAAAAAAACACTTATTGCAAAAGAAGATGTCAATAACCTAAGCTTCCCTGTTAAGAAACGAGGAAGAGCAAATTAGCCCCAAAGCAAGGAAAATACAGGAAATTAATAAAGATGAGAACAAAACTCATTGAAATGAAAAACACTTAAAAATCAATGAAACAAAAAGCTGGTTATTTAAAAAAAATCAACAAAATTGATAAAACTTTAGGTTGGTTGACAAAAGTAAACAAATTAACAAAATTAGGAGATACTATTTTTTAAATTCTCACCCGAGGATATTTTTCCATTGATTTTCAGACAGAGTGGGAGTGAGGGACGCAGGGAAACAACAATGTGAGAGAGACACATCGATTGGTTGCCTCCTGCATGTCCTGACCAGGGCCAGGGAGTGAACCACAACCAAGGTATGTGCCCTTGACCAGAATCGAACCTGTGACTCTTTGGTCTGCAGGCTGACACTCTAACCACTGAGCAAAACTGGTCAAGGCAGGAAAGACACTATTGACCCTACAGAAATTAAAAGTATTGTAAGGGAATATTAGAAACATCTTTATCCTCCCAATTAGACAATTTAGTTAAAATGCACAAATTCCTAGGGCACCAATTATCAAAACTGATATAAATAAAAAATCTATATAGTACTCTACTATTTATTTATTTTTAAAGATATTTTATTATTTTTTATCCTCACCTGAGAACAGTTTTTTGCATTTATCTTCAGATAGAGCAGGGAGGGAGAGAGGAAGGGAGAGAGAGAAACATTGATGCGAGAGACACACATCGAGTAGTTGCTATCCACATGACCCCAACCAGGACCGGGGACAAACTGCAACTGAGATACGTGCCCTTAGTGGGAACGGAACCTGGGTCTCTCCAGTCCACGGGCCAATGCTCTAACCACTGAGCCAAACCGGCCAGGGCTCTACTAATTTTTTAATATGTTTTTATTTATTTTTTAGAGAGGAAGGGAGAGATAGAAATGTCAATTGGCTGCCTCTTGCATGTCCCTTACCGGGGATAGAGCCCAAAATCCGGGCATGTGCCCTGACTAGGAATCGAATCAGACCTCTAAGTCCATGGGAGGATGCTCAATCCACTGAGCCACACCGGCCAGGCTCTACTAATTTTATTTTTATTTTTAGAAAGGGAGGGGGAGAGAGAGAACATCAATGTGGGAGCGAAACATCACTTGGCTGGTCCTGCATGCACTCTACCAGGGATCAAGAATGCAAAATGGTACAACCACTTTGGAAGACAGTTTCTTACCAAACTAAACATACTTTTTTTTACTGTATGATCCAGCATATCACTTCCGTTGGCTTGAACCCAAACGAAATGAAATCTTATGTCCAAATAAAACCTACAAATGTATATTGAAAGTTTACTCATAAATAAAAATTGGAAGCAACCAAAATGTCCTTCAGTAGGTGAATGGATAAACTGTGGTATATCCATACAATGGAATGTGATTCAGTGATAACATGTACACATATCTTCACAGCAGCTTTATTTGTAATAGCCCCAAACTGGAAACAATACAAATGTTCACTAACAGCTGAATGGATGGAAAACAATGGTGGTATATCCATACGATGGAATAACACCCGACAATACAAATGAACAAACTATTGATATATGTAATAAGATGGATTAATCTCAAAATAGTCATGGTTAATGAAAAAAGCCAAGGTCCCCACTCTCCAGAAAATATATCACACAAAATTCTAGAAAATGCTTGTGAATTGTGGGAAGGGGTTTAGAAAGGACTGAGAGGAGAGGAGTCCCTTATGTCACTGTTGGACACGTTCACTGTCTTCATTCCGTTGATGGCTTCTCAGGTATATACACATGCTGAATCATTTTACACTTTTCATATGTGCAGTTTATTTTATGTCAATCATACATCCATAAAAAACATATTTACCTTCCCTCTTGGAAGGTCACATTTGCCAACTATTTTGGTTCTACCATATCCCTCGCCCCACAATTTAGGAGGGTGAATCCTGAAGAGAGCAATGAAGTCCATTTCCATCTCATACACGAGGAATACTGGAGGGTCAAAGAAGCCCTATCCCTGGAGCTTCTTACTAAACTAAACATACTTTGCCAATGCTGGTGCAGCAATGGCCATACCATCCACAGCCCAGGGAGGTAAGGAATCCACAAACTAACTTCAGAGTACTTACTCAACAGTGGCCTTGGCCACAGGAGATACAGATGCCTGAAGGTCCTGAGATTTTCTATACCGTCTCATCCCACACAGACGTTTGTAGATGGTCCCTTTAGAACACACATCCTCTCATTTGCCAGTAAACCTTGCTCAATTGTCTTAAGTATTTCTACACAAATTATGATTCACACCTTACCCTGTAGGCCTTCCAGTCAATGATACCTGCCTATGGGACTCTGTACAGGTCCAGGAGACAGAAATCCCTCAAAAGTGCTAGGGAGTATGGGACATTTCTTCAGAAAAAGGGACCCAATTCATGGTGCTTCCAGAAGCACTGCAGGTTTTCATACCAACTCTGTGCTTCTCAGAATGAACTCGGGCTCAGAGGAAATCTGGACGTCCAGGTCTCAGGGTTAGGCACACACAGTTCTCCAGTCTTTTCCAACAAGCTTTGGAGAACAATGCACACACTGTGCCAGACTAGACAGGTCTGTCCTCTGCCATCCTGCTGTCCTTTCTCAGGCACATAAAGTTAGTGCCAACAAGAGGTATTCTTCCCTTCATTGGCAGAACCCAGAACCCAGTTTTTTCTTAATCCATGTCACACAAGGAACAGACACCCCCCCAAGAATCAAGACGGCCACAGCAGACCTGCATCACCACACAGACCAGAGCAGCACGGGCAGGCAGCCCCAATGGTGGATGATTTGGAAGCAGGACCAATGACACATGCCTCTTATGTTTACAGTCACTATTGCGCGAAGAAGAGAAGTCTTGTCTGGAAATCCCCAGCAGCCTGCTGCTCAGATCCCTGTGGCCAGAGCTAGACCATGTCCACTCAGAACCCAGTCATCGGGGTGGAGGATAGGGAAGTGAGAACCTTCAGTGAGCTCAGAACGGTCATGATTGCCTCCAGAGAATAAGAGACCACGCTCAGGGGTCTACATTCCCTAAGCATACTGGATTGACTGACATGCTGTGGGACCCCAAGACAGCTGGAGCAGAGGTGGCTTCTGCACAGGTGCTGGCATTGATGTAACTGTCAAGAGCCCTGGGCAGCTCAGAAAGTGCAACACACCACATGAACATGAAGTCTGCCCACCTCCATGGCACTTAGTGAGAATGTCCCCAGGCTGGGTGCACAAAGGTCACCTGGTGGCTCCCTCAGTACCACAGGTACTCAGAGCGCTCCTCTGCTGTGTGTCCTGAGGTTGAACAAGGAGACAGCACATTTTCTTCATCCATAAGGCCTTTTTCTAGTGTGAACTTTCTGGTGCTAAATGAGTTTAAGAGATGCAGCCAAAGGGCCACCAAAACTGCTGCGATCACGAGGCCTTTCTCCACTGTGAACTTTCTGGTGCCGAACCAGATGGGAGCTCCTGCTATAGGCTTTCCCACACTCGCCGCACACATAAGGCTTTTCTCCAGTGTGAACCCTCTGGTGTAGGATGAGGCTAGAGTTGCGACTAAAGAATTTTCCACATTCACTGCACTCATAAGGCCTGGCACCTGTGTGCACTTTCTTGTGTTGAACAAGGTGGGAGCTGCTAATATAGGCTTTCCCACACTCGCTGCACACGTAGGGCCTTGCTCCGGTGTGAACTCTCTGGTGTAGGATGAGGCTGGAGTTGTGGCTGAAGCATTTCCCACATTCGCTGCACTCATAAGGCTTTGCTCCAGTATGGATTCTCTGGTGCACAATAAGGTTGGAGCTGTGGCTAAAGAATTTCCCACACTCACTACACTCGTAAGGCCTCTCCCCAGTGTGGATTTTCTGGTGCTGCACGAGCGTGTCTTTGCGGCTGAAGGCCTTCCCACATTCGCTGCACTCATAGGGCCTCGCTCCAGTGTGGATGATCTGGTGCTGGACAAGTGTGTCTTTGCAGCTGAAAGCTTTCCCACACTTGCTGCACACGTAAGACCTGGCTCCTGTGTGGACTCTCCGATGTTTAATGAGGCTGGAGTTGTGGCTAAAGAATTTCCCACATTCGATGCATTCGTAGGGCCTCGCGCCTGTGTGAATCCTCCAGTGTTCAATAAGGTGGGAGCTCTGGCTGAAGAACTTCCCGCACTCGCTGCACTCGTAAGGCCTCTCTCCAGTGTGAAATCTCTGGTGCTGGACAAGTGTGTCTTTGCGGCTAAAGGCTTTTCCACATTCACCACACTTGTAAGGCCTCTCTCCGGTGTGGATTCTCAGGTGCTGGACAAGGTGGGAGCTCCTGCTGTAGGCTTTCCCACACTCGCTGCAGTCATAAGACCTTTCCCCAGTGTGGACTCTCCGGTGCTGAACAAGTGTGTCCTTGCGGCTGAAGGCCTTGCCACATTCACTGCATGTATAATGCCTTTTTCCGGTGTGAAATTTCTGGTGCATTTTTAAGTGAGATAGGTGAATGAAGGCCTTCCCACACTCCTTACACACATGTGTTGTTTCTCCACTGTGAATTTTTCTGTGGGGAGTAAGACCCGATTTCTCCTTGGACATATTTCCACGTGGTAGACATCTAATGGGTCTCACTCCGGCATGAGTGATCTGTTTGTCAAGCAGAGTAAAGGTGTTCAGGAAGGCTTTCCCATCATCACTGCAGTTGAAAAGCATCAGAACACCACGGTGCCCCTGCTGTTGCTCAGGGCTGGAGCTGTGTGGGAAACACTCCGTGAGCACAGTCCTTTTGCATGGACTCAACCCGAAGTGAGCAGTCTGGTGCTGGAAGAGGCCAGAGCTGTCCAGCATGTTCATGCCATCCTCCCTGCAAGGAAAGGGTGTCCCTAACGTGTGGACAGCACAGCTCTTCACAAATGAGGCCCCACCATCGTCCCCACTGACAGGGTTCTCTCCATCGTTTTGCTTCTGGTCCTGGACACAGTTTGCACTGCACAAGAATCCTCTCTCACATGGGCCACATGTGTAAGGTTTCTGCGTGGGGTATGATCTCTCATGTTCAGCCAGGGGCAAAACTTCTTTCAGGAGTGCGTCACACACCTCACACGGGTGGGCTTTCTGGATAAATGGACCTGTCTCAGAAGTCCCGACCTGTGACACTTCTGCAGAAGTGCTCTGCTCAGACGGGGCCACCTCATGGTTGGCATCACGCCAGCAATCTGAAAGCAAAGACATGCTGGTGAAGTGGACTTTGATGGGAAGCAGCAGACGTATCACACATGCGTGTGTCACACACCAAGAAATGAGCCCACTGACTCGTTGGTAGGACAAAGGAGCCAGGAGAGGGCGAGGAAGGGCCCATCGTCAGCCTTGGGCCTCTAAAGGTCACAGAATGGAGGAACTCCAATGACGGGTAAGGACACAATGATAGGGTACAGCACAGGGAGAGGCGAGGTCTCCAACTCACTCCTCCACAAAAGGGCTTCAGCAGGGCCTTGGCTGCTGGCGTCTGCTGAGCTCTATGCAAAAGGCTGTGTCCAGGCCCAGGAAACTGACTGCAAGGAAGTCGCTGGTTCTTAAGGACTAGTTAAAAATGTATGCACAAGTCATGACCCAGTACAGTGGCCCACACTGCAGAAGGTGCAGAGAAGAATGGGTGAGACACACAAGCCAGAGAAATAGGTAAACAGCCAAGGGATGGAAGATGCAAGAGAGATGACAAGTGGGTACTGTGCTAAGAATATAGAGAAGGAGAGGGAAAAATGAGCTGTTGGTATGGGCCTGGCCAAAAAAAACAGGTGCACACAAAGCAGGCTGAAGGTACGATCTGAACCCAGCCCTAACGTGGCACTATCTCCCAGCTCTGTCCTGCAGGGTCAGGCTCTCTCTGGGCCTCTCTCACTGTGGCTGCAGTTAGGTTGGCCCTGGCAGGCACCCAGGGCTCTCTGCCTGTCTCCATCTGGGCAACTCCATGGCATCTGGCAGATGGAGTTGATAAAGAAAACACAGGGCAGATGAATGGTCCAGGTAGACCCACCCACGAAGAAGAAAACAAAATGTTAAAAAAGAACCTCAAAGGAGGATTTGGTAGAACAGCCCTGTGACCTCTGCAAGCAATGGCCATGTCAACACCTGCAACTCCTGACAGAGTTGGGGCACCCGGATTAGTCAGCTAGAGGATGAGGACAGAAGCTGGGACAGAGGTACCATTGAGCTGAACAGTCACCGGTCAGGGAGTGCCCATTGCCAGGCAGAATCTGTCAAGCCAAATGAAAAAGCCCTGCATCCCTAACCTGTTCCTTCAAGGCTTTGGGCAGTAGCTGTGAGGGCTGCTCAGCGAGGGAGGGGACACTGCACAGGTCCCCATCCTGGCATCATAGCACCTACTGTGGGAACCAAGGAAGGAAGTCACTGATCTGGCTGGACAGAAAGAGCTGCCCTGAAGGGACAGGGAACTAAGCAAACCCAAGGACCCCAGAGATGGTGTGAGGGCACGGGGATGGCAGCCTTGAAGATGGTCCCCTGGAACGCCTTCCTCCAGTATTTTTGTTTTATTTTTATTTTTTTGTTAAACCTCACCTGAAGATATCGTTCCACTGATTTTTAGATAGAGTCGAAGGGAGGAAGAGATGGATGTGAGAGAGACCCATCGATTGGTTGCCTGCCACACCCTGACCAGGGCGAGGGATTAACTTACAACCCTGGTACGTGCCCTTGACCAGGAACTGAACCTGTGAACTTTGGTCTGAAGTCAGATGCTCTAACTGCTGAGCCAAACCTGCCAGGACCCTCCCAATATTCTTGCCATTATATAAGCCTTCATTGTGGAGGGGACTGACTGATCCATTTCTATGGAACAGGATATGGCAAAAATGATGGGATGTCACTTCCAAGGTCAGGGTGGAAAAAGACCAGCTTCCATCCCGGGCATTCTCTTGCTCACTTGCTCAGAGAGAAGGCAGCTTCCTTGGCATGAGGTATACCACAGAAAGGACACCATGGCAAGTAACTGAGGAAGGCCTCTGGCCAACCAGTGAGAAGCTAACGCTCAGTTCAATAAATGGCAAGAAACTGAATCCTGCAAACGAAGACATGAGTGAGTCTGGAAGCAGCTTCTTCCTGAGACTGGCTTTCACATGAGCACATGGTTCTGGCTGATGGCTTGCCTGAAACCTCACAGCCTGAGCCAAAAGCACCCAGGTGAGCTGTGACCAGACCCCTGATGAACCAAAACTGAGGTAACAAACCTTCACTGTTTCAAGCCCTTACATTTGGGGGAAATTTGCCATGCACCAACAGATAACTAAAATGGGGACTTACCCAGTGAGGACACAAGTGCAAAGTTCTCCAGCATCACGTCACGGTACAGGTGTCTCTGAGCTTCATCCAGGAGCCCCCATTCCTCCCGGGAGAAGTACACGAACACGTCCTCGAAGGTCACACAGCCCTGCCAGGATGGAGACAGTTGATCCCACAGGCACACAGCCCCTCTCCTCAGATCTCACTGCTCACACAACCACTCCTGGGTCTCTGTTCTCCTTAGGCTCCCAGCTCAGAGGAGACAGGCCTTGGCACCACCAGTGGCCTAGATCCAGAATTCTGGGCTAGAAATGAGCCCCCTGTGGGGCCCCCAGACTCCAAATGCAGAGAGGGGAATAAGCAAAGAGTCCCAGAAAATCACTGTGTCTCATCAGAAAATCAATGGGCCCTACTTTATTTATTGATTTTATTTTTAAAAAATGTTTTTATTGGTTTTTTAGAGAAACAGCGCTGTGAGAAACATCCATCAGCTGCCTCTTGCACGCCCCCTATTGGGGATGGAGCCAGCAACCCGGGTATGAGCCCTGACTGAGAATAAACCAGGACCCTTCAGTCCATGGGAAGTCATTCAATCCACTGAGCCATAACTGGAGGGTGGTGGACCCTACTTTATTTATTTTTCTTTTTTATTTTATTTTTTTGCATTTACCTTCAGATAGAGCGGGAGGGAGAGAGGGAGGAAGAGAGAGAGAGAAAAACATCGATGTGAGAGAAACACATCCAGTGGCTGCCACCCACACGACCCCAACCCAGTCAGGGACAAACGGCAACCAAGGTACCTGCCCTTAGCAGGAACCAAACCCTGGTCTCTCTGGTCCGCAGGCCGACGCTCTAACTGCTGAGCAAAACCGGCCAGGGCGTGGACCCTACTTTAAAAACATACAAAACCCACACGCTTCTCTAACTTCCACTACCACAGGGTTTTCCCATCATCAACACCCACTCAGGGCTGCTGCAGTAGCCTCCATCCTGGTCTCCCTGCCCACACCCCAATCTTTCCACTCTGCAGCCTATTGATACCCAAGTCAGATCACCTCCCTCCGCTGTTCCAAACCTTCCAAGGCTCCCACCACCACCAGAACCGAGACCCAGCTCCTCAGGTTGCCTCCCTGGCCTGAGCCCTGACCGCTTGCTCTGTTCTCACCAGACACAGCAGAGACGTCAGTTTCCCGCAACTCTCCTATCTCATTCCCACGTCCAAGTTTTTGTACCGGCTGGCTCCCGTGCCTTGGAAACCGTTGCACACCTCATGCCATAGGCACTGGAAATGGGAACCTCGCCTTCTTTCTGGCGGGAGTAACCGCCCCCCATGGCATTTAGACTCAAGAGGGAGCGATGAGGGGGGAGATGACGACGGTCGTGGAACAACACATCACCCTCTAGACCCGAGTCGCTAAGGGACTGGGGGACACCCCTGCCCCACTCACCGCCGCCTGGCCCATCAGCGCCGCGGCCGCCATCGGATCCCGAGAGCAGACCCGGGAGCTCAGCTGAAACCTACACCTGCACTGGGTCGGGTGACCTCGGGCGAGCCCGTCCCCACTGGGAGGAACGCGCACAAGGCTCAGGGAGCCGCCTCCGGGGGCCGACGAGGACAGGGCGCGGGCGCCAAGGCCTCGGGAAGAGCGCAGCCCCAGTGGACACCACGGCGCACAGCCGCCCGTCCCCCGACGGGGGTCATGGCTCGAAACAAAGGCGCGGAGGGACGTCCTTTCCTTTGAGCTGTCCCTCCCGGCTCGACCCCGAAGACCCGCGTGGCCAGCAGACGCCGCCCCGAATCCGGAGCCTGAACAGCCGGAGCAAACCGTCTGACAGTCCCGGCGCGGGCTAACTGCGTCACGGCAGCGGCACCGGAAGTCCCGCCTCTGCCTGACGGGTGATAAAAAACGCCCATCTTTCGGGCGGCCATGACGCAACGTCGTTGCGCCGGGCACAGACTTCTGGGTAGTGTAGTTTGTTCGCTGTATCCAATGGGACAATGGGCACCTTTCAGGTTCTGGTGACGCTGGCGCTGAGGAGGTAGTGGCGAAAATAGTGTCCTGGAGGCCGAAGCGCGTCTTAAAGGGGACACGCCCAGATTTCCGTGGTCGTCTGGGACAATGCCACGTCTTCCAGCGAGGGATCCACTCTTTAATCCTGGAAGAGGTGTGCTTCACATCTCTCATCTTTGGGGACTGAGATTTAAGTCAAACAATGAATGCACCTTGCTCGTGGGGCCTTTGTGTAGTAGTAACGTTAAATGTACCTCGAATTCGTGGATTCCCAAATTTGGGGCGTCAGCATCACTCATGAACTCAGAGTGCACCCCTTCTGTGACCTCTTTTACTGGCCTCTCAGGTGGGCCACCGGACTCAGAGCGCCCCCGCTGGACTTGTCACAGAACACTGAGTGGAGAAATTGGCTTTTTTTATGGATGAATGGAGACACCCAGGGGACGGGAAGCTAATTCTCAACATCCCCAATTCCCTGATGCCGTGTAGGTTACAGATTCTATAGGGCAAAAATCACAAGGCACCGGGAATTAGGGGTTGGAATTGTGCAGGGAGCTAATTGGTCTGAGGTGGGCTACTGTCTCCTGCTGCTCTGGAGGTGGCTGATTATCCAGGGGAAAGGCTAGGTAGGTCCTGGTGGTAGCGGGAGAGAGAGATCTATTTAAAACTAAATTTAATCGGTCACTAGGATTCCAGGTTTCAAACTTTCTCTCTCAAATGCCCAGGATCACTCACGTGCTCACCTTTGCACAGGCCACTGGTGAAGGGAAGATCCACACCAAGGTAGTTTCTGTAGAAAGGGTGAGGAACCAGGGTAGGGAAGGCACCTGAGGTTGCTGGGCCTGAATGGAAGTGTGTCTTGGTCTGTGGTTCCTCCTGGCCCATAGCTTCCTGCCTGGCACAAGACTCCCAACCCCTTGTCTGGTCAAGCTGATCAGTAGCTGACCAGATGGCCTACCTTTTAGATAGAGGCAACTGGTAGATCAGGTTTCCTTTAGGAATTCTGACTGGTTGCTTTTAGGCAGCGACAACTGGCTGCCCAAATCTGAGTGCTCAAAAGCTGTCATTGGCAGTTTGCCAGAGAGCAAGCTAAAAGGTTCTCATTGGCTGCTGGCTAGGGCTCCACCTTCGTGAACATGATGGGCAGTTTGTCCAGAGTAAGTTAAAAGGACAGTGATAACAGCTTTGGGAAGGCAGGGCTTAACCAATCAGGGCCAGGTGACTGGCTGAGACTGCCCCCCCTCAGACAAACCAAGTTTGGTTGTTTACCTGGGCGGTGGGCGGGGACACGACTCAGATGAAGTGGAGCCAGAACCATAAAGCTTTGATTGGCTGTTCATCAGAAGAGGGGTAGGGTGAGGGGGCGCTAGCAAATTAGCAAACGTAGCCTATCTTGATTAAGGGGCTTTAAGTGTTTCTCTCCTTAAAAAAATCAATAAAACAGCCCTGGCTGGTTTGGGTCAGCAGTTAGAACCTCCACCCACAGACCAGTGAATCAGCTGGTTCCATTCTGGTCAAAGTGGCACTTACCTCCCTTGCTATTCCTCCCAGAAGTGGTTGGGGTCCTGCGGGAGGCAGCCACTAGATGTGCTCCTTACACATGGATGTTTCTCTCTCTCCCTCCCACTCTACCTGAACAAAAAATGGAAAAATATCCTTGGGTGAGGATTAAAAAAAAAAAAAAAAATCAACACATTTAAAAAAAAAGGAAAAGTAGTGCTGATAAGTGACAAGGAGAGAACCCTGTACACTATGGGTGGGGTTATAAACTGGACCTTGGAGAACAATATGGAGGTTCTTCAAAAAATTAAAACTATAACTACCTAATGACCCAGCGATTCCACTTCTGAGTAAATAACCAAAGGAATGAAAACAGGTTGTTGAAGAGATGCCCTCCCATGTTTATTACAGCATTGTTCACAACAGCCATGACATGGAGACAACCTGAGTGCCACCAATGGATGAATGGATAAAAAAAAAGGCATGATACACACACAACACACAGCACACAACACACACACACACACACACACCCAGAATATTAACCACAAGAACAAAGGAAATTCTGTCATATGCAAAACATGGATGTACCTTCAGGACATTATGCTGAAGTAAGTCAGACAAAGACAGACAAACACTGTATGATATCCCTCCTTTGTGGTATCTGAAAACAAACAAACCGAACTTAAAAAAAAACAAGGAGTGGAATGATGGTTACCAAAGGCTGGTAGGTTAGGGAATAGGAGAAATTGTTAAGGGTACATACTTGCAAATAGCAAGTAAACAATTCCCGGAGACTAACACATAGCACAGAGGTCACAGACAATATTATTATTATAAACATCAAATTTGGTGAGAGACTAGATCGTCTCTGTTCCCACCACTAAAAGTGACAAATCGGACATGACAGGTGTTAGTTATGCCACAATGGCAATCACCGTGCAATATAAATGCATCAGATCAATACATTGTACACCGTAAACCTATGCAATATTATATACCAATTATATCTCAAAACCAATAAATAATAAATTAACCTGAGGCCTTCAATGGTACAGTAAAACATACCCATTCATAGATGAGTACTGATCTCCTTAGATATAAAATATTTTAGTTAACAATTTTTTAGTATTCTCATTTAAGTTTTAAGTGCTTTATAATTAAAGTCTTCACAAAGACTTAAGCTCAATAGTTGAGACAATGTTTTACAACAAATAAGTTCAATAAATATTTGTAGAGCTGCTCTCAAGTGAGCAGTGCTTCTAACATGGGATGGCAGAGCATGTACATTAAGTCAGGTGGTAGGGACACGGCCATTTTATCTCAAATCCTGCTGCTCCCCAACACCCAACAACAAAATTAGCAAAGAACAAATTGTCATGGGAAACCTGAAAGAAGTCACAAATGCATTTTTTTGTTAAGTCTACTTTTCTTTCTCCTCCTTTATGTGTTTTTTGTTTTTAAAATATTCTTGTGATTGCTTTTCAGTGCTAAGGGTGCTGCTACAGCTAAAGGTTTTTGTAATTGCACAATAGCCACTGGCCCTGTCTCCTTCATAAATTCTCAGATGTAGAGTACGGCCCCACACTAGTTCAATTTCCACACTTGAGATGACAACAAATGATGACTGGCCTCAGAAGATTGTCTCCCAGTGATGACACTTGCAGATTTTGTGTGGTAAACTTTCTCAGACGCCAAGTTAAGACATTTCTCCTGGTCAAAAGATTTTTCTCTGTTGTTACATTCAAAAGGTGTTCCCCAGTATGAGTTCTCTGAATTTGACTGAGGTAAATTCACTCGCAAAAGGTTTCCCCACGTCTCTTCCACTCAGGGCTTTTCCCCAGAGTGAACACTTCAAAGCTGGATGAGGGATGAACAAAATCTGGTGGTGGGTCCACATTCACTATACTGGCAGGGCATCCCATCCAAGTGACTCCTCATATGCTGAGCGAGAGAAGAGCTGTAACAAAAGGCTCTCCAATATTCCTGACACGAAAAGGTTTTCCCCAGTGTGTATCCTGTTAACCCAGGGGGAAAAAACAAAAGGTGAAGGCAAGCCTTTCCACATTCATTGCACTCAAGGTTTCTCTCCGCGAGAACCCTCATGTGATGAGCTTACCTAAAAAAGACAGCTGCCACAAAAGGCTCACCCATGTACTCTAAACTCAAAGGGAATTTGTCTACAGTGAGAAGACGTATTTTGGACAAAAGCAGAACTGTTACAAGACTCTCACATGCTTGGCATTTATGAGGCTTCTCCCCAGAGTGAACCTGCTGGTGCGGCCCGAGGTCCGACTATGGTTGCCAGCCTTCGCTCCCTGGAAACACTCGGCCTCGCTGAGTACAAATCCTCAGGGCTGACTGAGCTCTGCCCTCCTCAGAAAGGCTTTCTCATGTTCACCGCAGTCATGGGGCTGTACTCAAGTATGGCATGACATGCCACTTGTTAGGCTCTTTCCCACCTCCCTCCACTTGTGGAGATCCTTCCCTGCATGACCATAGAAGTGTTATCAGGTCCACCTGAGTTGTTTGTGGAAAGCATGTCCTGGACACTTGCTTTGGTAAATTTCTCCAGTGCAGATTATCATCTGTCCCCACACCATTGTGTTCAGAGCTCATCTTCCTGGGGAGATTCTGCTTGTGGAAAACTGTCACTGGGCTTCCTGTGTTTCTGAGACCTTCACTGTTCCCAGCCTCCCTGCAGTGGGCATCCCTTGAGACTCCCCAAGTGAACTGACCCTGGAGTGAGGCTCCCACCTACAGGAGTGGGCTGAGAAAAGGCTTTATCATCTCAGGTTGTGCTGTCTCATCTAACAGGAATCTGACACACACCAAGACTCGTTAGTGACGACAGCACAGAAAGGCTTCCCACACTTCTCCTGTGCTGCTATGCTCCACTGTGAGGCATCTGGTGCTGGACAAGCCCAGAACTCCGACCCTTCCTGTGAGCGAAGGCCTTCTCTAGCACATGGGATCTGCAGCTCTTCACAAACAAGGCCTGGCCCTTTCCCTTCTAAAGCATTTCTCTCCACACTGCTGCTTTTGCCTCTGATCAAGGCTTACACTGAACCAGAAGTCTCATATGACTCACACGTTGCTGTATGGTTGATGCTCGGTTGGTATCCCTGTGGCTCAGCCAGGTGCAAAGATGTCTTTTAAGACTGGACCATATCATAGGTGTGAGCTTTCTGGCTGGAAGGACCCTAGCCTTGGAGCTCTCATCTGTAACACTTACAGAAATGCCCTGCTCAGAACATGCAGCCTCATCCTCCATTCCATGTCAGCAACCTGGAGGAAGATAAGTCCTGGTGAAGTGCAAGATTAATGTGTGGCAAGCAGCACTCCCTAACAAATGTGGTCTGATACAACCAGGTGTTCGTCCACTGGACTGTGAGCAGAACATGGGAGCTAGAACCAGGATAAGGGTTGGCTGCAGGCTGCAAAGGTCACAGAATAAAGGAGATACCACAGGGGAGAGGATACAAGGATGGAAACAGTGTGAGGAGAGGCATGGTCTCCCAATAAGGCCTTGGTTCCTTGTGACAGGTGACCACTGTGCCAAAGGGTCTGTCCAGGGCCACAAAAATCTGGCTGGAACAGAATACTTAGTCTTCAAGAAAAATGTAAGGATATTTGTACAACGGACACTTTAAACAAAATGCTAGAGAGCACTGCATTGAGTACCAAGAAAAGAACAAATGAGACATAGGACTGGAAGAGGGGGGACTAACAGGTACCTGAGGTCAGGGTATAAATGGCAAGTAAGCAAATTATCAAAAACAGGGGAGAAGCCCTGGCTGGGTGGCACAGTTGTTGGAGCACTGCCCTATATACGAAAAGATTATGGGCTCAATTCCTGGCCAAGTGCATAGGAAAGGCAACTGACTGATGTTTCTCTATCCAATCAATGTTTCTCTCTCTCTCTCCCTTCCTCTCTCTAAAAACATATCCTCAGGTAAGGATTAAAACAAAACAAAAACCCAGGACAGAAAAGTGGGATGAGGTTAGCCACTGAAGTTGGCAGGAAAATACTAGCAGACGCAGCACAGATGGCTGGTAAATGTGAAGCTAGCTTCACTGAGCTGTGAGGTCACTATTCCCACAGCTTCTCATCAGGGCCAGGCCTCCTTCTGGTCTTCTTTGCTGTGCCTGGAGCTGTGTCTACCTTCTCAGGAACCTTGGGCTCTCCTCCGACTCCATGTGGTTAACTACATGAGACCTGGAAACTGCAAGTCCTAAGGGGGGAAAAAAGAGCTGGTGAGTGGCCAGCAGTGACCCAGGGCGACAGGATAAAATTAAATACAGTCGCCCCCACATTTAATGTGGTTAATCCATTCAAGACTCTAGCGGTTGCACCTGGCATTGAAGGATTCCTGGGGTGCTCAAACACATAGGCCTACAGTCCACACATAATTTTAATTTTAATTGTAATACAGGGATGTATAATGATTCAGACAACCAAGTGCACGCTGTATCATTTGCATTGTCTCGATCAACTTTTTAATGAATAAATTTAATAAAACTGCAAAAGAGTGAAGCCATGAAAGTTGAAGCGTGAAGTGGCGAGGGACGACTATATTATAAAAGAATCTTGGAAGAAGCTCTTGCAGGAACAGCTCGCTGTTCTTCAGAAGGAGCGATCATGTAAGGGCCTACAATTCTTCAAACAGTTAGGCCCAGGAAACGTCAGTGAGAGGAAGGGGATAAAACCTAGAAACAGAGAGGCCAGGGATTTAGACAGTCACATCCCAAGGTGTAGCCAAGCCATCTGGGATCTATTGGGTAAACTGCAAGACTCATAACACCCACATTTCAAAGCTTTGGGCAGTAAATGGTGGGGCTACCATGGGAGAGGAGGAGGTGGTGCCCTTTGCCCAGCCTTGGTACTCACACTACATATTTCCAGGCAGTAGGAGTCATGCCTTGATACAACCACAAGACAGAAAGTTTTCCCTCGGGGTGGGGGGTGGGGCGGGAGAACACAACCCAGTCCAGGAAACTGGGAATCCCACCACCCCTGGTATCCATGCTCTTGTTAAGCACCTCAAACTGAGTGTGGGCTGAATCTAAAAGTTTCTCTAATCAACAGAATATGGAAAACATGATGGGACATTACTTCTGAAAAGAGGTTACAAAAATACCTTGGATAATGTCTCATGCTCACGGAAATCAACTACCTTGTCACCTGCTTACGAAGACAACAGGGCAACAAACTGAGGGAGGGCTCTGACTAAGCACCAGCAAGGACCAATTAGCCCAACAGCCTCTTGCTTGTATGCAGGACCTTGAAAGGAGATTCGCCTTCAGCTGAGCCTTTAGCTGAGAAAGGAGCCCTGGACAATGTGACAGCAAGGTCACGAAAGACTGAGCTACAGGTACCCAAGTAGGATATGCCTGATTCTTGAACCACAGAAACTGTGAGATAATATGTGTGTTTTTAACCTCTTAAGCTTTGGAAAATTTGCTACGTAGCAACAGATGACTAAGTCAGGGTCTTACCAAGTGAAGACACAAGTGCAAAGTTCTCCAGCATCACGTCACGGTACAGGCTTCTCTGAGCTTCATCAAGGAGCCCCCATTCCTCCCGGGAGAAGTACACGAACACGTCCTCGAAGGTCACACAGCCCTGCCAGGATGGGGACGGTTGACCCCACAGGCACACAGCACCCCCCCCAGATCTCACTGCTCACACAACCACTCCTGGGTCCCTGTCCTCCCCAGGCTCCCAGCTCGGAGGAGACACCAGGCCTTGGCACCACCAGTGCCTGCTGTCACCTCACATCCCTCTGATCACTGAGTCCAGCCCAGGGCAGAAGCAGGCAGGGGGATGACAGATACAATGTAAACTACGGGTCTGCAATGAAGGGCCCCCAACACTCCCCTGCCAGCCAGTCCTCCTGGTGTGCTGACCCAGGCTTCCCCAACACCTTCATACTAGGGCTCAGCATTCTCCCAGAAGCTCCCGTACTCGGGCTTTAAGGCTGTCAGTTCATACTCCTCCCTGATCTCCCTCCCTCCCGCCTCACGTCCTCGGTCTCCACTCTGCAACCAGAGGGAACACACTGAAGGAAATGTGCATTAAATCACCTCCGTCCTTGGCTCCAAACTTTCACAAGGGAAACTTAGCTCCTCAGGCTGCCATCCCAGGCCTGACTGCCGCCTGCTGCCGTTTGTTCCCTGACCATTCCCAACTCAGCCCCACCTCCAAGGTTCGGCACATGCCTGTTGCCGTGACTGAGGGACCTTCCCAACGTCATGTCATGCATATAACCCGTGGCCTGGACTCGGGACCCTGGGGCAGAAGTGACCCCTCCAGGGACTCGACGACCGAGAACTAGGAGGAGAAAAGACAGCGCCCCAGGACACCGTAACCAGCCTAAGAAGGGGTGAGTGTAAAGGGTGTGACAGGGTGAGACCCTGAGGGTCCCTCCACTCACCTGCGCGGGATTCATCAGCGCTGCCACCCCAACCACGGGGCCGGCTGGGCGGCGAGGGGCCCTGCGGCGCAGGAGACTCGGGCGCGGTCACCTCCTGCGGCGTGTGGCACTACGAGCGTCGCTAAAAAAAACGGCCTCACGCGCTCCCAAGGCCCAGGACGCAGCCTTTGGCGGTTGGTGCGCGCGGGACGGAGCCAGGCGCGGGCGTCACGATCGCACAGGCGCGGGGGCTGCCAGCCACGTCACTCTCCTCCCCTGCTCAGCCCCGCAGGGGCGCCCACGCGCGGCTCTGAGGCCACGTGGCCCTGACCCAACCCGCAACTGCGCGCGGAAAGAAGTGCTCCAGGAACGGGGAGGAAGTCCCGCCCCGTGCCATAGAAACCGCCTCTCTCCCGAGCCATCATTGGCCGAGCGACAGGCAAAAGCGCGGAACATCCGCTTCTCGGTAAAGCGGCCTAGTCCGCCTCTGCGCGCGTGCGCTGTTCCTTTTCAAGCCCGCCCACCGGGGGCGGGGCTAGGACAGACCGGAAATAAAGTACCAGGTTTCCAAACACAGGGGCGGGGCTTCACTTTCTCTTAAAAACACCCTGAGTTCTCCCGCCAGTGTTGCTCAGTGGTTGAGCATTCGCCCAGGCGCCAGGAAGTCGGCGGTTCTATTCCTGGTCATGGCACATGCCCAGGTTGTGGGCCTGATCTCCAGTGAGGGGCACGCAGGAGGCAATGGATGTTCTCTCTCATCTCTGTTTCTCTCTCTCTCCCTCTCCCTCCATCTAAAAAAAGTAAATCAACAAAGTGAAAAAAGAGAAAACACCCAAAGTTCCGTGGGCTTGGAGGCGGTGGCTGTCCTCAGATGAAGTTATTTGCAGGACCTGGGAACCTGTTGAAACCCAAGCTCTGTTACCTCACCCAGACCGAGTGAATCAAACTCATTGGAGGGAGGCGGCACTCAAGTTTGAGGGTCTCGACAGGTACCCTGACAACAATGGGAAATAGAAGACACTCATGGGAATTCACATAAAAAGTGCCTGTCACATAGTGTTCAATAAGTAAAAACTACATTAGTGCCCCCATATGGGTGGTTTTGTTTTTGGCAGTTTGTTACCTGGTCATCTGTATCCGTCAATAACACGTGGAAAAGTCGAGAAATAATTAATAAATTAAACTGCACGAAGAAATCTTGCCCCGTCCTCCTCCAGTTCACTCGACATAAATCATCTTTTTGTCCAACATATCCATATCTCTCTCTGTGTTTAGGAAAAAACATACACGGGGTTCAATAATATCCTTGATTTCAGGCATGGGGGTGTCTTGATTATCCCCTGTGAATAAAGGGGCAAGGGATTACTGTATTCATTTTACTGACATCACAATGCTTTCCCTATACACTGCCCTGGTGGGTGAAATCTAGGATGCTTCTCTGCAGAATCCTTAGCATTACTTAACAAAACAAAAAATACTACTCCCTGACTCAGCAAGTAGTCTCATAAGTTTTGATTAAAAGCTTCACATAAAAGCACAAATTTATACTATTTGGCTTTATTTATTTTTTTTAAATTATTTTTCTTTATTGATGTTACAGAGAGAAGGAAGAGGGATAGAAACATCAATGAGAGAGAACATCAACTGGCTGCCTCCTGCATGACCCCCCACTGGGGATTTGGCCCACAACCTGGGCATGTGCCCAGACCAGGAAATGAACTGGCAACCTCTTGGTACACGGGTGGATGCTCAACCACTGAGCCACACCGGACCGGCTTAGTTATTTCTTTTTTTTCCCCCAAATCTTTATTGTTGGATGTAAAATGTATTACAGATGTTCCACATTTTTCCCCCAGTGACCCCCTCCTCCCTCCTCCCACCCCCCCTCCCACCTTTTCCCACACTATTGTCTGTGTCCATTGGCTATGCATATAAGTTCTTTGGTTTATTTCTTCCCACCCCGCCAACCCCTTTCCCTTTGAGGTTTGTCAGTCTAGCAATGAATTTGTGCTTCTTAATCCCTTCACCTTTTTCACCCATTCCCCCAACCCCCCTCCCAACTGGCAACCAACAAAATGTTCTCTGTATCTATGAGAATGTTTCTGTTCTACCTGTTCATTTTGTTTGTAGATTCCATTGTTGATAGATATGTATTCATTGCCGCTGCTGCGCCGCCCCTCGCGCCTCCGCCCCTCCTACCAGTCTGGAAGTGGCTGCTGCTTTAATTTCGTAGTTGTAGGACTTCCATTCAGCTTGATTTCAGGTGGTTTTGAATGATGGTTGTTCTGTAGTTTAGTTGTAACTTTGATGTGGTTGTGGGAGGACATGATACCGCGTTTACCTATGCCGCCATCTTGACCGGAAGTTTAGTTATTTCTTAAAGAGCAGAGCAAGAGGGTTTCTTAACCTACAGGGAGGCATGTTGCCCAAGACATGCATTACTGCAGGCCACACAATTAGAATCTTGGGAACAGGATTAACTGCTCTCAGGCCTAAGTGGAGTGGTGTTAACATGGTTTTGTTTGTGACATGAGATGACATCATCTTGTTCATAGTAACCTTCCTCTTCACTTCTTCTTCCCTTCTGACCCTCAGGGCAGGTAGACCCAGGTACAAATATGTGATCATGAGCTGGCCCAGCTGAGACTTCAGGTCATCAGATCCTGTCATCAAAACACCATCACTATCAGTCCATCACCTGAACCTGAAGCCCCTCCAAAAGTGCCAAATCTTGGGGAGATGTAGAAACCTAGAAACACTGAGAATATCTCCCAGAATGGTGCACAAATGCAAGAAAAATTAAGAGATAATTTCAGTCATTTCTGTCAACATTCAATTATCTGCAACTCATTCACATGGTCCCAAATTAGGTGTGAGGAAAGGTAGGGCATGCTGTTTTAACAGGTGTCCAGAAAAAGAAAATTGGCATTGGTAAGCATCCAGCCAGTTTGTCGCAAACATCGGTTTGCTCACCAAATGTATATTTTATTATTCTCCCTATGCATTCTACACTGTCACCTAGCAACTCAAAACTCCTATAGTTACTGAGTTCATCTCTCTATTAACAATCTCTAGGGTGTGTTGTCCTTTGTATCAGGTTCAAATACTTTTCCTTACCACCAGTAAACTATCAACACAAATTATCTCCACCCACACCCAATATATAGTGGGTGAAGGGCACAGTGGAAGGGCTTTACTGAAGATGTCAAAGAAATCATCCCCAACATAGATTTCTATATTCAACACTAAGAAAGAACATGAAATAAGACTATATGTGGTCAAAACCAAAAAATGTAATAGGAAACTAACAGAAAATGAATACTAAAGGTTACATTCATTTAAGGTAAAAGAAACTGGATCCAGGTGAAAGGTCTGCAGCAATAGCAGTAATAAAGATCCAAGATAAGGTATCTGGGGATTAATACAACTGTTCATTATCTGTATAAAACAGTATAATAAGCAATCCTTAATAATATCCCTTTATTTTGTGTAATATGAAGGTAGATATATTAACTCTGAGCTCATTTATGTCAAAGTGTTATAATTTTAGCTTAAACATTAATAAAATAGGAGTAAATTCACTCCCAACTAAAAGCCAAGTTTAGAATGTAAATAATTTATACAAATTTTTAAAAAGTTTTTAATCCTCACCAGAGGATATTTTTCTATTTATTTTTAGATAGAGTGGGAGGGAAAGGGAGAGAGAAACATCAATGTGAGAGGGACATGTCCACTGGTTGCCTCCTGCATGACACCAACCAGGGCCAAGGAGGTATGTGCCCTTGGCCGGAACTGAACTCACGACTCATTGGTCTGCAGGCCGACACTCTACCACTGAGCCAAACCGGCCAAGGCTATATACATTTTTTAAGTACAAGAAATAGAACTGAAGCAAAGATAAGCACAAAATAAGATGTATTCAAACACAAATATACCAGCTATCACATGAAATGTTTGAATTAGTAGTAACTTTGGTAGGTTGAAAAATATATCCGGCAATATTGTTTATAAGTCACATTTCTAAGACATAACCTTACAGAAATAGAAGAAGTAACACCAAGTTACAAAATCTCATCCAGAAAAAAAGGAAAAGAAGAGGAAGGAGGAACACTTCCCAGTTTGGAGGACAGTATTACTCAGACACCAACACTAGTACAAAAAAATTAAACTATAGACCAACATGCTCATGATTCCTCAACAAAATACTAGCAAACAGAATACTGTAATATAGATACAATAAAATAATTATATTCCATGACTTCATGGAGTTTATTGCAGAAATGCAAGGCTGGTTTGACATTCAAAAACCAGTCAAAGCAAGCCATCATATCAATAGACTACAGAAGAAAATTCATATGATCACATCAATTGAAGGAGAAAAACATTTGACAAAATTCAATACCTGTCCACCATGAAAGCTCTTAGCAAATCTTTATGAAAACCTACAGCTATCATCGTATTTAATGGTCAACATTAATGCCCTAACACTAAGAAAAAGGCAAGTATGTTCTCTTCCACTACTTCTATTCAACACCATACTGGAAGTTCTATGTGGTACAATAAAGATGATAAAAGGAAATGAAAGGGCCACAGATTAGGAAAATAATTAAGATGTTTGCTATTTGCTGATAACATACTGTTTATGAAAAAAATCTTGAAAAACCCGTCTCCCCCAAAAGCTGCTAGAATTTATAAGTGAATTCAACAAGGTCACAATATACAAGGCTAACATAAAAATATCTTTCTATAATAGTATGTGTAAAGTGAAATTAACTCAATATCACGACACACCAAAAAAGAACCTACATAAAAATCTAACAATATTGCAGAATCTGTAGGCTGACAGTTACAAAACAATGATGAAATAAATCAAAGAGGATCTATATAAATGGCGAGACATACCATGTTCATGGACTGGAAGACCCAACATAACAAAGATTCCAAATCTCACCAAAATGACCTACAGATTAATTTCTGCCAAAGTCCCAGCAAGATGTTTTGTAAATATAGACAAGAACATGAGTAAATTTTAGTGGGAAGACAAAGGAAAAAAATGATATGGAAAGTTAAATCAATTTTTTTAAAAGAACAAAAAAGAATCACTTTACCCCATTTTAAGATCTAGTGATAGGCACACTAATCAAGATAGTGTAGTACTTGGCAGGGGTTAATACACAGACCAATGGGATAATATAAAGAACTCAGAAATTGACCAGCATAGATATGTCCAATTGATTTTTGTTTGTTAAATAAGGATTCTTGTTAGCTTTATTGTCTACTGCCAACTGATTTTTTTTTTTTTTTTGTACGTGCCCCTAGTGGGAACCAAACCCAGGACTCTCTGGTCCACAGGCCGAGGCTCCAACCGCTGAGCCAAACCAGCCAGGGCTCCAACTGATTTTTTACTAAGATGTAAATGCAATTCAATGAAGGCAAGATAGTCTTTCCAAGAAATGGTGCTGGAAAAACAGAACATACTTAGGTAAAAACATGAGAAATTCAACCTAAACTTCACAGGATAATACAAAAATTAACTCAACATGGATCAGAGATTTAAATGTAAAAGTAAAGCTATAAAACTTTTAGAAGAAAATACTCAGGACCTAGCGCTTGCTGAAGACTTCTTAGACATGACATGAAAAGGATGAAGAGAGGCCTTTGCAATAATGCCATTAATCAATACATCATAAATGGCTTGACCTACAATGGCAAAACAAATTACATGGTCACTTAAAAGGCCCTGAGGAGGGTTCAAAGTGAACACACGATTACTTTTATATCTTTCTGTACAACATCTTTCTTAACGTGAGGTAATACTATCACATCTGGTTTTTAAAAGATGCCAAAGGAGAAATTCCAAAATACCCTGATAAAAGGTACTAATCATTAGTCTTTATAGCAGGAGTAACCCCATGGTGACAACAGTGAAACTCACACATACCTGCATGTACACATGCCCACTTTGTGTTAATATTCTAGTCAATTTATCTGACAGTGAATCTTCACACAATCTTTTGTAAGATTAAAAATGAGATGCATTCTCTGTGTTTTTCTTGACTTTATCATTATTCTTTAACTTAATTCAGCCATGTGCTTTATTATATTTTGGCTGTAATTCAACCCCAGAAAACTGATGAGGTAGAAGCCTCTGTAAGAAAGAATGCAGAAGCTCAGAAATCACAATCAGAGTGTATAATTAGGATCCACTTGGGGAGGTTACACAGTGACACTGTTATCCTTACCCCACAGAAAAATATTTTTAAAAAAATAATAATAAACAAGATCAAGATGAAGAATGAGGTTCGGGTGGTTTAAAACATAAAGAAGTATCTATTTTTAAAATTCAAATTCATACATACATCTTTCTTTTTAATGTTTTAATGTTTTTGTTTGTCATTTACAACAGGAAATTCAACAGTCTCAGAGGGTTCTTCTGTATCATGCATATATCTTTATCGCCTAAAAAGATCTCATTACTTAAGCATTCTTATTTCTTCTCACGGGTAGAGACAATGTTACAGAATAAAAGCTTTCAATCAATTGTTTTCAGATATACCCTCAATTGTCTAACTCATCTGATGTTGGACGGAAGTGAACATGTACATAAAACAAGTAAGGGAATAAGGCTCTCTGAAACAACCCTCCCCATGCCCCATATAAAGGAAGGAAGGGATGACAAACTGCCATAGCCTTGTCACAAAAATCTGAAAGAAGCTGTTTGCATTTGTCTTTTCAATTCTATGTCTCCTCTTGCTTTGTTTAAATATCCCTGAGATAATTTTGCAGTGTAAATTAGGGAGAAAGATGTGGCTGAAGGTTTTGCTAAGAGCACAGTAAAGAGCGGGTCACTCTCCTGAATGAATTCTCAGATGCAGAATGATATTCTAGGATGAGTCATTTCTAACATGATTCGTTAGATAACAATTGATATCCTGCAATAGGTTTTCTCACAGGGAAGAAAACTGGGCAGGGGTTCTCTTTGGTATAAATGATCAGATTCTGGCATAAGATTTTCCACAATGTTTTACATTCAAAGTCTTTTCCCAACAGGAGTTCTTAGAGGTTGACTGAGGATTGTCCACTTGGGAAGGGTCTTCCCACTTCTGTTCTACTGACAGGGTTTCGCCCAGAATGAACTCTTTGATGCTGAGTGAGAGATGAGCTGCGACCAAAGGCCTTCCCACACTCCCTGCATTCATAAGGCTTCTCTCCAGTGTGGATGACAGAGTGTCTGATGAGGCTTGTGCTCCAGCAGAAGGTTTTCCCACACTCAATGCACTCATAGGGCTTCTCTCCACTGTGAATCCGCTGGTGCCTCGTGAGGCCTGACCTGCGGTTAAAGGCCTTCCCACACTCACTGCACTCATAGGGCTTCTCTCCAGCATGGATGCTGATGTGTCGAATGAGGTCTTTCCTAGTGCTGAAGGCTTTCTCACATTCTTTACACTCAAAAGGTTTTTCTCCAATATGGGCCCTCTTATGCAAGATAAAAGTATAGCAGTAGGTGAAGGCCTTACCACATTCAGTGCACACAAAAGGCTTCTCCCCGGTGTGGATAATAGTATGTCGAATGAGGTTTGCCCTTTGGCAAAAGGCTTTGCCACACTCCATGCATTCATAGGGCTTCTCTCCACTATGAATCCGCTGGTGTCTCGTGAGATATGACCTGCGGTTAAAGGCCTTCCCACACTCATTACACTCATAGGGCTTCTCTTCAGTGTGGATGCTGAAGTGCCGAATGAGGTCTGACCGATTGCTAAAGGCTTTCCCACATTCTTTGCACTCATAGGGTTTTTCTCCAGTGTGGGCCCTCTTATGCAAGATAAAAGTGGAGCAGTGGGTGAAGGCCTTTCCACACTCACCACACACATACGGTTTCTCTCCAGTGTGACTCCGCTGGTGCTGCTTGAGGTGTGACCTGCGGTAGAAGGCCTTCCCACACTCTAGGCACTTATACGGCTTCTCTCCAGTGTGGATGACATAGTGCTGAATGAGGTCTGTGCTGTCGCAAAAGGCCTTTCCACATTCCTTGCATTCAAAGGGTCTCAGGCCGCTGTGAATTTGCTGGTGCCACGTGAGGTGTGACCTGCGGTTGAAGGCCTTCCCACACTCCATGCACACGAAGGGCTTTTCTCCCGTGTGTATGATGTAGTGTCGAAGAAAACCAGTCTTATCGCGGAAGGCTTTCCCACATTCTTTGCACACAAAGGGTTTCTCTCCAGTGTGGCTCCTGTTATGCAGGACCAAATTGGAACGGTGGGTGAAGGCCTTCCCACAATCGCTGCACACATAGGGCTTCTCCCCGGTGTGAATCCGCTGGTGCCTGGTGAGGTGTGACCGGCGGTTGAAGGCCTTTCCACACTGCAGGCACTCATAGGGCCTCTCCCCTGTGTGGATCATGTGGTGCTGCAGGAGGTGGGTGCTCTTGCTAAAGGTCTTCCCACACTCTGTACATTCATAGGGCTTCACTCCAGTGTGAATCTGCTTATGTCGAACCAGGAAGCATTTCTTGTTGAACACTTTGCCACATTCCTCACACTTGTAGAGTTGTTTCCCTTCAGGAATAGAGGGACCTTTCGCTGGTCTGCATGAATCTTGTGCACAGAGAGCATCTCCTGAAGACAATGGCTCCTGGACAGTCCTGGAGTGCAGACCATAGTCTCTCCCTAAAGTGTCACATTCAGGTCTCTGTTTCCCAGGGAGCTTTTCCCTCGTGGATGCCATCCCTGGTCTTGGGCAGCCTTCCTGAACTTCTGATGGCCCATCCTGGTCTTTGCCTTGCCAGACTTGGGAAGCCCCTGAGACTCGCTCAGTCAGTTGTTCCTGGGATGAGATGTCCTCAGACAAGGCCTGGTGGGAAGGGGGAGGGTCTGTAGTCTTGGGTTTTGTGCTGTCACCTGAAGGGAATTCGGAATTCAATACACAAAAGGGGTTATTAATGATGAAAACACAGAAGAAATAAAATCACCCTTTCAGTGAGAGCAGGGAGACAAAAATAGTGGTCTGTACCTGCTGTGCTTTCAAATCTGAAACCAAATTTGTGTTGTTGTTTTCTTTCTAAGAAACCATTCTTTTTCTTAAATCCTCACCTGAGGACATTTTTGCATTTATCTCCAGATAGAGGGGGAGGGAGAGAGGGAGGAAGAGAAAGAGAGAAACATTGATGTGTGAGAGACACATCAACTGGTTACCACCCACATGATCCCACCTGGGGCCAGGGACAAACTGCAACTGAGGTACATGCCCTTAGCAGGAACTGAACCTGAGTCTCTCTGGTCCGCGGGCCGATGCTCTCACCGCTGAGCCAAACCAGCCAGGGCCCATTCTCTTTTTTATATTTTATTTTAAAGAGAAAGGAAGAGGGAGATAAAAACTTGATGAGAGAAACATTGATTGGCTGTCTCCTGCATGCCCCCTACTGGGGGGTCAAACCTAAACTTGGGCATGTGTCCTGACCGAGAATTAAACCAGTGACCTCTTGGTGCCTAGAATGATGTTCAACCTACGGAGCCATACTGTCTGGAACCAAATCTGTGTTTTGGTTCTTGGACTCTTGAAACCTTTAAAAGGAAGACCTGGAGGGAAAGGACAGATGGGGGACAGAGTGTCTGGAGACCAGTGGTAGGTAAAGAGTAATGAAGACGCTGCATGTGGTGAGTTTGTTTGAAGCAAGAACATCTCAAGGGGCTACAAGAGGCCAGCAAAGGGGCATCTCCACAGCCTACAAGGGAGTCAGGAAGGACAGGGAAGCTTCCTAGACAGGATGCCTTATGAGCCGAGTCCTGTGGGTGTGGTAGAAGTGGCTTTACAGAGAAAGTGGGAAGCTCACCTCAGCCTCAGAATATAGAATGAGCAAAGCCAGTTCTCCCAGAATCAGAGAGCAAAAATACTTGAGAGGATGGAGATTGGTGAGAGTGGAGCCCACATATAGGATTATTGTCCTTACAAGAAGGGACACAGGTAGAGCTAGCTTCTCTCTGCCATGTGAGGACAGAACAAGAATAGACCATCTGCAAACCAGAAGGTGGGCCCTCACCAGCACTTTGATCTTGGACTTACCAGCCTCTAGAACTGTCTGTGGCATTCTTATTATAACAGCTCAGACTAAGACAGTGGGGTACAAGTAATGTTCTCACTCTTTTTTTATCCTCACCCGAGGATATTTTTCCATTTTTTGTACAGATAGAGTGGGAGGGAGAGAGAGGAAGGGAGAGAGAGTGAGAAACATCGACGTGAAGGGACACATCGAGTGGCTGCCACCCGCACGACCAACCAGGGCCGGGGACAAACTGCAACCGAAGTACGTGCCCTTAGCGGGAACCGAACCCAGGTCTCTCCGGACTGCAGGCCGACGCTCTAACCGCTGAGCCAAACTGGCCAGGGCTGTTCTCACTCTTGAGTTTGCCGACGTTAAGTGTATTATGTAAAAAAAAATGAATGAGCAAATAAATAATTTAATTAACACATCAATCAATCAATCAAGATCCTTCATGAATCAGGGATGACGATGTGTCATAAACCAAGGTTTATGATTAACTGAACTCCATACCTGAGGTCCACTCAATGAAAGTTAAAGGTCACATGGGGGCTGTGGTTAAGCTCATGGTCTCTGACCACAAAAACCCTAAACTCAAATTCCAGAAGAACTCAGTATTAGCTTTGTGACACCTGGCAAGGTACTTAAATTCCACAAGCCTTCAGTTTCTCTCTTAAATAATAAAGCTAAAAATAGAGCCTGCCTTGTAGGACTAGGAGGATATATGCAGTAAAACACTACACATACCATGTTCAGTATGGTGCCAGACAACAGGCAAAAAAAAATATCAAAGCATGTTAGTGTTTATCTTATTTTATTTTTTCTGCTCACCTGAGGATATGTTTATTGATTTCAGAGAGAGTAAGGGAGAGGGGGAAAGATAGGGAGAAACATAGATGTGGGAGAGAAACATCAATTGGTTGTCTTCCATATGCGCCCTGATAGGGGATTAAACCGCAATCTAGGCATGTCCTGACTGGGAATCAAACCCACAAACTTTTGGTGTATGGGACAGTACTCCAACCAAACGAGCCACCTGGCCAGGGCTAGCTTCTATTTATTATGAGGTAGTCACATAATGTAATTCTGGACCTAAACAGGAACATGAAAGAGTGTGTGGATTAACCCTGGAGAGTACGTATTTAAAAGTAGAAAGAATGGGTCATGAGATGTCTGATGAACCAACATGAGAGTGGCGACGAGAGTAACAAGAGAATGAAGATCCAGTGAGAACAGGGGCAAAGACTCCAAGAGGGTCAGACGCTCGAGCCCGGTACCATCTGAAAGTCTGTGCTGCCCCAGGAGCTCACGTGGCATGGGGCCTAGCAGTGTCGGTTCTGGAGCCAGAACACCGGCTCAAATCCTGCCTGTGTGGAGTCGGCGGGTAATGGACAAATTTCTTAGCTATTGTGTCTCAATTCCTTTCCTGGAAGACAGGGAGACTCCATTTCTGTCTCACAGTCTGTCATGAGGGTTAAGTGAGAAGATGCCTGTGGAGCAGGGCGCAAGTGCCCGACGCTGTGGGAGCATTCAGTAACTGTGGGCCATGCTGTACTTGAAAATGGAGCAAAGCTGTGACCGTGGAAAGAGCAGCTCCAGTGCTGTGGTTGGTACGGAGGAACCTCCTATGAGGCCTTAAAGAGTACAGGTAATGACGTTACCAAGTGCGGTTGAGGACGGAGAGCGACGGATGCGGTCACGTGCAATTGGTAGGAATGTGAGAGGGTGCAGCCACTCTACCGAACAGTCTGGCATTTCCGTGAAAGCTGAATACACCCCTCCCTCATAACCTCTGCCCATGCCAGTACAGCTTCATCACAGAAATCAGGGCTTACATGTACCAGAGAACGTAACAAGAGTGTTCTCTGCAGCATTAAGTTGTGAACAACAGGAATGCCCGTCAGGAGAATGGATAAGGGAATGGCAGTCTTTCACAGGGAGATAACACACGTGTGTGTGGAGAGGGAACAAACTCCAACCACATGCGACCACAGGAGAGGACTCTCACAGACATGACGACGATGACAAACATGACAGATATGACAGCAGCACATGGTAAGGTTCAACAGTCAACACTAACCTATGCTGAGAGTCTAGGCAGGGTTACCCAGCAGAAAGGGATATTGAGATTGTGAGCCCTGATAAGGTGCTGGAGATAGTCTGTCGACCGAGGTGGAGATTACGAGGGTTTATATGTATGCCAAATTTTTTTTCACAACGCAGCATAGGAGTCATGCCTACTTCAAAAAGTACAAGAAATCATCCTGGCCTGACGGTTCACCTGGTTAGAGCATCATCCCAATACACCAAGGTTGCAGATTCAAGTCCTGATCAGGGCACATATAAGAGTCAACCAACAAATGCTTAAATAAATGGAACAAAAAAGCTCTCCCTCTCCCCATTTCTCTCTAAAATCAATAAATAAAAATGAGAAGTACGAGAAATCATAGTGAGTGGTAGGCATGAAATCCAAGTGTAGACATCTCTCGTACGGATAGACAACTTCTCCAAGCACAGAGAGCGTATGCGGAAGTTGAGCCCATGCCGGTGTCAAGCCTTTTTATTTACTCTCGGCACATTTTAGTCACCTTCCCCTAGGGTGAGCCCTGAGAATATTTTTATGCTCGGTAGAGAAGGGATCAAGTTACAGATGAGGCAGAAAAGTGAAGAGGCAGGTTCCTGAGAAAGTGTGATCTAGACTCTGGGGTAGGAAGTGGCCGTGGTTGGGCAAGACCTCCCCCAGGCAGGTGAGAAGGGAAGCTATGCACAGGAGATTTCGATTTAGAAGCAACAGAGGACTGACTATTTTGTACATGAAACCGCTGAGACAGTAGCACAGGATGAGCTCACACAGCCTTCCCAGGGCCAGAAGGCTACAGTGTGTCGAGCTCGCTCTAAGCCCAGGAGCTGGAGCCAAGAACACAAATGTACTTAATAGACCCTCCAACGCCCCCCAGGGATGGTGAAAAGTGTGACAGGGATGGAGGGGGGAGAAAGAAGGACTGCAGGTTAAAGCTCCATGGATCACAAGCTCCAGGTCATGAGAAAATTCCTACAAATGCCAGAGGCAGTGGTCACCTCGCTGTCAGCAAGTGGTTGTGAATCCCACCTGGCTAGCTGTTAGCACCCACCTGAGCAGGAGCTTGGGGAGAGTCCTCCCTTCCACGTCTGTAACTCTGGACTGTGCTCCAACGGGGAGATCAGTTCTGGTTTCGACAAAGAACAGCCTGTTCACAAGAAGAGAAAGAGGAAATGGGGATTTAGGTGAGAAGGAAGAAAACCTCTCATTCTAGGCAGGACTTCAGGATGTGAAGGAGACCTCGACTCGAAGCTGCTCCCATCTGCACAAATAAAGTGCTGCGACCTGGAAACCAACTCAAAAACACCATCCTCGGGCCTGAACACTGGAGACGTCAGCTGGCTGCGGACACAGCACCAGTGCCCTTTGATTTCTATCCTAGTTTGCCAGGACGTATTTCCTGAAGATATTTTCTAATTAAGCATCAGCAACAACTGGGGCACCAGGCTGCCACCACAGACCAAGTCAAACAATTGGTCTGGGGGGAGAGGAGGAATAAATACTGAGAAACACTTGTTAAGTCACAGTCCAGAGGCTCCCAGAAAACTGAGATGTAATCACAGGATCTAGAACACTCTGCCTCCCCACACCTCGCCACTACATCTCTAAAGGCCTATTTATTTCGGTTACTTTTACCTAGTACATCATGTCCAACTATACAGAATAAAGGCTAAAAGGCAAAAAAAAAAAATTAAAGAGATAAGAACAAGCATCAGAAACAGATATGCCGGGGTGTTGGAATTATCAGATCAGAAATTTAGTGACAATGATTAATATGCTAAAGGACTGCCCTGGCCAGTTTGGCTCAGTGGTCAGAGTGGCAGCCTTTGGACCGAAGGGTCACAGGTTCGATTCTAGTTAAGGGCACGTACCTGGGTTGTAGGTTTGATTCTAAGCCCGGGTCAGAGTCATGCAGGAGGCAACCAGTTGATGTGTCTCACTCGATGTTTCTCTCTCTCTCTCTCTTTCCCTCCTCCTCCCTCTATCTATTTTACTCAACCTAAAAAAATCAATGGAAAAATATCCTCAGGTGAGGATTAACAAAACAACAACAACAAAAAGACCTTTCATTCAGAAACAAGGGGTCTTCATTGATCTGTCTTTTTTTAGGTCCCAAGCAAAATGTTGTACTATTCTTCCTTTTCATGAAAAATTCCATTTGAGGGTTTCCGTACAGCATCCACATAAAGTACACACTGTGCTCAGCACCGTTTCATAGATGAAGAAACCAAGACTCAGGCAGATAAAGTGATTTGTTGACACAAAATGATGAATGGCTGAGCTGAGATGGAAACCAGGGTCTAGCCATCTCCGGCATCTGGCCTATTTAACTACAAAGCTACGCAACACTGTTCTAGAAAATGCCGAGTTCAAGTGTGAGAATGATGACCAGAATAATGAGGACAATGAGATCATTCAGCATAGGGACAGCAGGACGGGCCACAACTGCTAAACTGGCACACAGCAAGGTATCACCAAGCATTGTTCTAAGACATTTACCCTCCCAACAGCCCTGTGAAATAAACATTACCTAATTTTACCTATGAGATAATAGACACAGAGGGGTTCAGTATCTTGTCCAGGAACATGCAGCTCCTAAGTAACAGAGCAGGGCCCTGGCCAGTGTGGCTCAGTAGGCTGGGCATTGTCCTGTGCACCGAAAGGTTGCAGGTTCGATTCCCAGTCAGGGCACATGCCTGGGTTGCGTACTCTATCCCCAGTACGGGGTGTGAAGGAGACAATCGATCAATGTTTCACTCTAACATTGATGTTTCTCTCTCTCCCTCTCCCTTCCTCTCTCTCTAAAAATCAATAAATTCTTTTTTTTTTCCCCTTTATTGATTTTAGAGAGAGAGGAAGGGAGAGGGAGAGGGAGAGGGAGAGAGAGATAGAAACATCAATGAGAGGAAATATTGATTGGCCACCTCCTGCATGTCCCCCACCAGGGATCGAGCCCATAACCTGGGCATGTGTCCTTACTGGGAATCCAACCGGCAACCTCTTGGTGCATGGGTTGATGCTCAACCACTGAGCCACACAGGCCGGACAAAAACCAATAAATTCTTAAAAAAAAAAAAAAAGTAGCAGAGCAGGGACCGGACACCAAGGGTTAGGCACCAGACCCTCATCTTCCAAGTGCTATACTAATCAGGAAATGGCGAACACTCCTGTATGGGGCCCATAGGCTCACACCAAGTAGTCTGTGGTGGTGAGAGGGAGATGTGAATGGGAGAATTCAATTCTCAAGAAACAGGGGCCAGAGGGAAAGGCAGACTTGGGGAGGCCAGACTTCAGTATTTCATGACCACTAGAAATAAAGATCGGGAATTCAATGCGTCGGCCCTGGAGAGCATGGTCTGGGTGACCACTTCCTTCTGCAAATAGCTGTGGCAGAAAAAGCCACTGTGAAAAGACAGTGACAGGACTCGACCCATAAAGAGAAGCCAGGAGAAGAGACCAAGAAGCCAGGACATGATTATGCTTCTCTAAGTTCCCATGTCAGTCCCTCAAATTGCCCAGCTGGAACGCCTGGCTTCTGTGAGACACCCCCACTTCCTCCCAATACATCCTTATCCTTTGGCTGTGACCAAAGGCAAACTATGCATTTTGCCCAACCCTCCCTGAGATAGAAGGAGACCAGGCAGAAAGAGGAAAGTCCAGAAAATGACTGAAGCTGTGGGGAGGAGGGAAGGCAGACTACAGAGGCCTTCTTGACAAGCCAGGCCTGGAGCCAGAGGACAGAGTGAAGGCAGAGTTGGGGAGGACCTACCCAGAGACACCAGGAGCCTGCAGGTCTCCAGCATCACCTCCTGGTACAGGGTTCTCTGGGCAGGGTCCAGCTGCCCCCACTCCTCCTGGGTGAAAGTCACGGCCACATCCTCGAAGGTCACGGGCATCTACAAAGTCAAATAGCGGCAGCAGTGTTGGTCTTGGGCTGCTGGATGGAATCAGAGATGTCTTTTTTATTGTTGTTAATCCTCACCTGAAGATATTTTATCCACTGATTTTTGGAGAGAATGAAAGTGAGGGAGGAAGGGAGGTGGGAGGAGAGAGAGAGAAACATAGATATGAGAGAGTCACATCGATTGACTGCCTCCTGCACACACCCTGACTGGGACTGGGGATGGAACCTGTAACCTAGATACATGCCCTCAACTGTGAATCGAACCTGTGACCTTGTGGTGTGTGGGCAGACACTAACCATTGAACCACATCTGCCAGGGCAGATCAGTTATGTCTTGATGGAAGGTGCAGAGATCAAACACGTCCTGAGGGCAAAGCTCTGTGCTGCGCTCCAGGAGGCAGACATTGCTTTGCACTGATGACAACAGAGTAGGAAACAGAAGCCTCCTATGTAGAGCCACTGGAGAAAGACTCCTTTGTGGACCGTGAGGCACAGAATGGTAAGGAGTCTAAGATATCAGAGCAATTGGAATAAATACTAAGGATGAGAACAATACTAATAATAATTAATGACCACACTTAAGACTCACTGGTCCTCACTGTGCCCGCCTTGTGCTGAGGGTTTTACCTGTTGTGTAAAAGTGACTGGAAGTCCCCAGCTCAAAAGTCATGCTGAGATGTAAATCTAAAATCTTAAAAACAACACTTGCCTGATGTGTGAACATGGGGACACTTCATTTCTCAGAACCTCAATTTCTCAATCAATACAATAAATATCACTCAGCAACAACAGTAATAAGAATTACAAATGTAGCCCAGACCTGGCAGGTGTGGCTCAGTTAGCTGAGCATTGTCCCATGCACCAAAACATAGCCGGTTCAATTTCCAGTCAGGGCACATGCCCAGGTTGTAGGCTCAATCCCCAGTGGGGGTATGCAGAGGCAACCAATCGTTATTTCCCTCTCTCTCTCTCTCTCTCTCTCTCTCTCTCTCTCTCTCTCTCTCTCCTTTCCTCTCTGTATAAAATCAATAAAAACATATTCAAAAATAAAATTTGGCCCTGGCCAGTTTGGTTCAGTGGTTGGAGCATCGGCCTGTGGACCAGAGAGTCCCAGGTTTGGTTCCTGATAGGGGCATGTACCCAAAAAAACAAGAAAAGAAAAAAAATTGCCCTGGCTAGTGTTGTTCAGTGGTTAGAAAGTCAGCCAGTGCACCAAAGGGTTGTGGGTTTGATTCCTGGTAAATGGCACGTGCCTGGGTTGCAGGTCTGAACCCTGGCCCCAGTCAGTGTGAGTGCAGGAGGCCATCAATTGATGTGTCTCTCTCACATCGATGTTTCTCTCTCTCTGTCTCTCCTCCTCCCTTCCTCCCTTCTACTCTCTATAAAAAATCAAAAGAAAAAATATCCTTGGGTGAGGATTAACAACAAAACATATATATAAATAAATAAACATAAATATATTAAATATATATGTATATAAATATATATCAAAATATATATAAATATACACTGGGGTGACTGGCCATCGCCCATGAGGTCAACACCATCATCATCTTCATGCCAGCCAGAGACCTGAGTTCCAGGGAGCTCTACCAGTTCACCCAAAGTTTACATGTGTCATGAGCAGAGGCAGAATTTGAACCCAGGCCCCTCTGGTCTAGGATATGATTCCGTAACGCTGACTGATGCTCTTCCATTACCAGAGCGAAACTACTACAGTAGTTTTTTCCCACGAATATGGGAAGCATTTCAAATAAATTTCTCAGTTACATTAATCTCAACCACTGCAAAAAATATTTCTGTGGACATGGACAGCGGGGCAAACTCATTATGACCCACCTCACAGGAGCACCACCTGAGGTGGGAAGTGGCAGGACCAGCTTCCACTGTCTTCTGCACCTTGGCAGGTCTCAGGGAGAATCCTCAATGAGCCACCATTTCTTTATCCTACCTGAGTCCCGACAGCATGTATCCCTGAGGAAAGAATACTTCAGGACCAGGGAAGGAGCTGCCAAGGACAATGCGGTGCATGGGAGCCATGGATCCAAAAGAGAACAAGGTATGTCTTGGCTGAGTAGGATGGAACATTCAGCAAATGACCACACAGTCTGGCCCTCCCAGGACATGTCTCAGCAGATGGTGGGCGGGGAGAGGGGGGACCATGGCAACCTTGCAGGTCCAATGGAAAACTTTAAATCTATATATATATCTATATATATATGTATATATATATATATACTTTCTTTCTGTCCACACACTTCCACCTGCTGAAATGTCATGTCACCCATTCATGGCCAAGATCACCCACTGGAAAATATCCCACTCAGTTTGCAAAGTTTACTTTGGGTGTCAGCTGCAGGCCTCCCTATCCACTATTCCTAGAGAAGAGGGTAAAAATACAGGCTGTGGTGGTCAACATACTGGATGTTATTTTTATTTACTTATTTATTTATTTATTTGATTTAGAGAGAGAGAGAGAAAAACATAGATTTGCTCTTCCACTTATTTATGCATTTGTCGGTTGTTTCTTGTATGTGCCCTGAGGAGAGATTGAGCCCCAAACCGTGGCATATCTGGACAATGCTGTAATCGTGAAATACCAGGCTAGGGCTGGTTGATAGTTTCTGCTACTTAAAGACCTCAGTGAACTTTAGCAGGTAACGGAACCTCTCTGAGCCTCAACCAGTGCTAATAATAGACCTCAGCTCTGAGCAATTTAAGATGAAATGAGATGATATATTATGCCTGCCTGTCAGCCCACAGCAAGGACTCAATGATTTTTGGTTTTCTCTTTGCTCCCACATCTCAGACAAATTCAACCAAGACACACTTATTGAATGTGGCCAGGTTTCCTACACAAAAATAAGGTTTCGGAGTTGAAATCTGGTCAGGGCACATACAGGAGGCAACCAGTGAATACATAAATAAACAAAACAACAAATCGACGTATGTATCTCTCCCTCCCTTCCTTTCTCTCTCTCTCTCTAAAAAAAAAAAAGAAGTGCCAGAAAGGCCCAGCAAAGACACAGGGACAGTCTCCAGACAAAGGACAGTGCAAGGCAAAAGCCTCGGGATGGAAGATAACGGGGTACGGTCAGGCTGATGCACCTGCACAAAAGTGGCCCGGGGTGGGGGGGGGAGAAGCGAAGGTCAGAGGTCAGAGGTCCGCCAGGCATGGGGTCCAAACCTGCTAATCACGCTGGCGGCAGGATTTACCAGTGTGATGGGAGCCCTGGGAAGGAAACAACATTCGTCCTTCACGCACTGACGGCAAACGCGTCACAGACGCGACACTATTATAAATAAACGACAAGGGCAAAGAGGAGTCCAGTGGCCGCCCCTGTGCCCAGGGGCCCTCTCCGAACCGACAGTACTCAAACCATCGTCCACTCACCCGCGCCGGGTCCACCCACGCCGCCATCATGGGACCCCTGTGGACAAAGCGGGGTCCGGAGAGGAGGACACCCCTACCCTGTCAAGAGCGGGGTGACCTCGGCTGGCGGTCGCACTCCGAGCTCAGTTTCCCCATATAAGGTGCACACGAGACCCAGGGAGTCGCTTCAGGGCTGCGGGGACCGAGGTCAGGGCCCCCGCGGGCGCTCACGGGGCGCCCCTCCCCTGCCCCAGCCCAGAGAAATCACCCGACCCATCACTCTCGATCACACAGCAGGGGAATGGCGACTGGGCACAGGCAGATGACGTTTCATAGAAAGGGCCGGAAGTCCCGCCTTCACCCGCGCGGGCCGCAGGAAGCGATGCTATCCTGGGCCGTGATTGGTCCAGCGGCGCGCAGCCTCCTGGGTTTTGTAGTTTTGCCCTATCAAACAACCGGATGTCGGGAACGGTCCAACCTCATTTTCTCCCCTGAAGTCCGAAACGCCGCCTCTTCACAGGCTGCACAATTCGGGGAGAAAGGGCAGGACGATCGAGGCTCGGGAGGCAAAGCCCTTCACCCGGAGTCAAGGCAAGTGCAAACGCGTGGAATCAGCCCTCGGCTCCTAACTTCTCTCCGGATCCTCTGAGAGGGAACATAACCGCCAAAAGAACGCCGGAAGTCCAGCCCTAACACTTTCCTACACGCACTGACCTCAAACTCTTGATCCAGAACCTTTGTTGGGCTTTCCCACTGGAAAGGCAAGGAAGAAGGAAACAGCTTAGGACTGGGTGGTTTGAATACTGTCTGCCGACTCTGGGGAATAGAGTCTTCTTCCCTGTTTGTCTGGTACCAGGCCCTGGAATGACCAGGTCAGGATATTGTCCCTTTAAGTATAAGAGCCAGAAACAGGAGGTGGTTCCAGTTAGGGATTTTTGGATTAATTTGCATATCAAGGACATATCCCCAATGAGTAGTTTGCTCTCTTAAAATTGGCTAGCCCTGCAAGGAGCAGTGTTCCCCCAGTGAGCAAGGCCCTGAATTCAGAGCATTAAGAACATGGACAAGGGCCTTGGCCGGTTTGGCTCAGCGGTTAGAGCGTCGGCCTGCGGTCTGGAGAGACCCGGGTTCGGTTCCCGCTAAGGGCACGTACTTCGGTTGCAGTTTGTCCCCGGCCCTGGTTGGTCGTGTGGGTGGCGACCACTCGATGTGTCCCTTTCACGTCGATGTTTCTCTCTCTCTCCCTCCCACTCTATCTGTACAAAAATTGGAAAAATGTCCTCGGGTGAGGATAAAAAAAAAAAAAAAAGAACACGGACAAGGAAATACAGTTCATGTTGTACAACTGAAACTAATATATTGTATGTCAAATGTAATTAAAAAACAAGAAATTATTTAAAAATAAGAAAAAGAAAATATAGTTAATACACTGTGGAATGGGCAGCCGTCACAAGGCTTTGAGTAGACCGGTGACGCCATCTGATTTGTTTTAAAAGGATCACCCTGGTGCTGCGTGGAATTTAAGACCATGGAAGGGGCAAGAGAGGAGGAAGATCTGTTAGGAAGTTCTTACTGCTTTCTAGATGTGTGAGGATGATGACCAAACCAATGTAGTGACAGGGGAGGTGGTTTATCACAAAGTACAAAAATAGTTTATCAAAGAGCACAATGAGTAATCAAATTAGTACAAAAATATGAATATGGATGTAATGGCTTTATAGAATGAACTGGTTGTTCCTTAATATCTACTAATTCCCCATACTGCCTCCTTCAAATGTGAGGCATGTTCTTGGTTATTCTATGCTGTATGTTACAGAAATGCTTTACTATGTGGAGATGCTCAGACAAATATGATTGTTTTGCTGTAAGAGTCTAGGCCCAGGTCCAGGCGTTTGGACTGTGCAGGAAAGTGTTAACTGAACAGGTCTCAGTTGCTCAAATGCCACACATTCCAAGGAAAAATGGCTCTTGACCAACCTCAGGTAGACCACCTGAGTCCCATAGTTGCCTGGTACCTGGCCCTGGATTGATTAGGGCAAGGAGTCAGTGGCTCCCATGAATGAGACCCTGAAAGGAGGTACTTGAGGAGTGTGGGCTCTGTATTTGTTGGTTTGCATGTGGAAGGCACGCTCACAGGGGGAGTCTTTTGCCACCTCTAGGAATCACCTAGCCCTAAGAGCAGTCTCCAGTATGAGCAAAGTGCCAGATGCCAAAACATCAAGAAAAAAGATATGCTCAATACGTGGATCTCCAATTGTAAACAGCAGGGACAGGAATTTCCTGAAAGTCATCCAGCAGGTAAGAACAAGGCCAGGAAGTATAACCAGATAGTCTGACTAGAGGGCTCAGGCTCATCACTACTCATTTACAATTTAGCTGAGACAGTTATGAGATGTGTAACATACCTGTGAGCAAACACACTATAAATGTTTAACCCGAAAAATACAAAGGTGACATCATTGAGCACTCCAGAGGCATCCTGGCTTCCCGCAACAGAGACAAGGAAGGCTGCCTGTGGGCTGCAGTATGAGTACAAATAGGAGCTGCACCCAGAGACAGTTTCTGTAGGTGGCCAGCACCATATCTTTATAGAAGACGCTCCCAGCTCCCACTCCCTCCCAGTGAAACTCACAAAGATATCTGTGAATGTAACTAAGCCTGCATATACACTCTTTAATCTCAAATTATGCACATTTAATGATACAGGAATTATTAGGACCTCCATATTCTTTCTTTTTCTTGGAAGCAAAGGCTACAAATTTCTACAAGTTTCAACAGTGGGAACAAAGAGTAAATGAGAAGTTGTTGACACCTGTGCAATGGAAGCATATACCATTAACCTGGCTATCACATCTTTATAGAAATAATGGCAAACAAGGGGCTATTTGTAAGTCGAATCACTTGGAGACATATCTGTATATTCAGAGAGACAGGGTCCTTTCTCACCATTCTCTGTACTTTGTCATCACTAAATTTAATCCTGACTGCTTGGTAATAAATTTCCACTGTGACTTAACTGATTGTTTTAGGTACAATGGTTTACATGTATTTGGGCTTTGGCCTCAAAGCTATGACTTATTTTTTGTTGTAGCAAACTGTTATTTATTTGTTTGAACTTACCCAGCATTTTAGTCCCATTCTAGTCACTGGGAAGAGTTAACATAGCAGTCCTTAGACTGCTCTTTTCTGAGCTTCAGAGTTTGCCCTGGGTGGAGTTTCGGACCTTAGGTTTCCCATCACTGCCAGTGAGGATGAATGGCTCAGTGTGCCTGTTGTTTTTGTGTAAACAATGTGGTGTATGCTGATGACCTGCAATCTCCTGGAGGTCTAGAATCTTGCCTATGTTCTAGACAAAGAGTGCCCAATAAAACCCCTGGGCATTGAGTTTCTAATGAGCTTCCCTAGTAGACATTTCACACACACACAATCACAACTCACTGATGAAGTTTCAGTTAAGCAGAACTCCTAAAGCTTGTCCCTGATTTCCTCTGGACTTTAGTCCTTGGGCCTTTTCCCTGGGTTGAGCTTGCTTTGTATTATTTTGCTGTAATAAATCATAGTATGTCTTTGTAGTAAATCATCAAACCTGGGGTAGTCATTATGACTTGTAAAGTCTTATAAATCTGGCCATAAAAACCTGTAGTTTCTCTTCAAGATCAACATGTCATATACTGTGCTGACTGTATATACAGCTTTGTATGAGCACTCTGAGGAATTCAAACATTACAATAAAAACAGTGCTGTGTGTGGCCATCCACTAAAACACATACTGAGTATCTACTAAGGAAAATGAGAAGGTAAAATGAACAAATGAGACAGTGGCTGAATGTAGGGTGATGGACAAAAATGACTTAGATAAGACAAGATAAAGGGATTCACTGAGATGGTTTTCAGGCACCTCAAACAGAATGTCTAAAACCAAACACATGCCTTAGCCCTTCCCTACTTTCTCCCAACCCAGACGTTGTCTATATTTTTTACAGAGACACAACAGATTATGCAACCTTTAAAGAGTGAACCTGGTTTATCTTGCTCAAACTGAAGGAATGGCGGAGATGTGTTGCCAAATGAAAAAAGGTTATAGTTAAACTAGTATTATTTGATCCATTTCAGTAAAAATGAATGGTGACCGGGAAAACAAAGACTCGGTGACAAGGAATTCAGAAAAGTGGTAAGGGCATAGATTCTGCAGCCACCCCAACTGGTTCCCATCCCTAATTTCATGCTTCCTCATCAATTGTACAACTTTGGGCAAATTCTTTAACCTTTCTGTTCCATAAGTTTTCTCACCTGTAAAAAGGGGAAAACATTACCTGCCACATAAACTTGTTGCAAAGGTTAAGAAGCAATGTGTGTAAAACATTCAAAACCTAGTAAGACCATATGTTTGCTTTCTCTTATGATTATTATGGTACACCTATCACCATGGCCACATGACACATGCATAAACTCAGTGTATATGAATACGAAGGTGTGGAAGGATTACCAATAGGTAACAGACATAAGAAACATTCCATGTGGAGATATGGATTTGGGGGAAGTATAGATCATTGAGTAAAATGCCTTGAGGGAATTAACTCACAAGTGAGAAAGCAGTGACCAGAGATGGGTCCTAGGAAGCACAATGGTTCAATAGACGGAAGACACAGATTCTGAAGAAGGGAAGGAACTCACAGAAACCAGGTAAAGACCTGCAAGTCAACAAGAAGGGCAGCAGTAAAAGGGTCCAATAATGGAGGTGGGGGTGGGGGAGGGAAAGGGGCAAAAGGGAACTTTGTGAGACCTGCTTAAGTCAGGTGACAGTGGTGGAGGCCATTCTTTAGTTGTCAGTGGAGTAAAAGGGATGGGAGGGGTGGGGACAAAAGTGGACACAATAGTTACAAAGAGTGTGTCTGTGAGAGAAAGGAGAAGGGCAGAGCTCAATGGGCACGTGTGGCAGAAAGAGACTTGAACACAGATATAGATTATGAGGCTAGAAAGGGATTTAGAGGGAAAGGTAAAAGGACCAAGCAGTGGGGGCACAAAAGAAAGAAGTCTTAGACAAGTTGGGGAGCTGGG